AATGATTAATAGGTTAATATCAATATACGGTAAGGAACATGTGTTAGAGTTAGAACTAAGGGAATATTATGAGCTAATAAAACCTGGTTATTATTTCTCAGGTACCAGAATAGTAGTTATATTTAAATTACCTCTTTTTATTAAAGATAGTTATGACTTGTATAGATTGTCCATTGCTCCTAATAAATACCAGCAGGCCCTCATCCCTCCTTATCCTCTAATAGCAACAAACAGGAAAGGTTACGTGTACATGGAGGCAGAATGCCCGAAGTACAATCACTGGTACCTCTGCGGTGAGAAGATGGACCACCAGATACGACAGCAGCCAGACTGCACTCAAGAGCTCATCATTAACCAAGCCTTGGACAAGACCTGCCAGATGACTACGATAACACTCTCAAGAATCTCCTTGGAAGAACTTGACGAGAAGCACTATATCATATCCTTCCCAAATGCTACGAAGATTCATCTGCGATGCGCACGAGATGACTACACCATCCTTAGTGGCACCTACTTAATCACAGTGCCTGTCAACTGTTTCCTGTTCACCTCAGAATTCACTATCACTAATACTAATGATCAAATTGAAGGACGCCCTTTGAAGATAATGAAACTACCATACGATAAGGAAGCTCACGCCAACTCTTCATCCCACGTTTATCTCAAATCAATTGACTTGACAAGATTACATGAAGCCCAGCATCACCTAGTGACGCAACCAACTCTACAAATTGAACAAGTACCAGCGAACTATCTTTATCATACAACTATACCACTGTACACTATCATACTAATAAGTGTACTTGTAGTCTCAGGTGTCCTGATACTAAGACACTTTGGGTTACTACAACGCCAGCCGAAGGTAAAGAACACCCCTACTCGAGATGACATCTACGCGAAGCCTGAAAATCCTGGATCGCAGAAGACAGCAATATTTCACCATCTCAAAATGCAGAAATAGTTGCTGTTCTCAGGGGGGAGGTGTTATATGGACGCACCCTTAGCAAATCGCAAGTAAGCAGCTGCCCCGTGTACTATTGCAACATCGTTCACACGAGGCAAGAATGCAACGTTGACGGAAAGAGGTAGCGACGAACTCAAAGGAGGCCGGCGCCATCCGACACTGCGTTTTAATGGGAATCTTCCACATTTCACAATTACTTCTTTTAAACATTATTACTGTGTCTCGGTCATTCCATATCTAGCATCGATAGGAACTAGACTAGTTTCTTTAGTAGTAAATTTAAATTGTAATTACATAAGTTTTATTTTAATTAAATTACTTTGAATTAATTTTGGTTTTTTTTTGGTCCTCCGGCGGCGACATCCATAATTTATTATTACTGTTGTTATGAATTTGTGAGTTGCGAAAACATCTCAAATAAAGTTCTTACGTCAACCAAATGAGATCTTCGAGCTAGTCCAATGACTTGGGAGTCCTGAATTGGCAAGATGAAGACAAATAGAGGCACCAATGCCCGCACTAGCTCCAGTCACCACAGCAGTTTTGCCCAACCAACGATCCATTGCTACGAAAACAAAAAAGATAACCAAAGCTAAAAATCTTAGTATTACAAAAAAAAAGAAGTATTACAAACAAATAAACTGTTAACACAAAGAAGGTAGGGAGTTGTTTTCGAATAGAATTTTGCCGTGTACAAGATCAACTTTTTGGAATGTAGTATATTAATATATCTACTATTTTTTTTTGTAAATATTTAAAATCCTGTTACTTACCTTTATTTTTATTTTAACTTCAACTCTAATAATATCGACAAGGTCTCTGCGAGTCGTGCAACAAGATATTAAAACGAACATCAGTAGATAAACAAGTTACTTTATAATGTTAATTGTACGTAGGTATTTTGTAGTTATGTCTGACTGTCTTATTATAATACAATGACTTCCATTAAATACTATTTTATTTGTAATGAGTAAGTTATCTATAAAGTAATAGGGCTACATGACTGACGTCCTAAGACTGAATTACTAAGCACGAAGCCGCGAATAACTTCAAATTATATAATCGGTCTCTTACATAAGTTATTGCATCCAATGAAAAATAATTACACGCTTGATAAATTGTTGCAGTAACTTAAATTTTAAAAGGTTCGCGTATTCAACGTCCTTTTGTTATTATCGTAATATGTGTGTTACGGTGCACAGTTATAAGACTTGTTTCGGTCCTAGAATGCTTTTTTTGAAAATGATTAGGATGGGACAGTATTCAATTTAAAATTAAAAGTAATTATGATTGATTATATCCATTCAAACGTTAAAATATATTCAAACAGGACTTTGCAAGAAAATATTAAATTATGTAATTTTAATTCATCTTAACAATGATCCGAATTTTGGATGCTTGGCGGCAGCCATGATTACAGGTGGGCCAATAAACCATTAAAGGTGTTAATTAAATGATAGCTGCTATATAAGGACGGTGCTAGATAAGTAAAGAGAATGATAAATAAAAATGGTCGTTTATTTAAAATTGTATATTTGAAGATAAATGTATGTTAATAGAAAAATCTCGGTCGCACTTAACAAGGCTACATTATGGTCGACTATAGAAATTACATCTACGCATCAAACAACTCTGCTTCATCGCTTACACTCTGCCGCACATAGGAACATTTTCACCTTATACTAAACAGTTGGGTTTTATAGCAAGCACACTTGAGAGACACTCATTTTAATATTATAAAAAATTGGGTAGTTTGCTTCGCCATTATACAATTTTTTTTTTCTAATTCTGCATCTATTTTCAATATCGAAAGGCACGTTACTTTGTGGGCCCATACGAGTACCCATTAAATTATTAGAATATTAGGCAGACTATGGTAAAATGTTGGGCTTTAATCTATAAATAACACTTGCACACTCTCATAGAAACGTAATAATAAAACACTGTCTGTAGATTATGCGAGTAGTATACATTTAAATAAAACACTTTAACGGTTTAAAACACGATTTATTTTAGTTAAACTTAGTTTAAAGTTTAACTAAAATATATCGCGTTTTATACCGTTAAAGTGTTTTATTTAAACTAATAATACTTAACTTTAGATTCTTTTTCGGCGTTTTATAGTTAAATTTACAGTGGAGAGTTTCGACGACAATTTAACAAACGTATAAAATTCAAATTATATAAATATTGATGTCAATATTAAATAATGAAAAAAATAAGAAGAAAGTATAAAGTTCGCGGAGTCACTAGTGTTGCTATAAAACCTAACCCAACAAAGGTCTTCCTAATCAGAAATTAATCTTTTATTCTATAAATCTTATCTATATTCTTAACATGTGCTCTCAACTATAAATGACATTATATTTTATAAGTATATTATACACTTTAGAATAGTACCTATAATAAATATATGTATTTATAATTCCTTAGCAGTTCTATATTGCCATTCATAAAGCATGGAAAAGGACTTAAACTCATGTTATTTGTAGGAGCAACTGCTCCTATATATACTGGAAATTTTAGTCGCTATTGCAGCTAGGGTTGGCAACTTAACCATGTACAAAAAATACTATATTTTGGACTAAATCTAAATTATAAATTGCTTATTTTTTATACAAATGTGTCTTTTACAGTACCTTTGAGTACTATATTTTCGTAAAATACTATATTTTCTATAAACCTATTTATTAAAATACTGTATTTCAAGAAACAAAATGTCAACCCTAACCGTCTGGCCATAAATTTTGGGGGTGCAAACGGCAACATCATTCGCGCAACTTCGTGTCTCCGTACTAATTCATGGTTTTGCTTCGGCTCGTCGCCGCTTTGCGTGATTAATACATTGCGATACATTTGTTTCGCTAGACGTGTCGCCGTTTGCATTCAGTGTACCGTGTTCAAGTTATAACACATTAGTTTGGATAACAAAAAGTTGTTTGTAGTTGCAGAAGCTAATTTTTATAAGAAGAGCAATCAATTGGTGAGCTTCTTACGGGGGAATTACCATTTCAGGACTCGGGCAAATTTGCAGTAAAATAATGTTTATGATATATTAAAGATAATTTACTTGTCTATCGCCATTTTAGCCTGTAACACTGAAAAATAAAACTTCCCTTAGTTGTAGTGATCGCCGTACAAAATTTTGTAAGGTTAACCTTACTTAATGCTAAGCTTTAAGTACAGCATAATTTTAGCGACAAAATTATTATTTAATATTTAGTTGCAATATATAAACATTTACATAATTCTCGAAGGTTGGCAGCCCTATCTTACTAAATTCATTTGAACTGTATACATAGAACATAGACAGCGAGAAACAACGTTATACCAACCTTCTAAAAATAATAACGTGTACTGATGTATACATAAATTTACGATGTATATATTTTTTACATTTACTCAGAGTATAACTTAAGATAAAATTATGTAAACAATGAGTGCAATGTGTTTTTCAGCCTAAAACATTTCTTAAACTAACTATAATTTTAATATGCGAAACTGCGATAGAATATCGAGATCCAGTAGTCCAAAAGCGACTAAAAAATAATACACTTTTAAACAATCAGTTGATTTTTTATCACTCTATATACCAGCCTATATAACTTATAATGTATAACTTGTTGATATATTCTTAAAATATAATATTATTACATACTTCATTGATAAAAAAACAATTTATAAGGGCATTTGGGCTCTTAGTAGGTAATCGTAACCTTTAATTTATTGTTTGCAAAACTTTAATATTTTTCACACGTTATTGCACAGTAAAATGAAAATTCTATTAAGACCCAATTTTCTTATATAGTAGTTCATTTGTTTAGAGCAGACGCTTTGGATCGCCGTGTATGCCGGTTCAAGGCCTGTCTGTTTCAATTTATTCAATGTAAATAGATTTTTAACTTACATATCATTTTTTACAAATTGGAATTTTGAAATTTCGGGGAAAACTGTAACTCAGCATCCGCCAAGCAGAGATAAGGCTATCTATACATAATATTATAATATAACTCCTTAAAATAATAGTCCCCGCCACTCACTGAAATAAACTTTGCATTTTAAGTTTCGGGATGTACTGCGGCTCCACTTTGATTTCCGGGACCTAAAACAAAGAATACTTAAAGATTTTACAATTAAGTCGAGTATAAACAATGTAAGACACACATTTGGATTTTTACTTTACTTTACTCTCTCATAAGATATATTGATCCATTTTTTATACCATTCTTCTACTTTAAGAATACAAAACACTGAATAAGTGCCGATGTAAACTAATATATACTTTTTCAATTGTAAATAAAGCTAACATTTATATAGCCCTTTTATAAATTGGCGATCTTACCTCAAACTCCGGTTGGTCGTGGTCATCAAGCTCGAGGGGATCCTTCACCAGCTGTCAAATAATAAAATTACCTATTGAAATAAAACAATTACATCTTGAGTGCTTAGCAACATGCCGCTAAAAAGCACCCAAAACAGAAACAGAATGACAGAGAGACACAGTCAGAATTTTAATTATTAAACTAACGACAAAATATTAAGTTTTGAGTATATAAATATACAGTAGTCTCTTAATGATGTAAACGCAAAAAAAAATTCTAACTGGCTCTGCAACACGTCTAACGGTTCTGGGTTTGAAAACCAGTTCATAAATGGCTTTAGTCGAGCAGGGCAAAGATATCTTACCAACTTGCCTATAAATTGAATCGAATAGAGACATACCCCGAAGGAGAAACGGGAAATCACATATAAAAAGTCAGTATGACGCATATGAGCGTTACTTGTCATTGAAATTGGATGCCAGTGAAATAAGATCACTTACTTAAGGTCACTTAGTCTCAATGAATTAGTTGCAATCGCAGCTAATATACACGTGAGTTATAACTTTAGGAGGAGAAGCTTACCTTAGGTGGACGGCCCCGCTTGGGCGGCGAATGTGCGCGAGTAGCGAGCACCCGAAGCTGATGGGCACGTAGCAGATGCTCGGTGTGCTCCCGCGGGGAACCCACTACCGCCCCACAAGACGCGAACACACACTTGAACACCTCTGCACACAAATAAGTCGCTAAGACTGGCAAACTTAGGTATATGGCAAAAACAAACAATCATTCAAAATCAAAAACAAAAATATATATAGTGCAATAAAACGATAAAATAATGAAAATCATACGTTGTTCGTCCTCGTCATCATCATTATGGTTATGGGCCATATGCTCCTGCAGCAGCCGCTCGCTGGGCAGCTTCACGTCGCACATCGAGCACGTGAAGCGCACGCGCACAGGACTCTTGAGTGTGGAATGTGCTTCTCGCCTATAAACAAAACTCTAAAAGTGAAATCTACATACGATAACACTATGATTATAAAAGCAAGGGTTTCTATAGAGTAGTAGTATAGTGATAAACTAAATGTTTAATGTAATAATAAAAGTTTGTTTGTTTGGACGCGCTAATCTCAGGAACTACTCACTACTACTAAGAGCTACATATAACATACCTATGCGTGTACATATGGTTTCTCTGAGAGAAGCTTTCTCCGCACACCGGACACTGATACGAACTCTCCAGGGGGCGTCCAGAAAGGTGTCGCTTACGATGCTGGTTCAAATTTGTGACCTTGAAATAAATTCAAAAAATTATTGTTAACTGTTTTTGATAGTGACATTATATGTAATCCCAGTTAACAGTAATGCAGCAAATACATCTATTACATAGAATTAGAAAATTTAAATAGACGGCGAGAGAGAGGTTCAGGGAGGGTAGAATGAAAAATAGATATTTTTTTAATCGTTAGTAGCCCTAACGCCGGCACTGGAAACATAAAAAAATCAGATTACTTTTTTATTAGTAATAAAAATTTTATTAGTCACCTGTGCGTAAGCTTTATCACAACCGGGCTCTGGACATACAAAGGGCCTTTCTCCCGTGTGCAGGCGTACATGATTGTTTAAATTGGTTACCTGTGTAAAAAGAAATTTAAAAAACAATACAAATATAGTATGAGTAAATAAAACTGTTATATACTGTCTGTAGTTTTCACGAGTAGTACACATTTCAATAAAACACTTAAACGGTTTAAAACTAATTTGAATTTTAACTACGGCCCGACGTTTCGGATGCTTTGCAACAGCCCTGGTCAAGGGGAGATTGGCAGTCTCTCCGTGAGCACGCGTATCGCGTTTTAAACCGTTAAAGTGTTTGATTTAAAACCTCTGTTTCAAAAATTGTAAGCACAATAGAAGGCACTAATAAAATATTTAAACTGCTATGGCGTTCTAATTTGTTTTGTTTTCACTTACTTGAGTAAAAGCTTTCCCACATTCTTGACATTTATAGGGTCGCTCATTTGTATGGATTCGAAGATGTGCGCGCAAGTTATTTGACTGAGAGAATGCTGTAAAAAAAGTGCAAGTCAGATAAATATTTTTACACCAAAGTCAAGCTATTATATGTTTAGTATATGTCAGAAATGCACAGGCCACAGCCAACCGACAGCAAAAAATAGTCAAATTAAAAAAGAATATTTTTTCAATTTTAATATATTATTACCATCATTCTTTATTTCTTCAATTCCCTATACTTCTGGCAACTTACAATCATAATTTGCCTCGAATGGCCCTTAGTCTCAATAAGTCTGTGCATCCCTGGTATAGATTATATTTAAATAAAAATTGAGTTCTTGATCTTCTGGTAGAATTGCATTGCTTATAATCAGTGAGTCAATTTGATCCCTACTAAGTCCAAAATTATAAGTTTTTTTAAAACATGTTGGATTTTGTATGTAATGTCAACAATTCAAAAATGCGTGAAATTTGAGAATCAGTCTGTGGATTTCTAAATATCCGAAGCTAAACCAGATTTACAGCACATGATGGTAGTTATTTGGTTAAGAATTTGACACATTCCATTAAGTGAAAAAAGGCTTTTTAGAAAATATTAATTACAAAAAGGGTTACCCACCTTTGTTACAAAAAGTGCATAAAAATCTTCTCTCTGCCCGATGATTCCTCATATGATTTTGGAGTTGCATATTTTTCTGGAATGACTTTTGACAAATATTACACTGATATTTTCCATATATTTGATCCTGGAAATAACAGTCAGGCTGACTAAGTATGAATAAATGTAGTTAGAAGGTAGTAACTACATAGAAAGACCCCAAATAATAAAAATGATTTATTTTGTAGGAACATTTTACATGATATTTCCACCTCAAATTCTTTGTAGATAAAGAATGATGTATTACTTTTTAAATGTCTATACTAAGCCTATGTGTTAACGATTTTAATGTTAAATACTGTCTATAGTTTACGCGAGTAGTACACATTTAAATAAAACACTTTAACGGATTAAAACGCGATATATTAGTTAAACTTATTTGAAAATGATTTTTAACTTCGGCCCGACGTTTCGGATGCTTTGCAGCAGCCTTGGTCACAGGGAGAGTTTAATTAATATATCGCGTTTTAAACCGTTGAAGTGTTTTATTTAAATTTTAATGTTGTTGTAGCCAAGTGGCTGTAAGATGACGTTGTGCAAAATATTTTGTTATTACCTCCTCATTGTTAGAGGATTGTTCTGATGTTCCCTGGTCATGATCTTCAATTGTTACCTCAGGCACCAACGGTTGACATTTAAAACAGGCGTAAACTGCATCATTGCCAGTTTCAAATAGTTGCTGAAAATAATAATACATTAGTATGTTAATGAAGCATTTCCTTATTCTCCAACTCCCTTGGATTTGTTGTTCGACCAGTTTCTAGAGGGTCTGGGTTAAGATTCCTAGGTAAAATGTATGTTGTTCCGAATGTTATATAATGTTTGGCTTAAAAAAAATTGCTAAACTAGTTGCTACAATGGCTATGGACCTTCCTTTTTTTATACAAAATGTAGAACATTGCCTGCACATTTAAACATTAAAAGATTATGAGAACTTTAATATTAAAAGAGTGCAAGACCATAGAAACACTTAAGCATCAATTCAACTGCTTCTTATTCAGAATTTGTAATAAACTTACAATTATTAACAAGTGTTTATAAAGGAATATGCAAAAACATCTTATTCTGGTAAACATAAAATAAAATAATTTTTTGTTTATTTTATTTTGCCATTTCAATATAGCTAGTGCTAAATAAGAAAAATACGATTAGCAAGATTTTCAACATACATAAATAGATTAAACTGTGCTCTAGTTTTACATTTCAAAACTCAGAAAGGCATTGAACAGAGAGAACATTCAAATAAGCAGTAATAAAAAATAAACACTAGTTTTTATTTGCCGCGGAGTTGGAGCCAGACGTAAAAAAACCTGAGTGACTGTGCTTGAAAAAAAATAAAAAAAGCAGGCGACCTGCGCTGGTTGCATACCTACATAACTATTTCGTTTTTTATGAGAAGTCCGCTCATTATATAAATCGTGAACCGATAATTATAAGTAGCAATAACAACAAAACATTACGCAGTCCTTAATGAAAAGACACATCAGACAGTTGGTTGTTGGTATGTTATTTTTATAACAATCACCCAAGGAAAACAAAAAATATTGACCGCCTCTATATGGCATAATTATCTCAAAAGCCACTATTACTCGCGTACCTGTGCTGGTTTCAAACATATTCCACATTTATCCATTATTGGTGTACTTTTTCTTCAGGGTAATCATAAAAACACAGTAAAAATTCGATAAATAAACCCACTTCTATCAAATTGACGAAACTCGTATTAGGAAAAGGGCACAGATGCGGGGTGGGGCATGCGGGTACAAGTATTGCCATATTCAATGTTGCCACTTTATAGTTTATGAAATGTTTTTAATTATGAGCACCGAAGTACGAACAGTAGAAAACAGGCGAGAAAAAAGAGCTACGTTTGTTATATAGTGAAAAAGTGACATGATATCACCATATTATTAATGAAAACAAATGATTTACAAGTCATAGCATACAATCTATTATCGCTCTCTTGATATAATTGACTGAATAGCGGAAAACGATATCTTGAAAACATAATCTATGACTACTTTATGTTATATCATAAACTGCCTAGAACCAGTCTGTGGTACCAGATTTTCCACATGAAAAAGTGGTTTTCTTTCTTCGTAATTTTGTGATTTATTTTTATAGTTATGAACTGTTCGAAATTTTAGTCAAGATTTAGTTTTTTCTTTACTTTATTTAATTAAACCGGCTTGAAAGAACAATACGTGAAGAAAAAAAGAATTTGGTTTTATAATTTGTCTAAATAACATACGATGTTATTTTTACCTGCGCCTTAAGTTTTTGTGTATATTTTGTGTAATAAAAAAAAATAAAAATGTCTGATAAACCAGTCGTAGCTAGTGGAGCTCAGCCTATCGTGAAAATTGGGCATTATACATTAGGTGCTACACTTGGCGTAGGAACGTTTGGTAAAGTAAAAATTGGTGAACATCAGCTGACAAAGCACAAAGTGGCTGTTAAAATTCTCAATAGACAAAAAATAAAGTCCCTCGATGTCGTTGGTAAAATCAGGCGGGAAATTCAAAATCTAAAACTTTTTAGACATCCACACATTATTAAATTGTATCAAGTGAGTATTTTAAGAGTTATTATCTTCTATATAAAAGCTTTAGGGCATATAAATGTACTACTGTTTAGTATGAGCTATATGTGGCTAGTGTCTTGGCTTAAAGGATTGACATAAAGATGATAATTTTAGGTAATATCAACTCCAACTGACATTTTTATGATAATGGAGTATGTTTCTGGTGGAGAACTGTTTGACTATATAGTAAAACGTGGAAAACTGCAAGAGCATGAAGCCCGTCGATTCTTCCAACAAATTATATCAGGAGTAGATTATTGTCATAGACATATGATTGTACATCGAGATCTAAAACCGGAAAACCTTTTACTAGATCACAATATGCATGTCAAAATTGCTGATTTTGGTCTGTCCAATATGATGATGGATGGAGAGTTTTTAAGAACATCTTGTGGATCACCAAATTATGCAGCACCAGAGGTACTACACATTATATAATCCTTGTGATCTAACATAACACATTTAAAACGGCTACACAGGGACTCTTGTTTTAAATAAGATAAAAGAATGGTCTGAAGTAGTGCACATTTAAAATAATAAACACACTTATTGTTTAAGATGAGAAATATATATGTAATATTGTTTACAACCAATTTCAAAGTCTTTGCATCAGCCTTGGTCACGAGAGGGGAAATAAGTTAACTAATATATTTCGCATTTTAAAGCGTTTATTAACATTACATTCAAAGAGAGACCATGGGTTTAAAGGAATTAGTCTTTCTGCTGAGATAGGCATAGAACACTGATTAACTACTAATAAAAAACAGAAATAGGTCTTCCTCTTCAGTATAAACAATTTTGCTTCAAATAAACAACACTTAATTAAAACTTTATTGCAGGTTATATCAGGTAAACTCTATGCTGGTCCTGAAGTGGATGTATGGTCATGTGGAGTTATTTTATATGCTCTACTCTGCGGTACACTACCATTTGACGATGAGCATGTCCCAACATTATTTAGGAAGATAAAGTCTGGAATATTTCCTATACCAGAATATTTAAATAAGAGTGTAGTTAGTCTCTTGTGCAATATGATGCAAGTTGATCCTATGAAAAGGGCAACTATCGAGGATGTGAAGAAACATGATTGGTTCCAAAAGGATCTTCCTGACTACCTATTTCCTTCCCCTGTTGAGCAGGTAGTGTACATTATGTTTGAGAATTAGTACATTAATTTTAAACTCCTAAAAATACAATGGTTTTAGAGAAATATTTGATTACAATAAGTTTTTTCTTTATCATTAAGTATACTAAGAAATTTATTAATGGTATTAAACTTATGTCAACATTGGTTCAAAGGTTTTAATAGTTGACACGATTGTCCTTTGTGTCCGTTGGTTCGAGACCCGCGCGTTTTTGTATGTAGCTTACATGTGTAAGTATTTAACTTGAAATGATAAATTTCTATTAATTTGAGGAGGAAGAGAAGCATGGGGTCACTTGATTGGAAGTAAAATACTCCAGCCCTATAACATCAAAATACGATGCGCTATCGACCTATTTTGGCTTTGGATATTCTATTTCCTATTCAGTCAGTTTGGATCGTACTGGAAGAAAGGATGTAATTACAAAAATAATAAAAAATAAAAGTCCTTGCAGGACAGTGGAGTAATCGATACAGAGGCGATTGCGGAGGTCTGCGAAAAATTCAGTGTTCGTGAACACGAGGTTCATAGTGCGTTACTCTCTGGTGATCCACACGATCAGCTGGCCATCGCATACCATCTTATCATTGATAACAAGCGTATGGCAGACGAAGCGGCTCGTGCGGAAGTTAAGGATTTTTATGTAGCGAGTAAGTTACATTTTTACTAACATCTTGCTCTTCACTTTAGTATCAGATTTTTTACGAGCGATTAAACTTCACTTTTTCATCTGTGGACGGTGGTTCGTGATCCGGACGAAATTTTGATATCCTAGCACCCATTCAATATTCAGATTTTCATACGAAGTCCAACATGTGTCAGAAAAATTATAAGTTGATAATAAACATCGTGGACCTGGTGGGGATCGAACCCCCAACCCCCGATGATTACTCATACATGCATGCTCATGCTACGATTACAGCAACTACGTCCGCGTAGATTAGTTTTGGGCTACTAATTGAGAGCTATAACCCACAACGTCATCAACGTGCCGTCTTTCTTTCTAAGTTAACTAAAGAAGAGAACCTGTTCTTATTTATTACAGATAGCCCACCCACGGCGACAGAAACACACCGTCCGCATCCCGAACGAATCGCGCCCTTAAGAGACAAGTCGTCTCCCGCTGCGCAACCCGCAGCGGACAAACAGCGCGGGACACCTGTCAAACGGTATATTTAAATTCACGTTTTAATATGAATATAGTTAAACTGATGATGTGGAGCATCCATTTTCAGAAAAGACTTTAATTTTAGGTATATATTTAGTATTTTTTTTTTGCTTTACCCTTTCTTCGGTTAATTTATCTATTAGATTTTTTTAAATAACCCTTTGAATACTTTAAAATCTATTAGTCATCAATTATATTGAGTAACGAATACAGATATTAAAAATATCGAATTTGATCGAAGATCATTTACAGTCCTAACCTATTCTGTTTAAAATTCAACTTAATGTCTGTCTGTACATTAAGTTGAATTACAAACAACCTTTCCTCCTCATCTGTACGTTTTCTATAAAAATCCAAGTTACATGTCCAAATCAAAATATTGTAAACACTTTGCAGAGCCAAGTGGCACTTAGGTATCCGATCGCAGAGTAAGCCCAATGACATAATGCTGGAAGTCTTCCGTGCTATGAAAGCCCTGGACTATGAGTGGAAAGTGATTAACCCTTATCATGTTAGGTAAGAACTATTTTTTTTAATACCACTTTACTAGTATAGTGTCCAAGACTGCTTTAGTTGGATTTCTAATATCTGTAAATTGTTTTGTTGTGTTATGTTGAACAGACAAACATGAAATTCAGTTGATGCTGTGTTCTGATATAGTATATGATATGATGGGGCCTGGCATGACCCTACAAATTACTTTAGACATTAAGTATTTCTTTTTTTTAAAATTGTCTTAAGAATATGCTGAACCAAATGGATATCGAACCCAAGGACCTCACTTAGCAGGAGTAGAGAAACATATCGTATTTTATTTTCTCTTTTCCACAGGGTTCGTACACTCAACAGAATGACACAGAAATACGTAAAAATGTCGCTCCAACTGTACCAAGTAGACTATAAATCATACCTGTTAGACTTCAAATCCCTCTCCGGGGAGCGAGAGGAGACAGACGAAGAAGGAGCGTCCCCCCTCGCGCAGACTCCTGTCACACCAGTCAATATACCCACGGCCCCACAAGGACACCACACTATGGAGTTTTTCGAAATATGCGCGGCTCTTATTATACAACTCGCTCGGTAGTTTTCCTCTACTTGTCGACAATAATAATTGATTGTAACTAACAATGCGATGCATAGTAAGGTCGATTAAAATTTACTTCAACTCTTCAACGTCTCCATAGACGTCAGTATTACCCTACAGTAAAAATGCGACTACTAATAGTAAATCATTCAATACGTATAAACAAACAATCGAACGGGATTATGTACAATGTTGTGATGTTTATTTAGAGCTCGAAAATGCACCTACACCATTTGTGCTTTAATGCAGAGTAATAATTTGTGCAAATTTCATTTGTTCGTGTTCTTTTCAAATTTGCACAAAATATTCAACTTTACCAAAGAAACTAGAAGTGCCTTTTCCTAGAGTGTACATAAATAACGAATATTATTTAAACGTAGGCTTATGTAATGTCTCTAATGGGTTGGGACTTTTCAATTTAGATGTTCTGTCTTAGAAGGCATAAAATTGCAGTTAGGCTACTCTGCCCCTATGTTCAGGAAAACCTACAATTATAATGAAATTTATGACATTTATAACCTCACCCTCCTTTGACCCGAAGTGTTTAAATTGAAAAATCCCTTAACGTTAGGTTAATCTTGTGGTGATAGTATATGCAATAAACATAAAATCAGCTTATACTCTTTAGGCGTGGAACAATGAAAGTATTATAAAAATTCAATAAAATACAAAAATATAATAAATTATATCCCTCTCACTAATTTTTAGTCCCTATTTATTAGATAGTTTTAAGAATTTAGTTGACTAATGATTATTTTTAATGTCATTCAAAACTTTAGCTTCAATTCATAAGTTAAACAGGCTTAATAAAATTCGAATCTACACATTGTTGTTTTATTTGTGATGCTATTATTATTTATATTAAAACCCTAATTGGTTCAATAGTAAAAACATTTCGCTAATTTTCCTGGGCTTTGAATCTCGAAAAACAATTTTTGTGGTCTATCAGCCTACAACAAAAATTTGATGCCTTGTTCTCGTGTTGTAAGGTTATACATGTAAATTGTAAGGTGCAATGGATCAAACAAGACTGTTGACTTCCAAACACAAAATAAAAAGACAGTAACAGAATACTGTAATTTATTAGATCTAGAATTGATTATAACTAAAAAGCTTAATAATTCAGCCTACTATGATGTAGTGTCTAGTTTTAAAACAATAAATATTTGTATAGAACGAAATCATACAAATAATGACTTAGATGAAGAAAAAGTGAATTTTCGATAGCCATATAGTTTCTGCTAAAAGCACAACATACATCTTTTTTCTCAATAACGGCGCATTCGTAATTGACGTTCTAAGTCGAATTTAGCAAAAAATTTGGTATACATCCAGAGCTCTTTGGTATTTTACTCGCCGTTTCTGTCAATGTCAAGTTGACATTTTCAGAGAGTGTCTAATTGAAGCTCAAAAAATATTATTACGAAGATTTTTTCTATTTCTTTGAAAATAAATAATTGTTTGTGTAGACATGTCCGGCGAATTATTAGGCTGGGGCAGATGGAGCTACTGGACCTCCCTCGTCCGGTTTACTTTCAAGCGAGAAGGGCGGGATTCGGCAGTCAAACGTATAACCATCTTCGCGCTCCATTCTAAACGTACCCCTGAAATGTAATAAATTTATAATATTTTATGATTGAATAGTTTAAAATATTTTTAAAATGTTGCAGATGTTCGGGCGCCCGCATTATTTTTTTTTTAAAAATAAATCAATTTTAGATTGAAAAAAAATTAAGACTAACGACTAACTAAATATATGACTTAATTTTCAGTTCGGTAAATTATTTTCTGAAGGTGCAAAGCATAAAAATTTAAATCTTAATAAGCAAGTATTAAGGTTGAAATTACATTAGCGAGTAGAGCATGTATCAATCAATAGGTTGAAAAAATTGACAATGACATGTAGTCAATTCGTTACAGCAACAGCACGTAACACTATGTATTCCGGTTCAATAATATCTTATGATTTCAAGAAAAGCTATGTAAGTAATAAAAAAAATAATAATAATAATTATAATTTCAGCCATAACAAATATTGTGAACTATACCACATGTGGCCACTTGGAGCTTGCAGACTGACGTGGCTGCTGTACTGGAAAGCAGGTGCGTGGCGTGCCAGTAGCGGCTCCTGTCCGACAACGCCGCGACCTCGCACCGTCTCCAAAGTGCCACTCAGAGAAAAGATGCGCCAGTGCCTCTCACGAAGCTGCACCGCTTGGGAGCCCAAATTTTCGAGACGAATGCAGTACCGCCACTGTAAAAAGATTTATCAAGATCAACGTATAAAAATTGGTTACACTTCTTTAAAAACAATCACACTAATGCATCACAGAAACAATAATAGCTTGTTTGAATAATTGACAGAAAAGTGTCGCCGTTTCGAGTCCCAATAATGATGTTATTGTAATATATGCATTACTTAAACAAGTGAATTGTCTAAGTACAATACACATGTACTAGAAGAAAGAAAAAATATCGTTCAACATTTGACAAAAGCAGTAAGTAGAACCACAAACATCGTTTTCACAACATAAACATGCAAAGATTTTCTATACTGACTTAAGAAATTCCTGATACCAAGGAAAAAGAAAATCGTCCAGTTAATTGTTTTCTAAGGTTACAAGTATGTTACCCAGTATACAGCTGAGTTTTGAGACTCCCGACTGCCCATGTAGAATGGTATGACAGTCACTCGCACGCCCTCTGTCGTCTCGCGGTGGACATCGCTCAACTCTAGCCAGGGATGATTCTTCTTCTGCCAGGCCCTTAACGTCTCTTGAGCAATAAATGGGGGATCTGTAAAGATATGGTTATTTTATTTGTTTATAAGAGAGATCCGGTAACTTATTAACACATTGAATTCCTAAGGATAACTTGGTTGACTTCAAATGAATACTTTACTGAAATACTGTCTGTAGTACACATTTAAGTGTAACCGTTAAACACATCAACGGTTTAATACGCGATATATATTAGTTACTTATTTGAAAATTATTGTAACTACGGCCCGACGTTTCGGATGCTTTGCCGTGGTTACGGAGAGACTAAATTTGGAGGGTCTAATCTCAAGGTAAATTAAAAAAAAAAAACAACATAAGTACTAACATATATCACGTTTTAAACATTTGAAGTGTTTTATTTAAACAAGATATACTTAATGACTTTGTAAAAGTTTGACAAAAGACGATCATTGATTTTCGGCATATTATTAGTTGCGTCACCCTCATATTCAGATCTTTGGATTCTACAATACTATTTATTTAATATATTGTAACGATTTGTCTCCATAGAAAATTCCTATCCTAACCTTAACACACATACGAAAGGCTAACCTTTATCAGGGTTATGCATCAGAAACTTGTCAAATAGCTCATGTTGTAAGGGCACCCGCTCGACTGACGCGTAAGGTATTATATCGTCATGAGCCACGTAGTCAAGGCCAGGTATTGCATACAGGCTACGACTAGATTCCTGGTTTCCTAGAAATGTCACCGCTTCTGTTTGAGCTCTCTAAAACATCAAGAAAACGATATTAAAATAAATTATTTGAAATTATGACTAATCACAGTCGGGATCTGAACCAGAGTGTACCTTGCCCATGCTCTACCAGATATATTTGGTATTGTCTGTATATGTTTGTTACAGTTCAATTTTTTTAAAACTTAGAATAGATCCAAAAAAATAAATACATGAATACTATAATGATTCAGATCCCGCCAGTGTCATAGTTTTCGTATGTATTAAAACATACACCATAAGACCAGATTAAATTGATACTATGTACTTGGTTAAAGTCGGCTGCCAATATGCAAAGATCATGGTCAGGTATTCTTTAGGCTGGCCAACTTCAACCAAATTATATTTATGTAGTGAATAATGAAAACGGCTGATATTTAAATATAATAGATGCCCCAACACAGACTTTCCCGCAACAGGTAATGTGGTGATCTAATGTTTTAAAAATATTGGAAAACAACAAAAAAATGTACTATAGTGATTTTTCACTATTATAGTTAACTATATTATTTGTACCTTGGAAGTAATTATGTTTTATTTTGTTTACGGTGTATGGTTTTCTGTTTGAAGAGAAACTTTTTAACAGGTATAGTCATAACAATATAATGTACAAATCCAATATGTGTAAAATTTTGTATCTTTCAATTCAACTTACATCTAAAATTTACATTACTTACATCTAATCTAAAAAAAATACTTTTTTTTTTAAATATAGATGTTAATGTATGAAGAGTCAATGTGATGTTGTTTTGCATAATAAAATATATAAATGTAAGTATTTAATAATATAAGTTTCTCCTATTTTAATCAGTCTTTAATATTTCTTGTATATTGGTTTGATATGAAAAAATCAACTGCATCTTTCATTAATGAAGTTAATACTTTAGTGTGCATAATTACACTATAATGATTGTACTTGTCTTCCTTCAATTAGTAGTTTTAATACATGAACATGACCTTGTGGTTTAGCTATTAATGTGTTACAAACAACGCAATGATAAATATAAAATTAATAATACCTTCTTCTTCCATTCAGGTCGCATGTCGAATGTAGATTGCACAGTCAAAAAGAAATCAATTTCATTATAATATAACCGATTGGAGTAGAAGATTATACATAAATATAGATAGAAAATTTCAGTCAAGATCAAGACATCACTTGTTATTATATTAAAAACTGATTAAAACATTCTTAGCTAGGATAAATAGGTAGAAATATTTATATTAGTAGTTACTAACTAAAAATTTAAATAAAAATTACCTACTAATAATATAATATAGAACTTACGTATTATAAGTATTAAAATACATTCTCAAAAGTGCTTTGGGTTGATTAGGTAATATATGATAACTACTAAATGTCTTAACCATGCTGTATATGTATGCATAACACTTGATAAGACTTAATTAATATTTTTATAAACACTGTCATCTTTTCTAAGAACATCCAAAACTCAAAGCCATGTCAAAGTTCAATAAATAGAATATAAAATTTATTTTAAGATACTTACTATGTATGGAGCATCTCTTGTATCAATAAGAACCTGATAAAATGTATGAGTTCGTCCTTTCACTTCCTTTCCAACATTTGATAGATTATCGCCTGAAGCATTAGAAGCACCTGAGGAATCTGCATTTTCCTTCTTGTTTATTGCATCTCTATCATAAACTCTAGCTAACCAAGGAAACAGTATAACTCCTCTATATCCGAATACTTTATGTAGTATAAGTTGGCCAGTTTCATATTTCCCTGTTGTTTTTGGAGCTTCTAACTTTCCAACTTCAGCTAATCTAAAAATTACGACGCAAATGTCTTTTCTTTATGTATAGGTTATAAAGGTAGCTGACCTTTTTTTCTCCTATGAATTTTTGGCAACTTAAATATTACCATTGTTATTATTATAAACACTTACCTTGTATAATGTGCTACATGATTTAATATCAATCTCGTCGCTGTTAACCTTAAAGGATTTGGAGATACAAATCTTAACAATATATCCATTTTATCATCTTTATGTAAATATAAATAAAGGTAATTAAAATTTTAATAATAGTACAGAAATTAATATGTTTCGAAGATCAAACTTCTGTTTTTCGTATTTTTACATTTCTTAGTTTTCAAAGACAATATAAATATTACTATATTTAATGTAATCTATGTGTTGTGAAGTGTCATAATATTTAGACAATTTAACCTATATAGATTAAATTTGACTAACAAAACTACAGGTTATAAAACAGTCTGGAGCAGAGACTCAGTGAAATAAGATTAAATGACATATTTATTCCTTAGTCTGTGGCTCGTGCCTATAGGTCAGGTCAGATTTCAAAGTTTGTTTCATAGTGAGCAGCTTCAAAGTCCAACATTTGTTTATTTCCTTACTTATATTATTTTGATAAATGTTTTAAATATATTCGAATAGCAAAAATGTTACGTTTAATATCGAAGTCACTTGCATCTCTGGGTAAATGTTGCTTTTTTATTTTTTAATATCCCTTTTAAAGAATATTAGAAATTTAATTAATATTTAATAAAAACTGTATTTTTTTTTTTTTCAGTAGCTTCTTAATATCTTTAAAAATATTATGTTCTTCTAGGCCCTGCCTCTAACAAAAGATTTATAGCGTCACTGTCAGCTCTACCTGATACATACCAAATGTTGTACCAAACTTGTAGAGATTTTGCGGAACAAGAATTAAAACCCCATGCTGCGAAATTCGACCGTGAGCATCTTTATCCTGAGGATGCCATCAAGAAAATGGGTGAACTGGGCCTAATGGCTATTGCAACTCCCGAGGATTTGGGTGGATCTGGCCTAGATTATTTAGCATACGCTATCGCCCTAGAAGAAATTTCACGTGGTTGCGCCTCTGCTGGAGTTATTATGTCCGTCAACAACTCTTTATACCTAGGGCCAGTGGTGTATTTTGGCACAGACAAGCAGAAGGAAGAATTTGTTACACCATTTTGCATGGGTTAGTTAAAGTAATTTCCTTTTTGAATAACATTAGTGTTTGTATACAAGTAGTATGCATGCAGTGCAACTTTCTGTATATAAGCTAGCCTTTCTTTTATAAGGTATGCCTTATACATGCAATATGTTGCATGTGTTTGTACTTATTTATATTTGATATATATGTATATATAGAAATATATTGAAACTTTTTTTCTTTAAGGAGAAAAAGTTGGTTGTTTTGCATTATCTGAGCCAGGTAATGGCTCAGATGCTGGGGCAGCATCAACCACAGCTAAAGATGCTGACGACAAATGGATAATCAATGGAACAAAGTGTTGGATAACAAACGGCTATGAAAGTAGAGCATCTGTTGTATTTGCTACAACAGATAAAAGCTTAAAACATAAAGGTATATCTGCATTTATTGTACCTAAACCAATAAAAGGCCTCGAGTTAGGTAAAAAAGAAGACAAGTTAGGCATCAGAGGTTCATCAACATGTTCCTTAATGTTTGAGGACTGTTCAATTCCTAAAGAAAATATTTTGGGGACACCCGGAATGGGTTTCAAGATTGCTATGATGACACTTGATGCTGGCAGAATTGGTATAGCCGCACAAGCTTTAGGCATAGCACAGGTAAATATATGCTTGCCACTTATTTCCATGCAGTTAAAAGCACATTATTCACCTTCCTTGTTTTGTTATCAGTTTCTTTATCTGATTATTGGTAATTGCTTATCTGACCTTAATGACTTACTTTCTTTAATACTACATTTTTATTTCTTCTTCATTGAGTTTTAATGCTACTAATGAACTTGTAATTAACTAAAACAAGCTGAAGCTGGTATGGATAGTATTTCTATTGGGAATTGAAGCTTGGGTGAATAGTACACATTATCTGCTAACTATTTTACCCTTATCGCCATTCTCTCTTTACGGATTACATTAGGTTATTCTACTTGTATTGTTGTGTTTGCCTTATTTTGAGTACATAGAGAATATTTGTTTCCTCACACTATGTGTGCAAAATATAAAGGTTGCTTCATTATAAGATTTTTGTTTAGACAAAAATGTCTTGTGGTGATTTCTGTGATGATTTGAATATTGGCTCTTGTTAATCGCATTCCGATTTTCATCTTTTTCTTATCTATGCTAAGTATGAGATTCTCATTCTTGTTTAATTTTTTTTTTTTTACTTTTTATACATTTTAGGCCTCATTGGATGTTGCAGTAGATTATGCTTCAAAAAGAATAGCTTTTGGAAAGCCAATACTTAAACTTCAAGCTATACAGAATAAGATAGCTGACATAGCATTGCGGATAGAGTCTGCAAGACTGTTGACATGGAGAGCTGCATGGTTGAAAGATAATAAGAAACCATTTACAAAGGAGGCAGCTATGGCTAAGTTGGCTGCATCTGAAGCAGCTACATTTGCTTCACATCAGTGTATTCAGGTAGGACTTTTAGGAGATTCACCAAGACTTTTTATATGTGATATATTTAAATTATGTTTTTTTGAGGTTTTTATCAACCTAATAACTTACAGGTATTAGGTGGAATGGGTTATGTATCTGACATGCCCGCTGAAAGGCACTACAGAGATGCAAGGATCACAGAAATTTATGAAGGAACTTCTGAAATACAGAGACTGGTGATTGGTTTACAGGTTGCCAAAGAATATGGACTTTAAAAATGTTAAATAATTTTATATTACTAGTGTAATTAATTTTACATGCAACAATAATTTTAATTTATGAAGTAGTCTTTAAAAAAAATGACTGAACCTTATGTATGAAAAGTAAATGTTTTTTGTTTTTGAGAAAATCAAAAGAGCTTAGATAATTGTGAATTAAATTTAAATATAGTAATGACTAAATTTTTAGGGTACTAAATTTACCCTAAATATTTTTACTACTTCTATTTTATGTAGTGTATAATGTGGTAAATAGAAATTATTATAAATAAAAAAAATGACTCAGTTTGAAATTACATAAACAATTTTTCAGATATAATCAGAATTTATTTGAATGAAATGAATATACATAATAATACACAATACTAAATAGTATAAAATAAATGCTTTTTTGGTAAGAACATGTTTTTAATTTATTGGCCTGGTCCAGAGAGCGATTTATCCATAAATTTTCTTTTAGCAAAACATAACCACCACTTGCTTGGTTTTCCATCTTCTGTAGCAAAAACCTTGTGACAACACAACAAGTGTTTTTCAAGTTATTTATGAACTTATGTTATAAGCATTAAAAACAAAGATTTATTAAAATACTACCCAGTTTTCCAAATTAAATGTAAAATGTAATAAACAGAAAAACAGTCTTACCTTTTCACAAACCCGTCCTCCAGTTTCATGTCGCAGTTGCTGCAGATACTGCCTCATCAAATCTGAAATGAAAAAAGACTCTTTAAATGCAAAAAAAAGTTTATTCATTTGATGCCAGAGCTAATTTAGATAGTATTATGTAAATGTATTGTCTGAACTCTACAATTTAGATCAAGAATCTGATCTACCTTCCTTATAACTTCAACAGATCACAAAGAAGTGTTTATATATACCCATATGAGAAACAAATAAGTAAGCCATTGTGAAAAGGATAATTCTAAACCACAACTAACCATTAAACAAGTCTTTAACCAATATAATTTATTTTTATTTCATCAAGATGATTCCACAGTATGTGAAGAGAGGAGAAGAATACATAAGCATAGCTAAATTACCATCCATATTAAATTAACCATATATATTAATTTCTTATCAACAAGCATTATAACATACCAGCTTCTTGAGGACTTGATGGTTTTGCATAAACTGAATTCAGTGGAAATCCAGGTTCCCCCGGAATATCAAACTTGGATATAGCAAGCATATACATTTCCTGTTGCCCTTGATTTTTGGTAGAACATTTCTGCAGTTTCTTCAAACATTCTGATATATACAGTGTCAGATAAATAAGAACTCTGTCTGAGTCAGACTGAAAAAATGAAATAGAGAAGGGATTATACTATAAAATATATTTTAATAACAAATCTATAATATGTTGCCTTACCTTAATTTCATAAAATCTAAAGAATACGTTAGCCTTAAAGTAATTTAAAGCTTCGTCTATTATGTCTAATTCAAGTTTTGGGTTGAGTGGAGCCGGTCCCCGGAATGTTGTTCGAACCGGCAATAAGGCCAAGTTTCCTACAGATTGTGTATAATCCGTTAAAGTAGAATGATAGGCCTATAAAGTAATATCACAACGATTATGATTCATACAGATATAAACTTCGTCATAAATATTGTTACTTACTGGCATTTTATATGTATATTAAAAGCAAATTTGTTTTCCTGGCCCGCGACGTACAGTTAGCGATATTAATAAGTCCCTTTTTACGTCTCTATTTACCACAAATTGTGGTGTTTTCTCCCACGAAATATTTTCACGGTAGCGGCCAGCGGACAATAATTTATTCGATTTACCACGACATGACAACTGACATTTTACTATCGAATAAATGTGTTTTTTTGTTTTGCCCGTTTTTACATATACATTTTTTAACTGAGAGTGTATTTTTTATAAGACATGTATGCATTTAAAACTGCGTTATGGTCTACATAATTTACGATATACCTTATATAATAAACAATTTTAACATGCCATATTTATGCTTTTTTTTTACAGATATTCAACGCTTTGAGATGGTAACACTGTATAGTAAATTAAATAATAATTAGTTCTATACTCTATAATTTTCTACTAGTTGTCCATGGTTACTATGGCTGACGATCGACAAGCGTAGCCTGTCTAGGGTATAGGGATTGGTAAATATTTTCTTTCTGATCTATGTTAAATGTAAACTATTTCTTTGTTTATAGTAAATAGTGTTAAGAATGGAATTAAGTGACGAATAGTGCGTGAAAGCTGGAGTGGCCCTTCCTAAGTGAGTATAACAATACGATTCTTTAACACTTCCATATATGTTGATCAAATATGTTGTGTTTTCTATTATTTATATTTCCTTTTGAACGAAAAAAATTTCGAAAACCTACGTAATCCTCACTCATTTGGTAATTTTTCTTTATAGTAACAATAAATTAGAATATTGAAAGTACGTACGAGTTAAATGTAGTTTCCTTTCACTTCAAATTGTGATTTATTTCCGTGCTCTACTTATTTCGGCTTTAGCCAATGTTATCTTGACCATTGTTAACATTTAACATGATTATGGAAGGCGAGGATTTATTTTACATTACGCCTTTATTCAATCTATAGACCACCTAAATTCTTAAAAACTCCATAAATATATATAACAATATTTCAAGTGACCCATATATCATATAACTGAGTTTATTAAAACTATTCAATATACTACATTATCTTACATATAAAAAAGTTATCTTCTCTCTCTCTTAAAATGTTCTATTAGTATAATAAACAATTAATACAATGTATGTCTTTAACACAATTTGCTTATTATTTTTTGCAATAATATTTTAAGGGTTGAATCCTAGTTAATTAAAACAGTTAAACCCAACTAGGAGATTAAAATAAACCCATTAAGTTTGAATTCTACCCTATTGGTATAGAAGCATGTTGTATTGATGAAAATTAATATTAGTAAATAACTCAGTTATGATGTATGTAACTGAGCATGCTGTTTATATTTCCTTGTTATTACACATATTTTAGATCTGTGTATATTGTTTTCATATTATCTTACATGTTCATGTTATGAGATCTTTTTGTTATGTGACATTTGGATTTTGTTATTATTATACTTTTGGATAGATGAATTTTTTACTTTAACTCATTATTACAAGCCATTTGTATATATACACAGTGTCATCAATATGTGTTAGTAAAAAATTGTATTTTTTATTTAATTTCTCATTCACAGAGGGCTGTGCACATTAAATTCCAACAGTGACCAGTTAGTATCTTAGCTATAAGAAAAGCAGTACAATGGCGCAAGTAGGAGCTAACATGGAATATCAAGAATATAAATGGGCTTATTCAATTATGGACTCCTCAAGGTATGTAAATTTACTTCTCTTTATATATGTTTTAGTTGATTTAACTGCCAATCACCTGGTCTGCGTTTGAAATCCTTGGCCAAAAAAAATATTAATAATTTAACATTTAAAAGCACAATCTAAAAAAAAAATTAAAATGTTTAATCTCTCCTACGACTCAACACACATAAGCACTGAGCACATTTAATGTAAATAATAAAAAATATATAGATTTTATTCCTTTATAGAATGCAGGACACGAAATCTCTAGGCACTGTATCTAGAATAAACAATTTTCACTTTTTGTTTTATAAGTTACCTTCATCCTATTGTAGCAATTTAGGTTTTATGGTGATAGACAATATATTTAACCATTGAGCCATATTGTCGCGTTTAAATCATAACATTAAACATATAACATATTTATATAAAAAATTGATTTCTTCCACAGTAGTGGTACATGCGAGCAGCATACTATGTTTTGTGCGTTGTATATTCACATACTATCTATAGAAACAATAGATATTAACTATTATTTCGTAATTCCCACCGTTCAGTGGTGAGACGGTGAATAGTAATAACCGACGTTCTTAGATATGTCTATACATATGTCTAATTACACTAATAACGTCTAATAATAACCCTTTTAAAACTGTTTTTCGTAATTTCATAATACCTGTAATGGACGACTTCCGTTTATTACGCAGTCGATTAATTGTATAAGGATTTTAGAATTAACCAATATCTAAGTTGTTTTTTTATCGGTATTTATATCCGCCTAAACAACGTTTGGTATGCGGATAGTTAGAGCAAAGGGCACAAAAAAATCCAAGATCTAAAAATATTTGTATTTCTCTGTCATTTAATTTTTTTTCTTCGACAATTCTGGCGTCAACCGAAATTCCGCTTGTACTATAACTTGTATTTGGAATAAAAAATATCGATTATTTATTTTTTGTGTCAAATAAACTTTTTTAAACAAAATTGAATAAATGCAGTGTAGTACTTGGTGGTACACTGTAAGATACCAAAAATCAAGTTTCTTCGTGTGGGGCGTGTGTTATATGTCTGTTTCGCTGATTTCATTTACAGGTCACAGGCCTTCTTTATTCTGTGTCTAGCCAGAAACCATGTATCCGCAGAATTCGAACGCACTACCACGTGCTGAACAATACTAGTAAACGCGCTTATGCAAGAGATTTGAAAACTGACTTATATTAATTTCATTAGATACTTAGTCCTCTATTAACTCATATCGGTCAGCTCGATGGTGATAATACAAAGTAAAGTTTTTCATTTACACACTATACATCCGAAGCACTATAAGGGCACCCGTTATAGAAGTTAATTTATTATCTTCGTTAATAAGATTACGTGGACTGATTCTCTGCTGAGTTGTGTTGTTAACTTAAATAACCTTTCCTACTTTAGTAGGAAATCCGCGAAATAACCACTAAAGTGGAGACGTATAATAGCTACCTATTACCGCTATTGAGGTACGCTTCATGACCCACGTAGGGAAATTTCATATTTTATTATTGTTAAGTCAACAACTGTAATTCGCCACAAGTCATGCTTCCTAATATATATATATATATTGGTTGTCTGTCGTTTGAAATCGATACAAAAATATATTCTACAGACTGCTCTCGTGAAGAACACAGCCTTTCTCTTGTCGCAGTTTGACCGACGACCGAATTACCCAGATGCCTGCTCATGTGGAAAATGCTTTGTTGTTTAGAAATTAGGCGTGAAAAATATTGTAAAAGTTTTAAAGCGTCGTTCTCCAAAAAAAATTATGTTACCTGATCTAAGTACGGAATAATACATTTATTCAAATAATAAAATCGTAGGTGACTACGTATTTGTATTTTATTTTTTATAGTAAATTTAGTGTTCGTTTACTAAAAAAACTTTTAGGGTAGGCACTGTGGAAGCTACACTGGTATACATAGAGTTAAAAAGTAAAAAAAAATAATACGTTTTGTGGAATATGCCTAATCTAAATATAATCTATGCTTTTGTTACAGAGTGTCTGCGTGTTTGATATCCATGTTGCTTATTGTCTACGGCAGCTTCCGCTCTTTAAATATGGAACGCGAGGCCCGGGAAAAGGCGGAACGCGAAAGAGAAGCCTCTTTATTGGGAAACAAAACACCGCCCAGTAATTCATCTAGCAATAGTAAGATTTCCATTTTATAATCATTAAAACAAAATGTATTTATGTAATCTACAAAGACTTCGATGTTCTATTTGTTATGCTAAATATTTTCCATAGGCATTTTAATAGCCTCCAAAATCTTGTGTTACCTACTCTTTTACTGAATAGATTTTTTAAATTGTTTGGCTGTTTTTTTTTCTCATTTGTCTTTTATGAAAGGGCATAGATTTTTATTCACCTTTATGATTAAAATACTTTAAGACTTATTCGTAATAATTAAAAGTCCCACAAGGCTATAATATTTATTGTTAATTACAGATGTACAAACTTTGAATACAATGCAGGCGTTGTGTTTCCCTCTTGGTTCTTCTGTAGCGCTTCTCGTTATGTTTTTCTTCTTTGACTCCGTGCAAACGCTCGTCGCGATATGTACAGCCAGTAAGTGTATCAAACATATTACATTATATTTAAAACCTTATAATATAATAATAGTCTTTCATATTTGATCACATGTATCATAGCCATATAGTAGGGTAAAACTTTTTATAATATGTAAAAATACATTAATTCGCAAGTGTTAAGGTTGAAATCATAGCGCGAGAGTCGCATGAATCAATAGAAATAAAAAAGTCGACTATGACGAGTAGGACACTGTAGCTCAATTGGTTAAAGCAACAGCACGGAACGCGAAACGCCGTGGATGCCGGTATAAGTTCTGTCCCTGTCATATTTAAAAAAAAGCTAAAATCGATTTCTAATTTAAAAGTTTTAAGTAAAATGCATATTACATTTATGTTAAAATGTTTGTGCTCCATCAGTCGTCGCCTGTGCGGCGCTAGCGTTTCTTCTAACGCCATTGTGCCAATATATCGCTGGTGGGAATAGCCGGGCAGCGCTCTGCGGCAGGTACTCCGCCCCCGAACTAGCAGCTGCCTTGCTAGCTGCGGGTATAGTTGCGGTCTGGGTACTAACTGGTCACTGGCTTCTCATGGACGGTAATTATTCATCACATTATTTAAACCTTTATAAGAAACTTTTGAAGATCCACGGTTTTACTTTACAATTTAACACGCTTGACAAGACCAATGTCTATTTGACTGTAAATATCTATCATTCTTCGTCTACTTTTGCCTCTAATACAAAAGTCTCATTATGACCATGTTCGACATTTTTCAATAAGTTCAAGGATTAAATATTTTTTTTAATTTTGTTTGCGTCGCCTACTTTACACATCTTTTTTCTCCTAAATTTAAGATTCCCAGGAAGAAATCACTTGAAAGCGATACCGCACTCCATTGCTAGAATGATCACATAAGTTTTATCTGTATTATTACTTTGTGCTATAAGGAAGATTAGGCCACAACTTACAAATTAAATGTATACATATACACACGAATTAAAGATCAATTTATTTAGTATGTTAATATATACATATATCAATACTGACTTCATCAACGAACACTTTAATAAGTTTGAATTTATACTCTTTTATTTTTCCAGCTATGGGTATGGGGCTTTGCGTCACATTTATCGCGCTGATCCGGCTGCCCTCGCTGAAGGTGTCCACTCTGCTTCTCACTGGACTGCTCCTATACGACGTCTTCTGGGTTTTCTTCTCGTCTTACATTTTCACTGCCAACGTTATGGTCAAAGTTGCTACTAGGTTTGTCATTCTTTATATTGCGCTTCTAGATATTAAGAGCTGTTTTTAAATTTCATCTTTTTTTATAAACATTGCAACTATATTTCGTTTTATTAATAGTTAGAGCCTTACTCGAGTACTACTTTCACTATATACAACATCTATTCTTCTATTTTAATAATATGTAGCTAGTACTGTACTAGCTGTGTCCGCGACTTTGTCCACGTAGTATTATTATTTTGAACATCAAAATTATTATGAATATTTTTCTTCTTCAGAGGTTTTTTGCTCCGTTTTCGCAGCCGCGTAACAAAAGCCCTTAAAATATAGATTTTCACGGGTTTTCCCACATTTTCCACTATTCCTCCTGACCCATTGTTTTCAATCTGAAATTTTATATCCTATCTGGCACAAAAATAGTTTTTTTAATTCGAACCACTACTTCCTGCGATAAGCGCGTTCAAACAAACAAACACTTAACCTTAATAACATTAACGCCTCGAACGACTTGGTAGCTCAATTGGAGAGCAACAGCACGGAACGCTGACGATGCCGGTTCAAGTCCTGCCCGAGTCGAAATTTTTTTCAATTTATTATCGATTTTTAAATTATACATATAGTGCCTTCATGTGCAATAACATGTGAAAAATAATAAAGTTTTGAACATTAGAATATATTTTTGTTTTGCGTTGCGATTTATGAAGCTTCCTTTACATATCGGACAAGAGATGAAGGCTTTTCATGGTAAGGAAATAGACTAAATAGTCAACTTTACATTTCAGGCCTGCGGAGAACCCGATGAATGTCGTCGCGCGCCGGCTGCAATTAGGCGGCGCGATGCGTGATGCTCCTAAGCTGTCATTGCCGGCCAAGCTCGTATTCCCATCGATGCATCATCAGGGCCATTTCTCTATGCTCGGTACGTTACTTACTTGCGTTGCTTTATACTGGATAAGCTAATTCGTATGTTTTATAATTTCACAAAAATACATTTTGACAGAAAATAACATGTTTTAAACAGTAAACTTAAAAGCCAAAAAATAAATTACGTCGCTAATTGTAATACGTATTTAAATACTGTCTGTAGTTAATGCGAGCAATACGCATTCATTTGAAAACATTAATAATTTTCCCAATTTTTTGCCAAAAAAGGGAAAAAAAAAAAAAAAAAAAAAAAAAAAAAAAAAAAAAAATTTTTCCCCGGCGGGGGGGGGTGCCGGGGCGGCGGGGGCCCCGCGGGTTTTCCTTTTTAAAAAAAAAGAAAGAAGGAAATATTTTTTTTTTATTTGTTTTTAAATAATACGCATTCAATTAAAATACTAACGGTTTAAAACGGGATATATATTAGTTACATTATTTTAACTACGGCCCGACGTTTCGCTTTCACCACTTCAGACGTGATCACGGAATCTCTTTATTAAAATAATTCTTAAATAAATTGAACTAATATAAATCACGTATATATTGTAATATTTTGGTTTAGTTAAAAAAATTGATCGAAAATACCGTGTTTTCTACAAAAAAAATGGTTCTCAACAAGCCTATTATAAAGGGAGTTATAATACATACTCTTATTTTCATTATAATAATTTGTGTGCTGCCCTTGACAACATCTTCATCAACAAACCCATTATTCCAGGCTTAGGTGACATTGTCATGCCGGGTTTGCTTCTATGCTTCGTGTTGCGATATGACGCCTACAAGAAGGCTACACTCGTCTGCCAGATGGGTCAAGTTCCTGGTCCCCGATCTATGGTAAGAACTAAGAATATCTTCACGATTTTATTATTTCTTTTATATCGTATACTCTTGTATATCGTTTTGCGGTTAGTAATAATAGTCGATTCTCTGATTCGTCCATAAATGTCTACGGAGACTAACGAATCAATATTTATTACAAAACATGTAACAAGAGCCCAGTTTATAATAATATTAAATTAACAATTTAAATTAAACGATTTGACGGTTTAAAACGCTATATATATTATTCAACTTATTTAAAATTTATTTAACTATGGCCCGACGTTTCGGATGTTTTACAGCAGCCGTGGTCACGGGGAGACCCTCTATTTAAAATAGATTTCAAATAAGTGTTATTAATATAAAAATTATTTTATTATTAACAGTATTTGATAACATTAACAAGTTAATTCGATAGGGTTCCCGTTTGACCTACTTCCACTGCTCTCTATTGGGGTACTTCCTGGGGCTGCTGACGGCGACCGTGTCCGCTGAAGTGTTCAAGGCAGCGCAGCCAGCGTTGCTATACCTCGTGCCCTTCACGTTGCTGCCATTGCTCACCATGGCTTATGTCAAGGTATTTACGACTAGCTGTTGTCTGCGGTTCTCACATTGTGAACCCGATTATTTGGTCTCAATTAAAAGTAGTCGAGTAGCAAAATATATAATAAGCTCTGCTATGACTATTATAAAGATTCCAGAAGCGATGATTTGTGTCAAATAAAACGTTAGATCGGATCTATTTAAATGTTTACTCGTTACTCTATTTACTACGGGCAGTATGTAGATCATACATTTTATAAATTAAGCATAAAAACCGAAAGACAAAGTTCAATAATTCTTATTGCAATATATTCCAATAAATACATTCATATTCTACCATTTTTACGACACAGGGCGATCTAAGAAGAATGTGGAGCGAACCGTTCATAGCGCCACCTAACGGGAAGCTTGGCGCGGATTTCGACGTCTGAACATGTAACCGCCTTAATATAAGATTTAACTTTGATAGATGTTCTACTGAGACTTACAGAACTATTGATGCAACAGACTGTAAAACGCTGTTCAGATATATTTTCTGGATGGTGCTGCGTTGAGACTAGTACGGTTTGAAAACTTTCTGACCTATAAGTCCGCGTATGGACAGCGCGTGCGCATGTCTTGGAACGCCGGTTCGCACGTAGCTTAAAATATTGGAGCTGTTTACAATTGAAAAAAAATATTCGGATAAAAAAACTTCGAAACATTTTATAGCTGTTTTAAACGATAATTGCCCAGATTTCATTATGTCACAAAATTATAATTTTTTTGTTTTTTTTTATCATAAGCTGAAAACATACCCTCGTTAAAGGTAAAAACTAAAAGTCTCTTAAATAACTTTTACTACCACTCAAATCAAGGCTGTAGAAGTGGAGAAGAACAGGCAAGAACATCAAATGATATGCTTATTAAACCATGTAAGAAGATAAAGCTTTTTATATTCTATTTTATCTTCGAGTTAGTACATTTCCAGATTGTTTCCCTTCTGGTAATAAAAACTGAATCTCGATGTAGAACATCTCAGAATAACTTTAGTAAAGGCAAGTTTACTGCTTCTTGAAACTCTATGAGTATTTTTTATTTTGTATAAAACATATTCAAATATATATATTTAAAAAAAAACTTTTTTAAGTATTGCCTTAAATAACATTAAATATTATGAAACACAAAAGTTAATTTTTAAGTTTAAATTCAACATAACTTTTCAAGTGACAGTAAAACTTGGACATTATTACAATGAAGATAGTGTATAATACGAAAACGTGTCTATTATTAAAATTGATGTTAAAGTTTAGATATACGTTTGAAATCAAAGATATTATTAGATTATGCCTATAGAATATAACCTGTTGTAGCAAATACTAAATCATGTGAGAACACAATGTACTATTATCTGAATTTACGCCAATAATTTTTGTGTTTAATATTTTCCAGTAAAATCGTATTCTATGTTGAGGCTATAAATGAGTTTTGATACATGTTTAACCAAACAAAACATGTCGGTCGATCACAATGGCTTTGTGTATAAAAAATCCTACCTACCCAGTGTAAAATTATTGATGTAAGTGCAATGAGAATTTTTACTTTAATGTGCTCATAAGTAAAACAGGAAATATGCTATTCTAATTATTTAAGCTTTACGAATAACTATCGAGATCTCTTACATTATATACATTTAAATGATTTGTTTGTCTGTCATCAAACGGGTGATTGCATCAACTTTTTTAAAGATTTGTCTAAAGCCCCTAAAAGCTTGATATTTTGATATCACGGTTAAGCTAAAGTTTTTAAAATTAGATAAGAAAGTTTATATAAAAATGACTGATTACAAAATAATGTAATTATTTTCCCAGTATGTACCTTTTAGGTGTGGACTCTATGATATACAAATCTTTGTCAGTTGTAGCCAGTAATTTTATTCTTACTAGAAATCTTTCTATTTACTTAATGTTTTAAATGTTTATTGAACGGTTAATGTTATAATGATTAATTACGAAGCGTGTGGTGTATCTGTTAAGTGAAGATTTATCAATATCCCAAGTCTGGTAATTCACAGACATGTCTGCGACAGTTCGATCCCGTTGTTATTAATGGCATCTACAAAAATCTCATCTGTCTGTAAACCAGTGTCATGTCAGAGGCAAGCAAGTATTATGCTTGTAGAATACCCAAACACACTAGACATTGTCAATAGCTGACTTCAGACCCTGTATGTTCCGTATAGTGTATCGTCATGTCTTTTCTTCTTATTGTTATGTGTTAGATCTGCATTTTGTAATTAAGATATTTTATATTGCTCTCTTAACAACCTCTTTTGTGAAAGACAGGCCTAAGACTAATCAATTTTGCTTATGGCGATTTACATTGTTGCCATTTTATATCATACTCAGAAAACTAAATAGTAAGTTGATCAAATTAGGATGGTGTGGTCGTTCTCCACCTCACAATGTAAATGAATCGTTTTGTTATAGATCTACGTGTATTGTGATATTAACACAGCACAATAAAACTTCCACCCACTAAAGTGTTTTAAAATGCACCTGACTCAAATATTAATTTTACCACTGTCCTTTATGTTTTATAATATGTAAAAATATTATCATAATAAAACATAATTTAAAAGGCTTCACCAAACTCTTGGTTTATTGATAAAAAAAATTACCTGATACAGAACAAACTTTTTCTACAATATTTTTAGAGACTAGCCATGGTGAATTGTTCATAACTGATCACTTTAATAATAGATGGAGGTTGAAAAGTTTTAAGTTATTTTAGAGACATTTTACATGCATTATTTGTACAATGAATTGATTACTGTAGTGAGATTACCTTCTTAAATAGCGACGTAACCAATACATCTCCCTTCAGATCAAGGTACTTAGGTTTAATTGTTTATACTCATATTTGATGCTGATGATATAATAATTCTTTTTTAAATGAATTTACATGTTTATTTTATTGGAAAATTATTGTTAGTGTAGTATATTTTTCAGTAAATCAGAATTTGTTAAACTATATATAAAAAATACTAATTACTGTCAAGTGTCCCTATGTAGTTGTAATGTCTTGATTATTATTAACATGCTATCAGTGTTTCTGTACTAAAATTAAAGGACAAATTTTTAACATCTGCCTCTATATAAGTCTTATTTTTGTTTCATTTTAAGGATAGGTTTTTGTAACTATGTGGTGTCAACATTTTCCCTACTATGTTTGTCAAATATTCTCAGATGTAAATAGCTAATCTGTATTTTTAAGACTAATGTAACATTGTTTTCCTGCCTATTGCATCACAAATAGAATGTATATATTATGTAATTCTGACACGTCATATTCCACTTATCCTATAAATGGGAAAATGCATGTAATATTTTTAAATGTATTTGGAAGTGTTCAATACCAAATAAAAATATTAGATGGACATCATTCTTGTTTATTTTTGGGTGTACAAATATCAGGATTATACTCTCTCTAAATCATTCTTTTTATAAAGCTTTATTGGTATCCCGTTTCTCTATAAACCGTAGTTGCTTTTTCTTCATTCGTTTTAATTTCTTAGTGTTGGTTATTACTTGAACAATCTCAGACTTCTTTTTATTTTCTTCAGCCCGCTTCAAGTTTTCACGTCTACGTTCCTTTCGTGCTTGCTCTCTTTCTTGAGCTTGTGCTACTATTTGCCGTGATAATTCCTTTGTTTTTTGTAATTCTGAACATAAAACTTTTTTTTTCTCAAAACCCAATCGAATCCCTTTTGTTTTCACTATGGAGTTGAACCTGGAAGTATTTTTGTTGTCAAAATTAATTTTAAAATGAACAAGGAAAATTAAAAACCTTACAAGTGTAAGGTAAGTATTGCCTGTGATTACATTTTATTAGAATAGGAAAAGAACTGGAAGATTATTAAACATAACTTGTGTCTTAGATAATATATTTAATTCTATGTAATATTAAGATACCAGGGCTGGAAGTCCAACAGTCTCACCTTTCTTTTTTTGATTTCCAAAATCTACCAGATTTAGGGATACCTCTTATTTCGTTGCCCTTTTTCTTTTTATTCAGCTGTTTTGCTACACCAGACGTATTTTTTGTAACTTCAGGAACATCTTCCGTGTTATTACTTTTAATCTCATTTAATATAGAGAGCACCTTTACCTCTGTATTGTTTTTCGTGTCCATACTTATAACGTAATTACCACGTCGATATCAATAGAATAACGAATATATCAGTTCTTTTAGTAAATAAGGCAAGCAAAACAAGCCTAACCTCACAATCACATTTATATTTATAATTTATGCAACAGGGTACCTATCACAAGCAATGTCAATCTTATATCAAACCATAGAAACATTTTAGGGAAATGTCAAACACGTGAATAATTATCTGAATGTTCTGTGGACTATAATTAATGACGTTAGCAATGTCTGTGGTTCTTGTTGACATTTTTGTATGAATTTCGAGGTGCACCTGCTTTGAACTAAAACTTTGTTTCTAAAAATGAAGATATCAATTGTATTATTTCGTCGAAATCTTTTGCCTAATGGGCACATATTCAGAGGCAAAGATCGCCTCGTGAAAAGAGTGGAACCCAGGCATCTTCGTCAATTGGAACGTGACTTAGAAATCGAAGAAAACAATATGTTTTACCTTCGACATCCCTATTTAACGGAGGTGAATACTAGTATATTATATATTATATGAATGGCAAATCCGGTATGTCTATGTGTATTGAAGAGTTGAATTATTTGTTTCAGGCTGAAAGCTTTGGTCACTCGAAAGCATTAGGAAATCAATTGGCACGCAAAGAAAGACTTATAGATACTTCTAGGAGGATTTTCAAACAAGATGTTACATTGTATGAGAGGTTGGGACATCTTAGGGTAAAAGAAACATGGGATTAGTTGATATATAAAATATTTATTAGTTAGTAATAGTATTTTTGAAATAAATAATTTTGTTAGAGTACCTTTATTATATTTTAACATAAAATATTTACACCACTATAAGGACAAAGTTAGGAAACCGATTAAATAGAGTGAAATTTATGGTTATGACAAACTCTGCATTAAACAGTTGTAGATAAACTTATAAAATTTCTGCAATTTCCTAATTAATGGAGACTAACTTTTTGGAGACAATTGATCTCCGTCTCAGTCAATGAATCTACTAATAAAATCAAAAAGAGATAGCTCTATACAAAAATATTATATCCCATATTAATTGAATTTAAAGAAAGTTGTGTTCAATAATAAAAGCTGATTAATAAAATAACATATGGAGGAATACTATATTTTTAGTGTAATTTTCTTCAGATCTTGGTGACATAATACTTGTTTAATACTTTTTTTTCTTAACTTAAATATATTCTGATGTTAAATCTTACTAAAAGCATAACACACAAGACAAGATGCATATGGACTCCCCCTTTGTTAGCAAAAGTAAGCTAATCCTCTCATACTTATGTAAATGCAACAACTTAAAAGTTTACACCTAGTGCTTACCTTTTGGTGGTGAATTGAATTGTGATTGAATAAATATAAAACCTCTTTGACCCATTTTAAACCTACATGTTTATACAAACGTGAACAAATAATTACACCTATTATCACATTTTTTTTAAGTAAGCTTAACTTGTTCTATAGAATAATTTAAACGCAAGCCATATGCAACAAGAAATTACACAAAAGCATACATAACATTATATATACTATTTTTTTTTGTCTGTACTACTCGCGTAAACCATCAGTATACATAGACTATATATTTTCCAAAATATTATCTTGCACATCATATAAAAAAGATATCAGAAAATCTTTCTTCACCTAATGAATGGACTCAGTCCAGGAAAAGAAATTATTTTCAAGATCCTTCTTATATATTGATTTTCCTTGATGGAGAAGTTCCGCAAATTGTGACACAACTGGATCTCTCATGCAAGAAGCAACTGATATTACTTTATCAGATTCATCAAAGAAAAATACAACAAATTTCAGGTCAGCTACATTTCCTTCTATCAAGGAACTAGCTGGCTTGCCGCATCCAGCATACCTGATTGACTTTCCAAAGAGCATGGTCCAAAAATAAGGCACTGTTCGTAGAGGAGTTTCTTTCTTTAAAATGTTTTTTGCGGCTACAAGACCATGATATTGAGACAAACCAATATGACCAATGGACATAGGGGTGTTATTATTGGCGAATACAGGTGCATATGCTATATCACCACCAGCAAAGACATTCTTAACATTTGTTTCAAGTTTATCATTAACATTGACTGCACCATTTGGGAGTAAGTTGATTCCACTATTTTGAAGGAAGTCTGTGTAAAATGTAGTACCTATTCCCAAAACTAACATGTCTGCTGGCAATACATCACCATTTCCTAATTCTACTGATTTAAGTGTTCCACCTTCACCATTACATTTAACAACAGTTGTTTCAAAGTGGAATTTTACATTGTTACTTTCAAACAGTGTTTGTAAGCTTTTTCCAATTTCTGTTCCAAATATCTGACCGAGAGGCGCGGTGTCCTTACCCACAACGGTCATAGACTTTGATTTAGAAACACATGAAGACGCAACTTCTAAGCCTATGAAACTCAACCCCAACACAACTACATCTTTATCCTTACCTGAGCCTAAAAGATTAAGAATATTCATGGAATCATCAAAATTCCTTACAGTAAAAATATTTTTCAAATCAATTCCAGGAATATTAGGCAGACGTGGTTTCGACCCGGTTGCCAAATAGAGCGCGCTATACTTTCGTTTGGTACTGTTGCTTAATTCTACACTTCTTTCATCTGTGTTAACTTTTACCACCTCAATTCCCTTCAGAATTTCTATGTTTGATTCATCGTAGTACTGTTGGTTTCGAGCTTGCAGTTTCTCGATATCGGTGACAGTTCCAATCTTAGAGACTTTAACTCTATCATATGGAAGATAATTTTCTTTAGAGATAAGGGTGATGCGACCCTTAAAACCTTCACTTCTGAGAGTTTCAGCGCAGGTCGCGCCTGAAGGTCCTCCGCCAACTATTATTACTGTAGATTCTTCACAAGGGCACGTAACGGTAGTTTCCTTGACACGTTTGTTTGATTTTAAGTCTGATATTTTAGCTCTTACCTGGAACAATTTAACAACAACATTTTATAGTTTTTACTTTTAGAGGCTTATTCTTTAATAATAGTTCTAAGGACTTTGTGTGGAAATGGGTGCTAAAGATAACATTTTAAGTTGCGAGCCATGTTGTTTGTAGAGGTCAAATTGACTTTGACCTTGATTTCTAAAATGAAAGCTATAGCAAGGCCTACAAGTTTAGGCTGTTTGTTAGTTATGCCATGATATGGTTACATAATTTCCCCACGCAACAAGTGACACTCATTTACTACTGTTTTTGAACAAATTTTGAAATATTAAAAAAGGCTTATTCGCCTTTTAAATGTATGCTTGCATGGTTTCTATATTATGACAATATATAGCTATCACATTAAATTCCATTCAATTTACAGGATACGCCTCATGAAAACAAAAATTGTGAAAAGGAAAACCATTAAAATAGAAGTAGTGGTCAGGAGTGCACTAAAATAAGTGTTGTGATAGTGAGAAATGATATGATTATTTTTACCACATCCTGTTAGATACAAGTCATTTCTTGTAAGTGATTAATGGTATATATAAAAATGTATTATATACATATATATGTATAACAAATTCTAACTTAGTCAAGATTGATTTGTTAGAGTCTGAAAACTACATTCACTACATCTAGCACTAGCTGACCTGGCAAACGCTGTTTTGTATTAAAGTATTGAAGTATTTCTAAAGAATGAAAATGAAGTACCCTGATTTAATAATAATAATAAATCTCTTTATTCAGCATTATTTTACAATAAAAATAATTAATAAAAGTAAAATAATAATAATACTACAAAAATTAAATTAAATTTTGTATAATAATGATGCCAAAATTTCATAATTGCAGCAGTTATTATTGTTACAAAATGAAGTACCTTTCTGTTAAACTTGATTTGATGAACTTTTTATTTTAACTGCAGTTCAAATCATAAAATAACTTCAATATTAATTATGTTTGCTGTAAGTGAGCACATCATGAAAACTCTGTTTAGTTTAGTTTTCTAGCAATAAATGTGCCTATGTTACTCAGTATAAATATAGCTTTCTAGTGGGTAAAGAATTTTTGAAATCACCATTTGTTATAATATATCAATTATAAACAAACACACATGCAAAATTACAAATCTTTCGCTTTATAACAGAAGTGTATTATAGGGTATTGTAGTATAGTATAGTGTATTGTAGCTTATAACACTATGTCGCAACCTAGACAATACACATAGACCAATATAAAGATTGAATTGTCATGATTATATTAACACTAAGTAACACTTACCTTTACTTCGCCCTTATCTGAAACAGTTACTTGGTGACATGGTAGAGAATCAAATCCAGGAAAATCTTCAATATCACCAGTTTTCAAATTGAAACAAGCTCCATGCCAAGGACATCTAATTCTTCCATTACCAAGAGCTCCATTATTCAAAGGAGCACCATAATGAGTACATTTTGGGCCAACAGCATTAAATTCTCCATTCTGTTTAACTAAAAGCACTTTACCCTCATCAGCAATATCAAATACCTTCATCTCATTATCTTTTAAATCATTGGCATTACACACAATAGCTTCTACATAATCTGTGTTTGAGCTAGTACTTGTTACTGTTTCACCTGTTGATTGGAGAAAAAGAAAAGTAATAATTACATTTATTTATAAAATAAATTACATTTATGAATGTACTTATATATATAGTATAATACTACTTACGCCGCGAATCATTTTTCGATGACGTTCCTTGTTGGTTTGGAGAATAAGACCGAGACTCAGAATTACCCATTTTTCTTATTTTTGTTCCTTTTATTGAACCTGAAATAAACTGTTAAATTTCAATGAAAGAAGTATAGAATATATTATGACTGTCGTATACGTAGTGTTTTTCGCTGTAGATAAATTACTCACGAGAATTCAAAACTATTGAAAGAGAAAGGATCACCTTGAATAAAACCCGAAGCAATCTTATAGCCAGTGTGGCGGCAAGATCTGATGGCAAACATAATATTAAAAAAAATATGGTACTTACTAAAACTAAGGCAAAATTTACTAAAGGTAGTAAATATTTTATAATGATACCAGTTAAGACCACCAACTATCAAGAGCTATGTGATGAGTGTAACGCAAAAACCATAAGTTGTATATTACTTGTATTTGATATTGATAAGTACCGGCCTTATTGCTTACATCACTTTTTTATAAAAAAAATTTGCAGATCTATAAGTATTAAATGATGAGATATAATGCCAAGTGAAAATATTTAAATTGAAAATAACTAAATCATTATATTCTTTAACCTTTTTGATTATTAATTTAACGAAACAAGATACAAATACAGATTCTATACTCAATTTCACAGATTAGTCAAGAATGTACTTGCAATAGCCACAGACAAATAAGATAAAATATATTGTTAGTGAAAGCAACATGAGCTTACATCTGTGGCCGTACATCATAACGATATGTTTATAATCTATCGCAATTAGAAATGATAGGTAATATATTAGCTAATTTTCAATCTATGGTGATTGGTCATGAACGTGGCCGAGACGGTGTGATGTATTCTTAAGTAAAAAACGAAAATATTTGTTAAAAATGTCGGAAGTTCTCGTACCTAAAGGCCAACCTTTACCTGGCGATCCTGAAAAAAAGGGTTGGCTATTTAAATGGACAAATTATCTAAAGGGATACCAGCGAAGATGGTTTGTGTTGTCAAACGGACTATTATCATACTACAGGTATTTATTATCATTTATTTTCTCGAATTTTTAGTAATTACAATTCGAGTCAGTAATTAAGATCAAATTAGATACGTTGTGTGTTTAATTGTCGGTGGCCTCTAGCCCCTATTTAAGCTCCTTTATGATGTTTTGGTTCAAATTAATAGCATAATATATTATTATATTTTGCGTTAATTAATGTTGCAGTTACTTCTAAAACATGTATAATATATATAAGTGTTCCTGATAACTTCAAGTATTATCTAAGTCAAAGCATTGTCGAAATAAGAATTGAATTATTTTGAATAATAAATCTCACTTCTTTGGAAGGTGGCCAATTTTTTATAAGAAACTGAGCTCTTAAGCATTTCTACATGAGGAAAAATGATCTAGTAATTTTTTTATCATCATAATTTTGTACATATGTATTTTAAAGTTTTTTAAAGATTTATAATAAAAAGAGATTTGGTCTTAGGTTACATATATTTTGACAACAGTTATTCCAATATTTTACAAATGCTTATTTAATTATGCTTACAATGCTGTTGATTTGCTTCTGCCATTATATACAGTATTGAATGGAAATTTTATTTTTAATTATTTTTATGTTTTAGAAATCAAGCAGAGATGGCACACACATGTCGAGGAACTATATCCCTTCTTGGTGCTTTGATTCATCCTACAGATTCCTGTACATTTGTTATTACCAATGGAGGAACACAAACATTTCACATCAGAGCTCATGATGAAGTGGAACGGCAAAGCTGGGTTACAGCTCTGGAACTAGCTAAAGCAAAAGCCATGTTAGTGTTATTTTGAATAATATGATCTTAAGATATATTGTCATATTGCCTAAATAAGATATGTTTGTTGAACCAAAATAACTCAAAAGCCAAATTGCATTTGTCACCTACAACCAAAAAGTGGCTGCTCAAATACAAATACAAACAGTTTTCAATTTTTAATAAACAAAGACAAAAATATGCACAATAGAACTTTGCCCCAAGATATTATATTAACTACATTAACCTTTTTATAAGTGGTGACCTAATCTATTGATACATCCAAATTAAAATTATGTGGACAGTGCATCTTGTTGAGATGTTATTTGGCTGGGGTGTTTCAACTTAAATCAAGTGACTTCCCCCCTTCCGAACGAACCCCTATTATAAAAAAAAACAAAGTCAAATTTAAATAAAGATCGAGTTTTTCATGATATTTGAATTATTTTTTCAAAAAAAATATATTTGAAAATAATGAGATAGATATAATAAGATACTTGAAATTAGGTACTTTTATCAATGTGTATTATTTTGATTTTTCTCTTTGGTGTAGTAAGATTATATTTAATAAATTATATTTGAACATATGCATTATACATTGTTATCATATACATAATTACACTGCTCTTAAACTATACTTAGATGTAAATCAAGGACATATTTAAGAGTCAAAAATTTTCTCAAGTATATGTTTTAAAGGTATTTGCTGGTAATTAAACATTTTTCCTATTGTAGTCGCGCACAAGAATCTGACGATGATGATGATCAGATGAATTCATGTCCAGTACCACAATCTAATGAAGGTGAGGGTGAGGATGCTGGTGGCATAGCAAGGGAACTTTCTGCTAGGTTTCATGATCTGCGTACATGTTCTGAACTGGTACAATATTCAACATATCTCTTTCATTTTACTTTTAATATAGAACATTCTAAAAAATATTAATGATTTTCAGGTTACGAAACATGGTGCTGCACTTCAAAGATCTTTAGTAGATCTAGAAATTCCACCATCAGACTCGACCAAGCAAGTCTCCGAAAGAGCCACTTTATTCAGGATATCTTGCAATGCTATGATGAATGTAAGCTGAATAAAATACAAAGGGCTATTTAAAAATCGGTTGTGTTTCTGCTTTTGTCTGTTAGCTAATTGATATAATTCACGGAATTTTTCTTTAAAGGATATAAAGTTTGCATTGTGAAGCCAACCGAAATTTATTGTATCATAAGTCATCTATGTCTAAATGTATCATAAGTCAGACTATGCAGGTAGCTCAGTCCTGAAGGATTTGACGTTCTAATTAAATATGTACATTATCAGGCATGCGGAGAGTTTATGAGCACAGCAGCGGCATCAAGCGCACGTATGAGCCGCGCATTGCAACATGAACGTGAGCAAAAAATGCGACTACAAGAAATTGTCGAGCAACTCGCCCGGCAGCACGACTCTCTGGAGAAAACTGTCGCAAGGAGTACTCCACACACAGCGGGTAAGATTTGCTTAGATCCAATCACATTGGGAAATGATGATATTGTTAAAGTGACATTTTTAAGTCTATAGAAATATCAATGTCATTATTTTTCATTGTATTTTATTCAAAATCTCAGTAAAAGGTGTCTATCTATCACATCTCACACACAATCCCACTGAGAACTAACTGAAAAAGTGCAGTAAAATTGTTGTAAATCTTAATTATATTTTGTAGGCACAAATTTCTATCTGTTGCAGAGCCAAATTGCTTTAAATATTAAATTCCATTTATTATTAACACACTTCCCATTGTTATCTTGCTATTATCTCACTGTTTGCCTCATTCACAGGAAGATTGATAATCAAATTTACTAAGTATTCAATTTGAATCCATCAACATAATCATTGTACTCATATTATATTTAATTATTGATGTTATTATTTAATATTTTAATATTATTGTAGATAATGTAAATTACACAGATATTGCTCGAAACTTTTGATACGAATATTGCCGAGTTAACTTTTGAAAACATACCTTATTTTTAAAATTATAAATAGTATAATTCATATTATATTTTAAGAGATCAGACAAAAAATAGTTATAAGAGGATTTTTAAAATATAATTTTCGTGTTTGAATGGAAAACTTAAACTAATTACACCAGCAGTAATCATTTTAAAAGAAGACTTGAAACTTGAGAAGGAAATGGAATCATGAATAAACTTCCGATCAATTTGACACTTGACATTGGCTCAGTATATTTTTAACCTGTGACTGACATTACTCCGATTACTGGTGACGGATCACAAAAATCGGAAATGTTTCATTAATTGGGCGATTTGACGACTTCAGTTTTGTAAAATTATCACTGAGTTTGTGTTAAAATTATTCCACCTTAAAATTGTCAAGTTCTTTAAATTGTTTTATATAAAAATGTATAAAAAGAAATAATCCTAACGCTCGTTTCGGTAGGTAAATCGGGCTTAATAGTGTTCTTTATTTGTAAAATTTGTTTGGAATCTTCTTTTGGATATCAAGGTTGTATTACAGAAACAAATGTCTTGCAATTTTAATTAGTGCTACGCGCTGTTTGCGTATTCGTTTATCGAATTATCGTATGCTTTAAAGTGTTGTTCCGGCGAGGCTTTAAAACAATACGAAGATATAGTACTACTTCCGTATTAATGTTCTCTAGGTTATTTGCTACTTTTGAGTAAATAATATTTTACTAAGAATACGTCATGGGTGGTAAGTGAGAATATAATAAAGATTTTCGTTTGCTCAGTGTCATCACATTGCAAATCTGAACAAAATGCATGTATATTGTGGTATTTGTGTGCAAATCATCAAGTAAAACAAAGGTATATTGTTTATCACTTGCTATACAATATAAATCACTAATATTAAATATAATAAATCTAATTCTAGGCTCTTCTTTTCGATCAGGAAGGAAATGACAAGTGCCATTCAGGGGTGTTTAAATTATTTCGTGAATTTAATTTGGCCTAGAAGAAACACTCAAAGTGATGTACCTATTGATTACAATTCTCTCATTTCAATACTGTAGATGTTAAATAAGTTTCTGTAAAATGTTGTCTTTCTGAAACATAATGTATTTACATTTCTATTCTAGTGTATTTATATTTCTACTTTGTAATTATGTAAATATAGACAGTTTACCGTATTGTAAGTTCATATTGAATGTGATGTAAAATGTTGTTGGTAATAACCAAGGTTTCTTCTTATTCTTATCAATGTAATAATATTGCACTTACACTATTAAAATTAGTTTTATCTTTATTTGTATCAAGTTTGAATTTTCATTACAGAATACGATTAATTAATATTGATGGTGATCAATTGTATTCATACACCTCCATCACATGATGCTAAAGCAACAAGTCTTCAAGCTTTTCACCTTTGTTGCCTTTGTATAAAATGTGATCTAAAAAACACGCTTTCACAGCTCACTAGGCATTCTAATATTGCTTACTTGGACAAACATAGAAACAAACAAATTCTTTACACAAAAAGTGTGACTCACTTAAACAGTTATAATATTAAACTTCAATATTATAATACGTTTTACATTCTAGTTAATTGATCTCAGTGTATAGGGCTAGTGTTAAAAATAGATATGTTTGGTGATATTCCTAATTGTCATCAATTATCCGACGATTTATTTATCTACCAAAGGTAATTAGTAAGCTATTAATCTTAATGTTATTGTTATAGGAGGGACCAATTCAGGACAAAATAACGATACTGAAGATGAGGAACACGAATTTTTCGATGCTGTTGAAGAGGGGACTACCTCAGGAATGGAGGATAAAAACTCTTTTGTAATTAAAGTGCCTGTGAGTTTTTTTAATTTTGTGAACGCCGCTGGCTTTTAGTTTTTAGGCTATTTTAAACTGTTTTGTGAGCTTTATGGTCCTAATGGTTTGATGGATTTTAAAAATTCTAATGATTTATAAACAGAAATAACTTTTTGCTATCATATACAGTTCAAAGACTCTGATGTGTTTTAGGTGAATAGAAAAAATAAAGTAAAAAGTGGAGAAAGTTCAGACGAGTCTGAGGCAGAAACTGTAACGGAGACACAGCAAGTAAGTAGCATGTCATTATATTGATTGCTACTAAAAGGAATTACATACAATTAAAAAACACCAATTTAAAAAGTAATAAAAAAAATTAAGTTTCTGTTAAGTTCTCAGATTAAATATATTGCTTGTGATAGAGCTTAAAAACAGTAATGCATGCTTAAATCATAATGGAACGCAGATCACTTAAAGAAATATAATACCACTGTTAGCTTATGCAAAAATATATACTTACGTCTATAGGTATCCTCAAACCAATTACCATTGTCCGTGACATGCCAGGCTCTCCACTATTGTGTTATATGTTTCTTGTTTATTAAAAAAACATCTGGTTTTTCAAAGCTATTAGACATACATGTCTGTTAAATTTAATACAATATGTTTACTAATTAAAAAGCGAAACTAGGGTTGTGGCTTTAATAAAAATAGAGGTTATTATTTTTGAGGTGAAAATTAGTAGATATTATCTATTTCTACTTTTGAGCTGTTTGGATTAAGTGTTAATATTTTAGTGCGATTCTGTGAAATTATAATGTTAAATAAGCGTATTCCATTAGGTGATATTCGTAGAAGACAAAGAACGAGCGGAAAGCGCGATGGGTGGCTCCGAAGTCGGCACCGTTAGCGTCAAGCCGCCAGACAACAAGGAACTAGACATCAAAATATGGGTAAATAATATATAACCTTATTCGCTTCAACAGCTTAGAAAAATGTCTTACATACCAAACAGGCGTTACAGTTACATTTTTCTATTAACGCTTTTTATTTTTTTTTTAGGCAAAAGCCATTCCGTATTCTTGTGACATATGTTAAAAAATTACACGGCTGTCAGTGTTATAAAATTTGCGTGCGACTCGAACACACGACCACAACAATTTGAAACCTTCCCCGATCATCGAATTTTCTCAATCCTGTTGCCTTTCAATAAATATATGTATATATTTTTTTATAGTGAATGTAAATCACTGATTGTCCACCGTTATAAATTTATCAGAAACTTAATTTGAAACGCTTCCATTAGCGTCAATTAGACTATTTTTAACTTTACCATATAATAGGAAAATTTCTTGAATCGCCATTTTACCAAACAATTTGATTATCGTCTGGTATTATTTAGCAGTAACGAATCTCGCTATATTTACTAATAAATGTTAAGTGGGCGTTTTTATATGTATTATTGTTTTTTGAATATGGCAGCGATATAGCTTACAGTCAGGCAGGGCAAACACACACCTGTGCCTGTTTCACCGATTAATTTTATTTAAAAGCACTGTCTTGCTTATATATTGTAGAAGAATTTGTTTCAAAATATGTCTCAGTATTTTTATACTCTTTAGTAAATAGTAAGAAATTATACAATCATTAATTATCTGTCTCCGGCGATAGAATGTATAAGTAATGAGGCCTTATTGGAAAAATTGGTTGATATTGAATTGATTCACCTTCACCCTGTCCAATTTGAGTCACTTGACAGTACGTCTCGACGTTACATTCAACCTTGCCCGTTGTTTCTCAATATATTGTTACTTAATGTATGAATTTCCTAGTAATTATTTTTCCCTGTCACTTCACTCTTCTGGATTTCTAAGATTTAAAGAAATAGCTTTGTAGTAAAAAAAACCTTCACTGAACATGTCATAATTAAATAAACTCGTAGCCACTCCTCACTAACACAAAAATATTTTTTAAATTCGATCCAGTGGATCCTGAGATTAGCATGTTCTAGCAAACAATCTCTTCCGCTTTATAATGTTAGTATAGAATGGTTTCGTAAATTAAATACCATTTCTATTGTGAATAAAAATTAATTGGAGGTCTATCATCTACATTATATTTTGATATAATGTTTCAGCCTCATGTGTCGCAAGCAACAGACAGCGTAATAGAAAGTCGGCCTCGGCGCTTGCGCGTCCCTGACAAGCCCAACTACCCACTAAGTCTCTGGTCTATTATGAAAAATTGTATAGGTAAGTGCTGTAATGCTGCTAGTTAATTTATTTTGATGATATAGGAGGACAGACATTTGGGCTCTTTGGTGGAGGATCTGCAGATGGTTGATCTCAGCCATATAACATGGAAACTAGATGAGCTGTCGAATTATTTTGGCTTCGATCGAAATTCGATCAAACTTTACGGCTCACGGTCCGTGTCCCGGAAAAAAAATTCGGTATTCCTAGATCCCGACCCCAAGGCAATTTTAAATTAAGGAACTAGTCTATATGAAAAACTTGAGGATATATATAATAAATTAAATATAAAAAATGTAGTAGTAGGATGATTCAAGAACATGTAAAATACATATAATGCCAATTTTTAAATTAGCAGGTTATTTTTTTGTCTATGCAAAAAGGTACACACTAAGAAAACCTTTAAGTGTCCGATTACAAATGTTTATAAGAAATAATTTGTAAGTTATGCCTGTTAACTATACACTGTCTTACTACTTACTACAGGTAAGGAACTATCAAAAATCCCCATCCCCGTTAACTTTAGCGAGCCGCTGTCAATGCTACAGCGTCTAACCGAGGATTATGAATATTCGTCTATCCTGGATCAAGCTGCCACATTTTCTGATCCCGCTCAGCAACTGGCCTATGTAGCTGCTTTCACGGTGTCCTCTTACGCGACCACTGCCAACAGGTGAATATTTAATCAAATAGCAAATTTTAAGTTTAATTGATACCGCAAGTTGTAAAAAATTATTATTATTTTGAAAACATAATTATTTTTACCTGTAACGTTAAGAGTAGGTGAACACCCTGTTGGGTTTGTTTATACTAATTTCTCTGTTAGCTTAATTTTTATTATTACAAACAGTTACAGATGAATTCAGCGAGGGCGATCGGTGAAAAATAAAAAACACAATATTTTATTAATTAATTAAGATTACTTAAATGAGTTCTTATATTTTAATCGCGAGACGATCGATCCGAATTGTGGATATCGATCGAAAAACGTTGTACGGGGTGAGGCTAAAAGGGTGAGAGGCAGAGTTACGCCCATCTCAGTCTGTGTTTGTAAAATTTTGCTAAAGGTTTGACGGTTTTAACAAAGTCAATTTCCAGAACAACAAAACCGTTCAACCCCCTTCTCGGTGAGACATACGAGTGCGACAGAATGGCAGATCTTGGCTGGAGAGTTATAGCGGAACAGGCAAGTTTCATCTTTATTTCTGCATTCCGATTCCTAAACCTATCAATTGTTTCTCAATGTCATGAAAAAACATAACAACACCCTCTTCAAATCCTTAGCCTTTCTCCCGCCTTTCCTTCTCCAATCCCTAAAACACACCAGATAGCTTAATTATTTTACCACTTTGTTGTACCACCACCCAGTAATTTACCACTTTGTTCTAATACAGTTCTATTTTAAAACATTGTCATACTAAAGCAATTTTTAAACTGAAAATTTTAGGTAACAATTTAAGAATAACATGTTTTGTTAATATAACTAACTGTATATAAATAAAGCGAAATACAAACAAATGTTAGTACGTAGTTAAAAGTTAATTAAAGAATATAGTTCTCGTTTTAGAACTCTAAAAAGACTTATTTACTGTACACCACTCGTGCAGGTTATACTCAGATCAATAAGGTTTATTGATTAGCCTGTATTTTATTTCGAAATTGCATAATACCACCAAATAATACAATAAAAAATAACGTAATTTTCCGGTTTAAACTTGTATACTGACATATATTTGATAAATGCGAAAATCTATAACGAGACACGCACGGGCCAGGTGTCACACCACCCGCCGATGGTGGCGCAATTCTGCGAAGGCGTGTCCGGGTGGCAATGCTGGCAGGAGTTCACCATGACGAGCAAGTTCCGCGGGAAGTACCTGCAGGTCATACCGCTCGGGGGCGCCTACGCATACTTCCCCGCTTCGGGCAACAAGTACTCGTGGCGGAAGGTATACACACACACACAAACGTCTTTTCTACTCAATACAATACGCTTATACCAGCACGAAAGGCACACAGATGAAACATCGCAAAGGTAGGTACACTCTTGAAGGTGGAGGAAGGCCAAGGCTTGAATTTATTGTTTTTTTAAATGAAGCATTTTTAACGGTTTACAAAACGGGAAATGTTTTAATTATACGTATTTACAAATTAAATTAACTTCGGAGACGTTCTGCAAGGACTCCCGCAGTTTCCCAAAAAACTATGAGGAAACAGATGGCCCTAGCAGTTTTCTACATTAGTAACACACGCCATCTTTGAACGTCGGGCCATAGTTAAAATAATTTTTAAATAAGTTTAACTAATAAATTTCGCGTTTTAAACCGTTAAAGTGATTTATTTAAATGTGTACTACTCGCGTAAACTCACTGTCTCGAGTTAATTGTGTTCGATGTCACAAGCAACACTATTCTTGACTAGGTGTTTAGTAAATCAATTGTGAGGAGATAAATTGAAGGTAGTCTAAATTAAGTGGGTAAAATCGCAATTCGGTTCAAATGAATACTGACGGACCAACGCTGTCATCTGATTGTAGGTAAGTTATAGTTAAGCTACAGCTTAGTAAGTGCGCAGGTGATGCACCACCCGCCCACGAGCGCGTCGCACTGCGAGGGTGCGAGTGGGTGGGTTTGCTGGCAACACTTTTCCATCTCCAGCTTCTTTCGCGGACAATTCATCACGATCTCGCCGGACGCGGAAGCGTTTCTGCTTTTCACGCGCTCGGGGAACCGCTACACGTGGTCCAAGGTTTGTCACTGGCTGCGGTTTACGTGAATCTTGTTTTATATTTTATTAATACAAAAATATGCACTTAGACATAAAACAGATAGTCCATGCCTTTTTGTAAGCTTCCTCGTTTAGTGTATTCTGTCTGTAGTCTGTATTGCGTATTAAATGTTAGATCTGACATTTTTAATGCGCAATAAAAAAATGTAAGAGAAGCGCTCCGTGAACTAGTTTTTTTCTCAAATATGCTTGGAATTTAGAGCATTACTTTGACTTTCTCCGAGATAAATGGAATCTGTCAAAACGTTCCGAATGGTAAATTATAATTAGCGCTGAACGAATCCTGCGTTGAAGTTAAAAATAAGGTATCGGGAACGAAAGGGACGAGGAACGTCTGCGCTAGCGTTGATTGGTTTCCCAGTCGTCTTGTCTTTCTCGGACCAATACGAGGCTCCGCTTGCTTCTGGAGTACAGTCACGTTTTCCAATTAATTACGTGCGCGATTGTACAGATGCGCAACTATCCCCTCTACATTTCGTTCAGCGCTAAACATCCGTGCCGCGACCTAAATATATCTAAGTTTTTAATTTCCGCGAATTATTTAAGGAATACAAGCCTTGTCCGCAATTAGGCATTATTGGTGGCCTTCACACTATCTTGCCGGTCGCGTCAGTAATTTCCTCATTTCTTTAATCTATCTTTGGTATTTTCTGTAGTGTCTGGTAAATTATTGATTATTTTTGTATGTATCGGTTTTATTTTCTTAAGGTGACAACGACGGTGCACAATATAATAGTGGGTAAACTTTGGGTGGACAACCATGGGGATATGGAGATTGTGGGCGAGGCGGGCCCGGCGGCGGGGTACGTGGCTCATCTGAAATACGTGCCCTACGGATACTTTAGTAAAGACACACAGCGGAAGGTCACGGGGGTGGTAAAGGATCCCAATGGAGTTGTGAGTCCATATCTTTTATTGAAAAAGCCTTTCTATCGAATAGTAGCTCAGGAAAGAAAGGAGTAGAAATGGTTGGAGAAGGTCTTTGCCGATCGGCACACAGTTCTAAGTTTATTATAAAAATGAAGTAAAAAATAATTGTAATAAGGCATTTCCATTGTAAGTTTAAGTTTAGAGTTTGTAATAAGGGCCTTTTCTTAAAATTAGTTACAATGCAATGCAGAGTTTATTCTTGCCGTGAACTAAAATATTTCTGTTTGAAGCCGCGCTACGTGCTCCAAGGCCACTGGGATGACCGCGTGGAGGTAGCAGCCGTAACCAGTGCTTCGTCAGACAACACAGTCTGTAAAACTGGAAAGTTTGCACTGGCCTGGCAACGTGTTCCCGCACCACCAGATTGTGATAAGTGAGTTTTAGTTACCTAAACTGGATATTTTATTGTCATTTGGTTACTTCTATTCAAAATAACCCAAACATATATTCATCACTAGTTCTTTAATACATCATTTGGCTGGCTTAGAAGCTGTGAAAGACTGACGACAGTCGCGCAGTCACTTCAAGGCAAGTGGTCGGCACAACCAAATTCGTTGAAGTTCTCATATAGTCTTGTCACCTCTACTTCTAATCCCCCCCTTGATGTCGTCACCTAAGTCTTCCACTAACAATATAAAAATTGTTTAAATTGCAGATGGTACAACTTCACGTTGCTCGCGGCTCAGTTAAACGAGCCTGAACCGAACGTGGCGCCAACCGATTCGCGCCTCCGCCCCGACCAGCGTCTAATGGAGGAAGGGCTCTGGGACGAAGCGAACGCTGAGAAATTACGACTTGAAGAGAAACAGCGGGCTGCTCGCCGCGAACTAGAAGCCGCAGCCGAGGATGCAGCCTCGCGAGGCAGTCCTCCACCCGCGCCTCGCACCCCAGTCTGGTTTACGCGGCAAGCCTCGCCCGGCCAGCCTCACCTGAGGCACCTATACAATAATAAGTACTGGGAGTGCAAGCAGAAGCAAGACTGGTCCGCGTGTCCAGATATCTTTTAGCAAACGCGCGTCCTACACTACGAGAGGTGAACATTACTCGCTATATACCTCCGTGAAGGAGACACAACGTTCCCTTGAATCACAACGGCACGTAAAGTCAATGTCTATACGACTCCGGAAGGCTTAACTTAAAAAATAGCAAAAGCTTTATAATACAGTCACTCTATATAACATGATCATTTTGGGCCTTTGTATAATGTAAGCTATCTTAAACTTTTAAATGTCAGTTTCAGTTTGTTATCAATTAAAGGTGATGAGTGCTGGCACAGTAAGCGACTGGTTCATCATTCTAATCAGAAATTACATTTAATTAATAATTTGAGTTCTTGCAAGAAGTGACACATTTATAGCATTGAAAAAAAAAAACAAAAAGTTTACTAAAAAGAAACGAATCGATTAAAAAGCTTTGTGAGAGAGTCATTATACTTTTGCTATTAGATTGTTTCAATATTTTTTCAAAATTTATTCATTTTTTTTCATTCATTAATTATATTATGTTTTTAATAATATATTGACAGTCGCTAAACATTGTACGACCCGATTTAAATTGTGTTTCAGTAAAATTGAGGCTTTTTAAAATGGAAAAGTACGAACAGCTTTCTTTATAACTGTATCGGCTAAATATGTTATAACAATTTTCTCTCTTGACTTCAGTTCTATTGTTTTTAAGTAAGCATTCAATTTATCATATAATATCGATTTCTTCTTATTACGTTTTTTCTGATTTCTGATGTAACCTATTGTGACGTGGAATTGTTCTGTACAATTTTTAAACTAAATGAACATATTAAAAAGTAACACTTGGGATGTTTCGGTATGGTGTTCACTGCTAAGTAGCTACTGCGGCATACTAAAGTGTGTGTTTTTGTATTTTTGCTACGTAAGTGATTCAATTATATTTCTTAAAATGGAAGTCATATTAAAGTCTCGGTAACATATCGGATCTTAGTATCTAATACTATATTCTTCGTTACCGATTTATACATCATACTCATTCCATAGTATAATATTTGTTATTCATTCTCATAATTTATAGTAAGATCGTGTTATGTTTAAGTAAATTATTTATTTTAAATTATACATTGTAACAAACCGATTCCGTTTGATTTTTAATATCCAAGATTCCAGTTTTTCACTCTTTAGACCTGTATAAAAATTGTATGTGAAAATGAATCTAGACCGTCGTCGTTGTCTAGCAATGATTTTCTATTCAAAATACAACGAAGACTTGTAGAAATGGTTCTAAGTCAATTCCTATGCAGCCGCTATGTAAATGCAAAACGCCCGATTTTAATTATATTACCTAATAATGTACTAACTCGGTGCTTTCGAAAAAGCATTCTGCCCTTTCGGAAGGGGCATTCCATGGGCTATGCTGTTTTATACATAGATTTATTCTGAATACTGGAAAAACGGTGGCGGACGTTCTTGCTTATGTGGCTTCGATAATAGACTTTCTTTTTGACGACTCGACACGAATCCTGTACAATAGTTTTTTGACTTGTATATAAACTGTTTCATCTGTTGTGTTCGTTGAATAAAAACGGTAACCATCGGATAGTTGAAATAGAGATCATACTGTCTCTATTTTTTTGTTCCTAGTAGGGATTGTAGACTTCCTCTCTGCTTTTGCAAATTATTAGTAATCTTATGTTTAACGCTATACAAAAAACGAATGCCTAATGCTCTTTATGTAATTTCCACCTTGTAAATAGCCCTTTATGCAAATGTATTCCAGAGTAAACGTACCTGTTGTGTGACGAAAGTAAAGGTTTCGCACTGCAGGAGCAAATAACTAAGCTTTCGTTGCCCAAACAGGGCGTGGTACAATGCCTTATATAGTAATGACGCCGCGTTAATAAGAAATCGGAATCGAAAAGTAACGATTACCTCCGCTACGCGTTCGATGCAGATTTATGTGATGTAGAATATTTTGTAAGATTTATTTAAAATTGTACATTTTCGAGTGTATGTAAGATAATTTGTTAATATTTTTATTAATAGATATGTTTGATTACAAGCCGTAACATCTGTATCATGTTGATTATAAACCATATTGAAGTAATCGGTTTTTATTGAGTCTCCTTGAAAATAATAAACATAAGTGTGGGCATGTTTTATATGTTTAAAAGTAAAAATCATAATCATTTCAACATTTTTATTAAGAAAACGGAAACAGTGAAAAAGTACATAACTGTAAATTGTAATTGGTTACAGTGTTATATATATATGTTTAAACAAGTCATTTACAGATTATAACGTTGCTAAATTTTTACTCTGCTTTTACGCGACTGGTTTAAGAATATTATTATCTCGCCAAAGGCTCAACAGTGTAAAAATCTAGTATCGCTAAGAAAGAGAATACATAAAATTTGTTTATTTTTTTATAACTAAAATTATTTATCCATTGCCTCATTTTCTTTTCACGGTAATTAAAAAATAAGCAGACCTTTGCTGTAACAATGTGTATAGATAGAGATTAGAGAATGAGACAACAAAGTATTTTTCGCCTTATATGGTAATTAATATACATTTACACTTCGCCAATAGCATCTGAAAGCGATTGTTTTTTTTATACATTTTTTAAATTTCTTTAAAATAACCTATTTGAAGATTGACATATAGATAGCATAAGATTAACTCATAATTATTTATTATTGGGACATAAATAAGAAGAGCTGGCGAGACGTAGCGACATATTTCGATCGCTTTGCGAAATCACAAAATTTTAAGTACGCGTAGTATTAATAGCCTGTGAGGGATAACTGTCCTTTTATTTTGAAAATGTACTGCAAATAACGGGCCCGATGATGAAAAACTATATTTGTCCGATCAGCTCTTCCTCGTCGAGTCCAGGAAGTTTTTTCTATAGTAACTAAATACCGGTCTATGACGACAAAGTTACGAATATCTATTTACATATTTTACAAGGGAAAGAAATAATAAATAACATTTCTACACCTTTGATATGAGCTTCTGTCAAGAACATCGATATATAAAAATCTCAACAGTATCAATTACAGCGAAGCATTACACGAATTGAAATTTGCCAATTGTACTTACAAAGCGACAACCATATTCTTTTATTCTTACACGTGTATAGAAATAATGTGAAATTTCAATCGACGGAGACTTTTAGACCTCCAAATAAAATCTAGCAAATCGACATTCTACATACACTATCCGTATTTAGTCTATAAGAAAATGGTGAATTTTATATGTACACAGTAGAGTGATTTTGCACTAGTGGTGCCACCGCCTTCGAAGATCAGAACTGCTTGGTAACTTGTAACAAAAACACCAGCCAAATAAGAAGATAATTTTTTTATAAGACAAGAGATAGCAGGCAGTAAGATAAGCAAGTTTTAACAAGGAACACATACGAAGTGTAAATAATAAAACCACGTAGACATAATATCCACGCATTGCAATTGCGTACCAGCAAATTAATACAATTATGACTACATATCTCAAACAGACACCCTCTTTGTATTCCGTAACATCGACTATATAATAATACCCGCGTCACGCGACATCGTAATCCACGGTTTAGTTAAAATGCCTGGAAAGTATGTGCAAAAACAAAGGGTACTTAATTCGGATTATTCTGATTGATGGATTGGGGGATTCCCCGTTCTACAACTTTGAATCAAAGTACTTATACGGTCATTTTTAACTAACGTGATTTTTCGCGTAAGGCGTGGTATTTATTTGGTAGATATAAATAACGAAAGAAAAGTCATCGTGTATAGACCAGCTTCAAAGTTAAGGCTGTCTATAGTTACATCGGCTTGTTCTACATTAGCATGATTTGAGAAATATGAATTGTTTTTACCAGATTAACAAGTCAATTTTCCTTCTTTGGTACGAGACGTTATATTGGGTAAGAGTACGTTTTTGTTTTATATTCCAAAAGATTATTTATGCATTGCAAATTCATACTTGTTATTTCATTTAATAAAAAAGTCATCTGTAAACAACGCAACGCAATATGACATCTATTTATTACACAACTAATGTTTAGTTGTGTAATAAATAAATGTCATATCAATAATTTTGTATGATACATTATACAGACCAGTTTTGTTGTCTGTGAAATATATTCTCGTTAAAATGGTAGTAGTTGATTCCTGAAAATTACGAAATAAATGTATTTTTGAATGCGTTTGTGAGACATAGACATCTTACAAAATTTCCATCACACAAAAGATTAATCTTTACACACCCAAAACATTGCATCGATGCTTGACTGGACTATATTTACATAATTGTTAAGATTTAATTACACTATCCTTATGTTAGTATTGAATAAGTTACATTAAGAGTTATTTAACACGATTACCTTACACATTGTAACGCTACGTCAAAGAGTTTTCAGCAATTACGTAATTTATAATTTCTTATAAAAATATGCTTTTGACAGATGTAGGAATTAGCAGATATAGTTTTTCGACTAGCTTTGTTATACATATACTTTTATGTTAGACAAAGAGAACACACTTTTAACAGCAAAAAGTCGTCAATACCTGAAATTCCAAATGTGGCAGCTCGCATTATTAACATTTTTTTAAACATATTGAGTGATGAAAATTATTTGTACATTGTCAAGGGAAATTAAGTCAGTTTATTTCTTTTTCTCAGTGTCGGTAATCTTATTTTAAGATTCATATAGGATGTGTTAGTTTTTATTGTTTCATTACCAGCAAAATGAACTTTTTATTCTGTAATGCAAAGCGGACGACGAATCAAGCGCGGACATTGATCGTTAATTATATAAAATTAACAGGGACATAATCGCTATATAATAATATTCACCTACTTTGTTTCAACCTAGCGCTAGTATGAGGTCGTTCTGTACACATTCTACGGAGACAGTATCAGAATAGACTATAAATATTTTCTATTACAGAATAAGCGTTCTCTTACAATTTAATAATAAGCCACCTTTTCAACATTCAATGAGACGCCAAATTCGGTGTAAAATAGTAAAACTTAAAAAATACATAACAAAGTAATGTAGCTAAACATAGAGAGAATCTATCGCATAATTGTGATTACAGTATAACAAAAATAGAGCACGGCAGATATCGAATAAAGGAAAACATCCGCATCACTATCGCCTCGGGCGCATCACTAGTTACTATATCGATAGCACTCAGCACAATATGAGCTGGACTCGTCGAACCTCTACACTAGCCGAGGCGACTCGATAGCCGATATTTAAGAATATTAGTTTGTCTGGAAAGTAAATTTGATTTTCCCATGTATAGGTCATATATGGAGTTCGATAAATTTTACTCCTCACGTGTTGTTATCGTGGCTAGAATTGGATCGATAATTTAACTTTGGAGAAAAGCGAAGGAACTTTCCAAGCAATCCAATAAAGGCACGTGCTCCAAATAAATTTCTGCTTTTTTTTAATTGATGCAAGACGAGTGTACTCAGAGCGGTATATGAAAGGGCGACGAAAGCATTTATTGCACAGAGGGTCACTTGCAGCTACAACACAAGCTGACTGCCGTCTCACACTCGCAAGACAATTGTTCTGTTCACACGCGCATATTCGAGACTCGTTCGTGTCTCCTTTCAGACTTATTCGCTAAAGTAGCGCACTTTACCACTCTCGCAGCGGACCGTGTCTTCCCAGGCTGAAAGAATTTGTTTTTCTTTATAATAAAGTTTTAAAACGACTTTTTTGTTTAAAATCTGAATATTTCCTAATATTGGATCATAATATAATAGTTTACAAATCAAGAGAAACTGACCTGAGCCCACATAGTCTATGATCTGATGTAGGTGCGTGGGGTCCCGCGGCGGGGGCGGGGGCACGAAGCGTAGAGCAGTGTATCCCGCTAGCACAGTAACGCCCTCCTCTGGTGCGTCACGTAAGAGGTCGCAACGCACACGTCTCACCCCACCCGTCAGGAGCTGTTCATTGATGTCAAAGCCGAAGGTCACCCCGTCCATATCTCCCGGTCGCGCAGCGGAGTCCAATAGAATAACAGGTGGCCGCCGATCGCCCACCACGTCGGGCGCGGGCTCCATTGCCCGCGGTTCCGCGCGTTCCTTGCGCTGGCTCCTGACCAAAGATTGGATAGGCTTATCCCGCGGCTTCCTCGCGTTCAGCGCCGGGTAGCCCTCCATGCTTTCCGTGGTGAGCGCTGCCGCCTGGGCCTTGGGCACCTCTTGGTCCTTGAGTTCACTTTCGCCTTCGGAGTAAAAGTTGCAGGATTCGATCAGATCGGGAATGTTATGACGCGTGCGGGCGATGTCCGCATACGAGGCGTGCACCGCAGCAGAAGTGGGTGGAAGGGGCGCCGCCGGCGTCGCGGCACTGGGCGTGGTTTTACTGCGGCTCTGCGGCGCGTCGGCGGGCAGCGAATGCACAGAGTCCATATCGTCGTTAGAGTCGTTACTACGTTCGGAGGGCGAGAGTCGGCGCGACGGCAGAGTGCGAGGCGTTCTCGCGTCGCCGCTGGGGTCGTGTTCGTCGGTGCGGCGTCGGGCCTTGCGACGTTTGGTCACCGTTTGGAAGTCAGTAAGCTCAGTCTCGTCGGACAGAAGCGCGGCGCGGGCGTCGTCTCCCCAGGAGCGGCGCTCAGGCTTCGCAGGCGGGGCGGTCGGCCAGTGACGTGCCGCCGGCTTGTCCGTTAGGTCCTCCAGCTTGGTGCGGGAGAGCTCTTCGAGGGAAGAAGCGCGCTTTATTTTGTTCTCCTTGTCCTTGCGGCGCTCGGAGCAGCGCTTCTTCCCTTTGTCGTCCGCGTCGTCTTTGTGCTTCGCCCGCATTTTGGGGCCGCGCCCTCCCTCCGCGTTGGACTCGATGAAGCGCAACACTTCGTTGAGGTCCTTGTTGCCTTGGTAACCGTCGATCTGGTGCGACTTGATAACGGTCTCGTTTTTCGACGACTTTTTCCGCCTCGGTTTCTTATGTTGACTAGAGCCCGATACGGGCGAACTGAACCCGTGTACCGCATTGCCGTTTTCGTCTAGAGATTTCTGTAAACGGTAGTGCACAGTGAGTATAGGCACCTGAATAGAAAGGAAAAATTAATGTTAGTGTTATCGGAACGAGGGGACAACGTATTAAGCCGATCACAGCAATTGTACGGCCGAGCGTCAGAATAGGTAAGGTGCGGCGCGGGGCGTGAGGGGTGCAAGCTGCCGACGAGCTGGTGTCGAGAGGCGATTAGGGCACGCACCTTGTACTCGTCGGTGGAGGAGCAAGCTGTGGAGCCATAATTGGGACGAGCGAGTGGCAACCCGCTGAAAGTGGTCGTGGTGAGCACGTTGCGGGCCAGCTAAGCCAAAAGTACACGTTAAATAATAAAGCGGCAAACGTCCAACTGTTCTCATTATGCGCTAAGCGAGGATCTATATCTCACACCGTTTATTAGTCTGCGCGGTAGCGGTCACAATGTTAACACAGAGGAGGAGCGAGATAAGGGGGAATACTAGTACCTGCGAGACACACGCGGGGTCCGGGGGTGCTGTGGGCGCGTCGCTCGAAGGTCCGCCGGCTGGATGCCACGCGCCGCCTGTGAGACTCGCCACGGCGCGGTAGCACGATTCCAACTGCAACGGCTGCACAGCATCACAGGTAGCTAGTGACTGTCCACAGAGCCCCTCCGGACAATGAGCGTCCTTCTTATTTTTTCCTTTGCAACTTATCACTCTTCTAAGTCACAGCAGAGATTTAGTGAACAGTCACCTAGCTCTTAAAGGGCTCAAATTATATTTACACAATAACAGATAAAAAATATGTCACATTAATCAGATTCAGTTGAATGTAAAATATTTGGTTCAATGCATTAGCTTTATACTAAAACAAGTAATTATTTTATAATTTACGTGCGTTTTAAGATAAACACTGTTTAACGTAGCTATAACGGAAAAATCGTTTATTCAGTCTTTTAAGAAATAAACACGTTACGAATTTAGCCTTTTTGTAGTTTCCAAGATAGAAATCGTGAACATTACAGTATCATCCTTGGAGTAGGCTTCCATCTTGTTTATTAACGTGGATAGGTATATGGCAAAGTACAAGTTACACAAAGTAAGATGGTGTGAGATATAAATACTATTGTATTCGCAATGGAAGGAGAGCTGAACGTAGAAAATTACCTTCGGGTCGACGGTGACCATCGACTGAGTGGTTGACGTCGTATTGCAACTCGCCACAACCTCGGGTGTAGTGATGCAACTAAATGGAATAGCGGAATCAACCTGAAATGGAAATAAAACGGGCGTCAAATATTTGCGTAGATGAACATCGCTTCAACATGTGCACTTAGTAAGAAGGTAATTTCCTACCTCCGGCTCGCTAGGAGATACAGTGGATTTGTCTTTGCCTGAATTATCGACACGATTAACGGAGGCGCTGTTTTTTGAATTCGTTTTCTGTTTTTCTTTCCTTTGCTTTTTCTTCTTTGATTTTTTACCGGTAGGCTTATTATTATCTTTAGTTTCCGCAGTGTTATTGTTGTTTTCGATTTCAGTTAGTGTAATGGATTCATTATTCGTGTTAAACGATTGCATAAGATCTTCGGGGATCGTTACAAAAAGGTAGGAGTTGTTAGGAAGATCAGCTAAATTGATCGGCTTATCATCGTATTCCGATTTAAGCTGTATCATCAGATTATCTTGTAATACCAAATATGAAACGTCATCACTTCTAGGCACGTGTTCGTTACAATCTGTTTCAGAGATATCCAACTTTTTTATCAATCTTTCTAAAATATCACCTTTATTACCTTCGTCCAATTTATCATCGCGTTTTATTTCTTCAATATCAGTCATATTAGGGGCTTCATTACTAGGAGTTACATCGCCAGTGGAAATTCTAGTCTTATCCGTGTCATTCTCCATATCGTTTAAAACAATAGGTTGTGCACTATTTCCGTATTCATGTACAGAATTAGATATTAAAATTTCTTCAATAGTAAGCGAGATTTCTTCTACTTTGTCGACTTTAGGGTTCTGTGTTGTAATCGGCGATATGTTTTCTAAAGTTGCGGGCAACTCTTCTATTTCCTTATTAAATTTGGGAAAGGAATGAAAAGTTTCCGAATTATCTATATTGATTTTCGAACCATCTAACTCATTGCTGCTGGGAAATGATGAAGATTTTGTCGCTAAAACCTCATTAGCTTCTGTATTAGATTTATCTGTCGTGTGTTTAGGTGTTTTTTTAATTTTGATTCTTTTGCAATTTGTAACATCCGAGGGAATTATTTGTTTGAATTGCCGATTAGATGATGGACTCTTTGAAGTTACTATGTTCGATTCTTCCTTAGTACAACATTGTGCATTTAGATCTCCGAAGGAACGAGATGTGCCTATTGTCAAATTTCTAACATTTCTTGGGTTTACTAACATTGCTACATCCGGCGCAACTAACTGTTTATTCGCCCTCTCCCTATAAAAATTTCTTAGACTAATATCACTTTCATTATTATCACGTAAATGTACCCTGTTTTTGTTTTCAGTTTTACTTTTCATATTAGAAGCTAGATTTGTATTTTTACTTATAGTTGATGTCTTTTTCTGTTTTGTACCTTTATTATTTTTTCTATAACTATCTACAGCTTTGTTCACAACATTATTGTACGTATCACCGTGTGGCCCGCGCATTGCTGTTTCATCAATATGTAATTGGGTCTCGAAATCTCTAATTGTGGGTTCATTTGTTTCGTAATAGCTAGCAAAGCTTTCATACCACTTGTTCACACTGTTTTTTAATTGCAGACTCACTGTATCGACACTTTGATTAATACTGTCTTTAGTTGATTTTTTAGAACCGTTTGGAATGTTGGAGCCGCGCGGTAGTTGTTGTCCACCGGTTTCAGCCTCTTTATAGCATTCCATCGGTGCGTTACCACCACTGTCGCAGGTTTCTTCGCGTTTACAGAGGGCGTCCATGAGTTTGTTTTGATTGGAATAGGGGTTAAAGAGATTGTCTGTTGTATATAGCTTGTGAGGCGGTCCGGCGATGGGCGGTCGGAACATGATGCTGCGGGGAGTGGTGGTACGCACCTGGTTGGAGGCGGTGGTGGTGGTGACCGCGCGGCCCGATCCCACACTTCCGCTGCCGATCTCGAGGGTCGCGCGCGCAGTGTACGTCATCGGGAACATCGCTTTACTCCGCCTGTAGACAATACGCAATTAGGCTGTGGTCTCATAGAAACGCTGTAGGTCGCGTGTAGCATAGCACGTCACGAACAACAACTTACTATAAGATTCTATTGGTCGACGGTTATTACTATACGGGAAAGACGTCCAATTCACAACTCCTATCGGCAACAATGTTTTCGTCGTATCAACGTTTACGTTGCAATTATTCAAAAATACTAAGAACGGCTTTTACTTGTATTTTTTATTGGCGTGTAAAGGAATCATGACAGTACATTTTTAATATAGTAAGGGCGATATACAGGACGCTATACGTGACCTACAGCATTTATAACAGACACCGGGCTGTTTAATTTGTTATCGATTATTACGAGTTGCGTCAGGCATGGTATTTAGAGGGATAAGTATTTTTTAACAGAACACAAACTTAATTAGATGCTTACTAGCTTCAAAGTGGGAATTTCCATACTTTGATATCATTAAGGATCTAGTTTTTCAGAGTAATATTATAACATATATGGCCATAAGTATAACCCACAACTTTGACACCTTACGTTTTGTAACTGCAAACCAATTTTTGACAATTTATACTGTTTCATATACACAACTTATTACTTACCCGTTGTAAGTAATAAGTTGTGTATTTAATTCGGTACGTTATTAGTCGCGAGGGATATGCGAAACCTTTATTAAGTAAGCAAACACTTATAAAGTACTTTCTTATACTATACCTCGTCACGAGTTCAATATCATTGGGTGCATTGGCGTCGCTGGCGGAGACACGTCGCTCAGCTAACGGTGGTGGGTTTACGCAACGCACCGTGGCCAAGTAACCACCACGTCCGGCTGGTTCCTCGCTCAGAAGGAACGCTAGAAGATAGGAATTCAATATTGTAAATGATACAGTTACAATGACACTAATTCGTTGAAATGGTATTAAGTAATCATTTTTGATATCTTTGTCATTTGTTTGATATGCTTGCCATGACTAATGGATTTTTTATTGGATAAAGAACGATTCACAACCATTTTTGTAGAATAACGTACATGTATCGACGCCGGAAGGTAAGCTGCCGCCATGATGAGTTCTGGCAGAGACGCTAGAGGCGTGATGCTGGGCGCGGCGACGTGGCGCGGGTTCGGCGGCCATTGCGGCCACCAGGTCCTGTAGACTGGCGTGGTGCTCGCGACGCCCACACGCCCCGCGACGCACAAGTGCGGCGGCTTCGCACGCTTCCTCGTCCTGTTCCACTTCCTCCAACAGCTCCTGGAAAATCAATTCGTAAGTGGTTAGTCAGGTACTACAGGTTTCATTTAACGTTCATTAAAAATTTCAATAAAAACCGTCGTCCAGTCTACCTTGAACAGACTGCTCTTTCCCTCACGATCTTTGGGACACTTGTATGTGATCGCTTCATCCAGAAGTGCGCGCAATTGTCCGTCGTCCAGGGTCTCCACGTGTTTGTTCTGAAACGATCGATGTCGTATTAATACAGTAGTACTACTGTTCTATCTTAAACCCTAAGCTGAGCTGAAAACGGTAAACAACGTTATGTAAGAGCATTGTGTATTCTTCACTGAATTTCTAAAAGCAAAAACTACGAGCGATGCGTGAGTACAAATACTCTTGTAACCAAAACACGCAAACCTATCTGGAACTGCGAAATCATTAGAAGGTATTAAAATTGAAGGTAACGGCCGTATCTCGGCACTAGATAAGAGAAACGTTTATAACGTCAGATGACGGTATAATTTATCAAAACAATAATCACAAAAATGCTCGTGTGTATATCGCGGTCAGCTTATCGCAACAACCTCTGCCACACCGTGCTCGGTCATGGTCAATATTTAAATTTCGAGAATTCTGACACATTAAAACCCTTACGACAAAAAAACAATACATAATTGTGATACTTCCCGTTAATATGTTAACTAAGGAAATATGAGACTTAGGATATAGAAATGGGGTTCCGTAGCCAAGGGTAAAACGGTACCGCTTTCAGTACATCTGTCACAAGGTTGAATCACGAACCGTGACAGTTACACAGTTGAAATTTTCGCAGATTTGCAGACGGCATTTCGTTTGCCGTTATAACAGTAAATACGAAAAATAATGATATTTAAGGGGAACTCCCGAATGTTTTATAAATACACACAGAACCTCTAGTTCACAAGTCCCACTGGCACTTAGTTGTGTATTACTGGTTAGAAACAAAAATCCGTATACTTCGAAAAAAGCTGATTGGATTTAACATGTTCTCCTCGATATTTTTTATCGCTATGATGATGTAACACATTATATTGAACGAACGTCGATGAGAAATGAAAATAATTAGTTAGTCAATAAAAAATCTGGTAATGGTGCATTTAATTATTAATAGATCACGTCCTGGAAGTCGTCCATGAAATGTGCAAATTACCGTTGATCTAGGCCACAAGTTCGAGATTAGGCGCAGATATTATAGTGATCGGAAAAACAGTCAATGTTTGCGGATCACGTAATAAATTTCGTAACAATGTTACGGTCTATTGGTTGCTGAATCATTAGCTCCAAGGCTACTCTGAATACACTAGAGCATTTTTAGTGATTCATTGATATGTTATAATTAGTGTTGTCTTCCTTCTTTTCAATTTTAGCACTGCATTGGGAGCCATCGTAGCGTACAACCCCAATTTTCGAGTATTATTCAAAACTTTAGTATAAATATAATGGAATAAACATTTACGTAAAGAAATGCCTCCTAATTGGCTTAATGAAGTTTTTTAATATTTCGTCACTAATCTAAAGAAACATACTTAATTATTAAAAGTATAGTTTCGACTAATTTCAAGTATAATTCGACGTAATTATTAATTAAAAGTTATTACATGGGGTAGCTCTGGTGGTTCTATAGTGATGTTCGTCTTTAAGTAGCAATTGAATTATTTTAATCAGTACAATAAAATGAAAACAGGGCCGAGTTATAGGTGGTGGCCACAAAATATTTTCCGAATAGTAAGGTTGCCCTTGCCCAGAATCCTGCTCTGAATAAACTTTCATAAAATTCATCCTAAATGGATACCTGGATTATTGTTAGTTACTGGTTAGGACACCACTTTTCTAATAGTACTTGACATTTTTACCAAAATAACATGTCACGCTTGATATAGTGATCTGCTACAAGTATCCGATTACGAAACGCAAATATAAATAAACAGTCCGACTTGATGTCAATCAATTAAAACCACAAAATTTAAAACTGAGAACAGTAGCAATTCAACAGTCCCATAATATCATGTTACACTTTTTGTATCGTTTTAAAAGAGGTCGCAACGTGTTAGATTTCAATACGTACAACTAATTACAAAACAATAAGAAATTCGATCCATTACGAACAAACACGATGCAAATGTTGAGATATAAAAGTATATATTACTTATGTAGTATGGTTATCCATACTAATACAATATGATACCCTCGAGTTCTCGTTTCTTTTAAAAGCAAGAGCCCATTTATCCAACTGCAGCGAGAACGAGTTAAATAGTTATTATTATACGACAATAATGACATAGGGTCACTATCAAATAATAATATAAACCCTTAAGAAATAGATTTTGTATTTATTTCATACTTGTGTGTTAAAACTTATCTTTTCGGGAAAAATCCCAAAAAGATCCCAGCACGACTATACATTAATCGTGACGTCATATGAGACATAACGTTCAAGTCAGGTATTATTACTTTATTATTTTCTATTGGGGACGCCCATAGCAGGCCGGGTGATCAGTCCACACAATCAGCTGACCATTTCAGCTATTTCCCCATCTCTTCCTAGTAGAGGTTTTTGGGTTATCCAACTCTCAGCGTGTCCCCTTCAAACTTACCATTTGTTCCACCTTTCTTTGATGTCATCTTCTGCTACTTCGTCCAAACCCATATTTAATTAAGGCATTAACTTATTTTATTTTTTGCCTTGTAGACATTGTATATTTTTTAACTATTACCTAATATGGGCCTAAGCATTTGACATCTCTTAAAAAAAAAACGCCGACACCGCAGAAATTTGTTTGATACAACAACATTATTTGAAATAACAAAATACAAATTCGAAATTTAGAACTCACCAGTTTGGAAATTATTTCAAAACGTATACGAAAAATGAAAGTATTTAATTAGGAGACCAATTTAATTAATTAGCGTGCGTTTATATATAGCTGCCTCTTTCTTTATTACAGATAAAATACAAAATATTTTCTATTTACATTTAAAGTGAAATTTGGCTGCAATCATAAAGATTACAATAGTTTGAATGAGGATAGACAGCCTACGAATATTGTAGGTACATAGCACCAGGCAGTTAAAATACCCTTATAGTTTGCTTACAATTAAATATCATTTATTATGAATTCCCTCCACCGTGACAAGGAAAGGAGATGGTAATATGTATATATATTTTAATAAATATAGTAAGTATATAAAATGCACAATGAAAACCGTATTTTTAGGTATGTAAAGCATTACTTAACCAGTGTCTGCTTAAATAGCAGGTTGATTGAGCATATATTATTAAAAATATAAATATAAAGGTATATTCAAAACAAAAGGTTTATTAAACAAAATCTTTTGGTAGTAAACATTATTGAGTAAATGTAATCAAAATAAAAATAATATTTACATCATAATGTGCACCTAGCTACGAAGCTATAAAGCTGCTGTTTAATCAATTTTATTTTGTGTTATGCTTTGTGACAGTCAAGAATATCTCTATTTGTATCTAAATTATTTAAAACTAGATGCTACTTTCATGGCTTTATAACCAAAGGGCTTGCGTTGCAATAAATGAAAGGCCTGGCTTTAAATACCACAGAAATAAAATAAATAGTAATGTACTGAAACAGCACAGACTTGTTCATATCATATTATTTACAGGCAAGTAGTTGATCAGGCGATCAATTACTTCCCTGTTATTGAATTTCTTGCATTTCACGCATTGTTCCAATAAAAAATCTACTGTAACATTCTAATGCAACAATGATATATCTAGTAGGAAAGTATAACATACATTTAGTCCACTGTAAAATCACAACAGTTCTATAAAAGCTATATGTTATTAGTTTAAATCAGTAATTTATTAAGTGTAATCAAATGATTTCTAAATCACATTTTTAATTACTCATCATGTACATTTTACTAAAAATATCCATTTGATAAGTATTCAACGTAGCAGTTAATAGCCAAAACTATATCAGTTAAGTGGACCAACGCTTTATGTATAATATTAAGATTTGTTGTTGTAATGCCATTGTTATATGTTTTTCATATGGGTAAATGGTTTAAATTTTATGAATCTACACCTTGATCATTGTCATGAAATTACCAAATATATCTTGTAATGCATACAATAAATTGAGGCAAATTAAATTTTAATTTCAGGAAAAAAATAGTTTCATAACATTTACAAGTGATAAATTTCAACATGTTTTTCATAAAAAAAGAAAATTAAAAAACAAAGAAAACATACCCCTGTGGGTTCAATTATGCCTATGCTTATAACTTTACTGACATCTATTGTAGCTGGAAAAGCATACATATTACATTGATTATAACATAGCAACATGCACTGACATTACATATAAATGTATATAGCCCTAGCAATAGATTGACACTATAAACTAATTTAGTAGATGAGGTTTAATATGAATACGCAAGTCAGACGATTAGCTTTTCGAAATACATTCTTGACAACTTTTGCTTGTCAACTACATATTACCCGATAATTATTCAGCGAAGATCACATTTCAGACATTCCAATTCCATAAAAATAATACCTAAAGATTGGGAATTTTGACATACCTCTACATCACAGTTGGCAGGCGCTGTCGTAGACCGATGTTCCGAAATGCTTATGTTATCCTTAGTGTTATTATATTGAACTTTTGTATCGTCACAAGATTTTTTTACGACAGGTTTATCAGGGGCTTTCGGTTCCTTATCATACTCCGGTGAAGGAGCCATCTTGAAGGAAGAGGAGACAGATGACACAAGTCTTATGACTTTTTAACACTGAATTCACTTTTATTAACTAAATGCCAACCATTTAAAACTGAATCATTGTAGTAAACATCGCTCGAGTTATCCTTCGTTGCCGAAAGTTTTTGAAATAAAATTTCTCATTTTCGTCGAATTTTATTCAACATTTTCACAAATAAAACCAATGTTCAATTTTCAGATTGCTTTCAATACGCCCTCATGCGGCGAAAAAAAGAACTGCAATTTTTTATTTATGGCTTAAACTCATTAAGTACATTTTTCAGCCAGCAACACTAACTGTCATGAAAAATAAATATTACAGCCAATTAGCGCAAATATTACAGCGTAATTTAGCGTACCATATTATTTATAAATAATCAATTGTATTCGAATTAAATGTAAGAATTTCAGAATAATTTGTTGGTTTAATAGTATTCTATGGTTTCAGTGAATCGTTAATATAATTTTCATACCTGTGGAAGGTATGATTAACATAGACTATTTTGCCGACGACAGTTACTTTATCTGTAAAGGATGACATATGTTTTTATTCATATTATCATATCTATCGTCGACCGAATAATAAGTTGTAATCAATTGCGATTTTATTGATTTCGGGTTCTTCTAATTAAAATAAGTGGATTACAACCTTGGAGTACCTAGTAGGGAAATCACATATACCTTTGTAAGGAATACCGCCACCCGAAGGCAGTCAAGCAATGTCTGAAACAAAGGAGAATATATTTATTTTTGTCCCGAATATCATAGGTAACTAATTTGTTAATGTTATTAAAATCTCACAATAAATTATTTTATGTAAAAAACATTATTTTATTTTTCAGGATATGCCAGGATTATCCTCGCTCTTATATCATTTTACTACATGCCTACGCATTGTGCATTAGCAGTTGTATGTTATATAGTATCGGCTTTGCTTGATGCGATCGATGGTCATGCCGCCCGGTATTTTAATCAGAGTAAGTACATAGTCACAATAACGTTGTGAAACAGCCCTTAAAAAATCATCTCTAACAACTCCACAGATCTTGATCAAATAAGCTTTTAATGTTGTTGTTATATTGGAAAACTGCAAAAAGCCTGGAGGCGTAAATATGTTTTTTATGTGATTCCCTTTTTAAATACTAAAAATAGCTATATAAAATTTACTATAAGCTTAATATTGTATCCTTTCATTGTTGTCAATGAACAGGCACTAGGTTTGGAGGGATGCTGGATCAGCTTACGGACCGGGCTGGTACTGCTGCTCTTATGATGACTTTAGCTACCTTCTATACGCAGTATACTTTCTGGTTTCAAATATCTATGATCATCGACATATGCTGTCATTGGCTGTATCTCCATACAACAATTTTGCAAGGAAAGACCTCTCACAAATTTATAGACATGTCTGAGAATCCTATAATGCACATGTATTACACAAACAAAACAGTCCTTTTCTTGATGTGTGCTGGCAATGAAGCGTTCTATGCATCTCTCTATATAAGCCACTTTTACTCTGGATTCAAAAGTAAGTAACTGATAACTATAGCTAAAAAGTTAAATCTGTATTGTCTCTGGTATGGGACATACCATGCTGAGTATCTGTTGTACTAAGTTTTTATACTTTTGGAACATAACAAGGTGATAAGAATTCTTTCCCCCCATAATTCCAATGCACTTATCATGTTTCTTTATCTTTTAAGAACCATTGCAATCTTAGGTCAATGTTAGAAGACATCCTGCAGTTGAGTTACTGAAATCCAAATTATATGTAGCACAACTTTTACACAAGACTTGGAACCCTAAACGAATATAGAAAAATTCATTCCTTGTTATATTATTATTCTTTTTCTCTTTTTAACAGTAAATCTTTATTTTTCAGTTCTTGGAGTGGGCATATTTCCTTTGATTGCTGTACTGTCAGCTCCAGTTGCTATAGTAAAAACACTGATCTCTGTTCTACACGGAATTGTTGCATCTATGAATTTAGCAACAATTGATAATAACGAACGAGAGGCTATGAAAATTCAACAGAATAAGTGAGCATTAGAATAATAAAATTTAAAATCTATAAATGTTACCCTCCCACTTAATGTGAAAAAAGTTTTTTTGTAATTGATGGTTCCTACATATAAAGCAATTTTATAAATAAGGGCTTTATAAATAATTGATCTTTAGTTTTTACTAAAGATCAATTGAACTTGTACCTCCATAACATTCCATGCTGTTTCTCTAACAAAAACATAATAATGACTTTTATTAACAAGCTATCTATTTAAGTTTTTTTTACTATACGTAAACTACCGACAGTATCGTACAATCAGGCACTGGGTTAAAAAAAATTATAATATCCTTAGCAATTTTAAGACAGTTTTGTGGGTTACATACTAAGTGTAGGTATACTGAGGAGTGTTGGAAACATGTTATTTATGTATATGTGTACAACTTTGTAGGAACCATCAAAAATACATTTAATATTAGGAAGACCATATAGGTGTAGTAGTATATTCTTATACATTATCTATGTAAGTCGCAAATAGTATCTGCAACTTTTACATAAAATAACTAGTCAGTAACTGCTTGTGCTGTTCCTCTGTATTTTTTTGTTTAATAGGATAATGACCACAGTTTTGTGAAAAATCTGTATTTTTAATAACTAATAAAGACTCCTAAGGTTCCATTTTATTATTTTAAATATTTTTTTCTATATAAGTGATAAAATGTTTGCATTTAACTTACATTCTGATTTATAACATTTTGAGAATAAGTAATAGATTGAAAATGTTTTTAGTGTAGTAAGGAAATATTGTTTTACATTATAAATGTTTAATATTGATGTTGTTTGTGATATTTTTGGTTTATAGCATATGTGTTGGACTCAAATAAAAACTATGACCCAAGCTTTGTCTCTCAATTATAGGAATGAACTGAAAAGCCAATATTTTAAAAGCAATTTAATAAGTATGTTAAGTAAGTAATATTCAATTAATATTGAACATAATATGCTCACTTTGCAAGAAAAATTAATACATTTTGTTTTGATTACTAAAGCAAGTAAATAGCTAAAGTAGAAGCACTTTATTAATAATATACTGGAAAGTTAATTATAATTAAATAGATTGAAACAAAGTGAAATATTATTAACCTTTAAGACTACTCATACCAGCTCTCATTATTTCATCAACTAAAAGAAGGTTGCTAGCAATAACAGAACATGAGTTTAAAATTTGTTTCTTCACAATATAGTTGTCATAGATACCCATATCTGTTGGTTTAATGGCTTCACCACTGCTTAGGTCTAAACCTATGGGGTCAAAGCTTAAACGGGCTTCCTCCTGCAGCTTGACAATTGTATCTTGAGCATCATGTCCAGAGTTTACAGCTAATGTTTTTGGGATCACCAGGAGGGCCTCAGCATATGCTTGAATTCCCAATCTAGCTTTTCCCTTGACTGTGTCTTTGTATTTCTGCAGCTCCAAATTGGTTTTAATTTCGAATGCGGCAGCACCGGGAACTACACACTTGTCTTCAATTGCATTGTTAATAGCTCTGAGGCCGTCGCGAATAGCGTCCTTAATTTGAGTAAGAGTGTGCTTGTTGGGACCTTTCATGAGAATAGTTACAGATTGTGGGTTCTTGCAATTTTCTACAAAAGTATACTTCTCTTCGCCAAGGATATGTTCATAGACAAGACCAGCATACCCTAAGCAATCTTCAGTCAGATCATCAACCGAGTTCATAGCAGAACCGCCGCAAGCCAACGACAGACGCTCCATGTTGCGTCGCTTGGCTCTGCGAAGCGCGATTATTCCTTCCTTTGCCAAAGCGTCAAGGGACAGAGGATCAATTCCCTTCTGGTTGATTACAACAAATGACTTGTCAGTACCATCACACAGCTTCTTTTTTAAAGCAATTATCTGAAAAGGAAAGGAAATGTACTTAAAACTAATTTTAGATGGAGATATGTTGAGCACCTTATCTCAATAAACACTAGCAAAAATGTCCAAAAATGGGAAAGCTTCTTATCCGAAACAGCCTGGATTTTTAAAATTTAAGGTTTAACTTTTAAAATTAACTAAAACTATACTAATATGTAAAGCCGAAGAGTTTGTTTGTTTGAATGAGTTAATCTCAGGAACTGGTTGTAATTGATAAACATTTTTTGTGTTGGTTAGAGTATTTATAGAGGAAGGCTATAGGCCTATAAATATGCGGCGTATTATATAGCAGCAAAGAAACAGCGGGAAATGTGAAAAAACGGGGAAAACATCTTTGTGTGTTTCCGATGCGTTCGTTGCAAAACCTGTTCAAGATATTCAAAGATATGCATGCAAAATGCAAAGTGCATCTTTTGATTGCAAGAACCACGGGATACGACTGACGTCATGGGTAACATCTTTAAAGATGGAGAGAAGGTTTGTAAACACAAATTTGGATGCCCAAATTAACTATTCTACGCGGATGATATCGCTGATACAGCAAGTGATATAATATTTACCTTTTTAACTCTGAGGTCAATAAAGTCTCTTTCAGCAGCAACTAACTTCTCACGATCTTCAGCAGATTTATAAAAGAAACCTGAATTGACTTCTGTCTTTTCATACTCAAGTGAGACGTTACACGTAAGAATGTACGCATTCTCCACTCGTTTTGGCATGTCAGGGTGACGTGCGCCGTGATCAAGCACCAAACCTAATTTTTTATTTTATTTTTATAATATTAGGAAAACTTAACAGCTATTAGTTATAAATAATTTAGAACAAGAGTAGAATAGTAAAGCTAGAGGAAGTTTTCACAATTAATACTAATAAAATATATTAATAATTAATACAAATAGGATTCTCAATCTGATTTTCAATCCAAGGCTCCACTTCATCAACAAATTTGTGGCAAATGGGAGAGCTCTCTTTCAAACAAGTTCCAGTCCAAAAATAAAGTACATTGAGAATATTTTTTACATACATAATGACAAAAAAACTGTTTGTTTTAAATTACTCTTCTCAAATGTATAGACAATTTTGAACCTTTTTTTACAGAAATTTTAAAATTTGAAGACTTTTTATTACCAACTAACAGTAAATTCAAGTGTCAAATCAACTGAATAATTCTAAATTTAAAAGATGGTTCTTGTTTGTAAAGATTACAGTTACCCATAATATAATTAAATTACCTTTAATCAAAGTTGTTTCAGTTGCAGTTTTATGTTGCATCTCCATTAACTCAACCATGTGTAAGTCAACAGGTTGATCTGGCTTGTGAATAGCCAAGACTGCGTCTACGCAAGCATCAGTCAACACATCCGCAAGGTTTTGGTGTACCTATTTAAGACATCACAAATTTTAGTTAGGGCAATAGTTATAATTATCCACATTATTGCTAAATATTTATTCTTCATATCAAATTTTTTTAACAAATACTTGTTGCTTGTTAATTTTTCTTGTTATGTTTTAGTATAATTACCTTTGTTTTCAAAGATGTACGAGCAATATCCATTAGGTTTTCTCTTTCTACTTCAATGGGAACCTTCATACTGTCAAGAATCTCCAGTGCCTTATTTCTTGCTAAATCATATCCTTCAGTAATAATTCTAGGGTGAAGTCCTTTAATAATGAAGGTTTTGTTTTAAAATCTATATACATATTACATTAAGATATTTAATTCAAAATAAAAGTATTTATTTACTTGTAAATAATGATTAAGTGAATTTAATTTAAGTTCTATTTAATTTGTACTTGCGTTGCCAACTAAGTACTGTTATATAAATATACTAGTACAATTTTCAAATTCTTTAGAATATGCAATGTTAATATACAATGGATACAATGGATTTGTTTTTATATATTTATTTCAGTTAACTTTCTTATCCAGTTGAATAGAACAGAACAGAAGAACAGATATTATATAAAATTACAGTAAAAAAAACGCGATACCTTCACTAATGTATATATCAGCTTGTTTCAAAAGCTCCCCAATTAAAAGCACAGTAGAAGTTGTTCCATCACCAGTAGCATCGTCTTGAGCAGTTGAAGCGCGGGCAATGAGAGATGCAGTCGGATGCTGAATTTGCATCTCGTGCAAGAGTACATTACCATCTTTAGTTATCTTAATATCGCCTGCGCCTGATACTAACCTGAAACATAAAATAAACAATTAAACATATTAAACAAAAAAAAAATTGTAAAACGTAAATATTAGAAAATCAGAAAATTTTCTTATTAACATAAACATGTGACTAATATATAAAATAAGTGCCGACTACCATATGACTTTTTAAACCTGTTTAATGTCATTTCTTAGACAATATGGACAAATAACTAGGTAAATATCAATACTTTATTGCAAAAAAAGAAATGTTTTGCTAGTAATTTATACAGGAGTTTATGTTAAATTTAAAAACTTACATTTTTAAAGTTCCTTTCGGGCCTAGGTTAGTTTTCATTACATCTTGAATACCTTTTGCTGCCGATATATTTACGGCTAAGGCTTGTGCAGCCCTGGCAAATTCAGCTTTAGGGTTTAATAAACTAATAGCAGCCATTATAATTCAGAAGCTTTTCTCAAAAATTTTAAATGCTTTTGTATTAAAATTTCTCAATTAACTCGAGCGTGCTCTACAAAGTACAAACTGAGCCAGAGATTAAATCATAGATTTAGCTGCTACTTAATGACAGTCTGTATACTCTGTCGTTAAACTTGGTAGTAGAGAGGAGAGGTCAAAGGAATTGACAGATCACAGAGTAAATTCGCTTAGAGAAATCATCATCGATAATGTATTGGTATTCGTTACCACGACAAAATCTGAAATGTTTGCTGAATATGAACCCTGCCTAGTCAGAAATATACAGTTATTTTCAGTTATTCCTAAATATAAGTCAGTATTTTGTATACAGGATAAGTTATTTTGAAAAATTTTCAAGTGAAATTCAATACCGGTTACTCACTACAAAATACGAATCGTCACAACTCTGTACTCGTACTCGGTACAGTTTTAGTATGTAGTGTCTAAAATTTGTATTTATAGTATGGTTTGGAATATGGGAATACAAAAATAAATATTCTATTTTAAAACGACGTCATACAAGCAAAGTATATCCCAGTGTATGCTAGAAGATTCGTTAATTTTGTAATCGAGACAGTAGCTACAGTAGATTACAATAAGCTAAATAACTTTTGAAATGGGTCAATTAGAAGATGCAGAGGACTTTAAAAATAGAGGGAATGAAGCGTTTAAATCTGAGGATTATGAGCTCGCTTTGTCGCTTTACAATAAAGCTATAATTCATGGCGCAAAAGACACGCGGGATATGGCTACGTATCTAAAGAACAGGGCCGCTACTTACCTTAAAATGAAGCAATACGAAAATGTAATCGAAGACTGCAATGAGGCTTTGCGAATAATTCCTGAAGATCCCAAAGCACTGTTTCGACGTGCTCAAGCCCTAGAAAACGTAGAACGCTATGAAGAGGCCTATAGAGATGCAAAAACAATTTTTACTGTAGACCCCACAAATAAAGCTATACAACCAGTGTTAGGGAGATTACATGCAATAGTCCAGGAAAGGTCAAGATTAGCATCACAAACTCACAATAAGGTGGAACAAATGTTCAAAATTGCTTTTGAACTGGGTGAAAATGTGGAAAAGAGAGAAAAGGCCATATCAAATCTCCTTGTTCTTTCAAAAGAAAATGCAGCTGCTGAAATCATGTTAAAAAGTGGAGTGGTGCATAAAATTCAACAAGTGGTTAAGAATGAGAAGAATCCAAATATATATGTTAATGCAATTCGTATTGTTAGTCAGCTGTGTAAAGAAAATATACAAAGAACAAAGAGTGTTTTGAAAGTAGTTGGTGTACCATGGTTTTTGGAAATTATTGATAATGAAAAACCTGAAATTGTGAATGCTGCCCAGTATTGTCTGCAAACTATATTAAATACATTTTCTGGCATGGATAGTAAAAAGGAAACAAAGCCTGACAAAGACTTATGTGACCAGCATAAATCTGAAATAGACACAATGCTTACCTGTTTAACTTATTCCATCACAAACAGAGTAATCACTGGCCTAGCAAGAGACGCTATTGTGGAATTAGTTATGAGAAATTGTCACTATACTACACTCAATTGGGCAGAAAGATTTGTTGAAATTAGAGGATTGCAACGTTTGTTAGAGGTATGTAGTGAGCTAGAAGAGTATAAATATGAATCGGCAATGAATATAACACCATCATCGAGAACTGTTGCAGCCGCTTGTCTAGCTAAAGTATATGAAAACATGTATTATGATGAAGCAAGAGAAAAGTTTAATGAACAAGTTGATGATTTTATTAAGGGGAAATTATTAACACCAGATATTGAATCTAAAGTTCGTGTTACTGTTGCTATTACATCTTTGTTGAGAGGGCCACTTGATGTTGGTAATTATGTTATATCAAAGGAAGGAATCATAGAAATGATTTTAGTCATGGCTCAAACCGAAGATCCCCTTCAACAAAAAGTTGCTTGTGAATGTCTTATTGCTGCAGCATCTAAGAAAGACAAAGCTAAAACCATTATAAATAAAGGTGTGGATATATTAAAAAGATTATATTCTAGTAAAAATGATGCTGTTAGAGTAAGAGCTCTGGTCGGTTTGTGCAAAGTTGGTAGTTTTGGAGGTGATGATGCGTCTATCCGGCCATTTGCTGAAGGTTCAACCACTAAGTTATCAGATGCTTGTAGAAAATTCTTGGTAAATCCATCTAAAGATAAGGATTTGCGAAAGTGGGCTGCTGAGGGACTTTCTTACCTTACATTAGATGCAGATGTTAAAGAAAAATTAGTAGAAGACAAGGCTGCTCTACACTCTCTTATTGAACTGGCCAAGACTGGAGATCAATCTTGCCTGTATGGTGTTGTAACAACTTTTGTCAACTTATGCAATGCTTATGAAAAACAAGAAATAATGCCTGAAATGCTTGAATTGGCAAAATTTGCAAAACATCATATACCTGAACAGCATGAACTAGATGATGCAGACTTTGTTAACAAAAGATTGTCAGTGCTTTGCCAAGCAGGGGTTACATCAGGTTTAGTAGCTCTGGCTAAAACGGAAAGCCATAATTCAAGAGAACTCATTGCAAGAGTTTTCAATGCAATTTGTAGTTTACAAGAGCTGAGAGGCATTGTAGTACAACAAGGAGGAGCAAAAGTATTGATTCCAATGGCCTTAGAAGGGACAAATAATGGGAAGAAACAAGCAGCTCAAGCATTAGCCAGAATAGGAATCACTATTAATCCTGAAGTTGCTTTTCCTGGTCAAAGAAATTTAGAGGTAGTGAGACCATTGATAGCTTTATTACACCCGGAATGTACAGCACTAGAAAACTTTGAAGCCCTCATGGCTTTATGCAATTTAGCCTGTATGAATGAAACAACTAGAAATAGAATCTTAAAAGAAGGTGGCTTATCTAAAATAGAGCACTACATGTACGAAGAACATCTTATGTTGCAAAGAGCTGCAACACAGTGTGTATGCAACTTGGTGCAATCTGAAGATGTTATAAAAACCTTTGAAGGTAGTAATGATAAAACAAAGTTTTTATTTTTATTGTGCCAAGAGGAGGATATAGATACTGTTATGGCAGCAGCAGGTGCTTTATGTATATTGACTTCAGCAAGCAAAATTTGTTCCCGGAAAATTCTAGATCTAGAGTCATGGTTGGAATCCCTGAGGTGTCTACTTGTGAATGCAAATAAGGAAATTCAATATAGGGGGACATACCTGCTTTACAATATTATAAAAGATGACATTGATATGGCTGCAAGAGTATTTGAAACCGACATAATGGAAATTTTAATGGCTTTAACTAAGTTAGAAGATGCAGAAACTATAAGGTCTAAAGAATATGCACAGAAATGTTTACATGCTGCTGAAAAGCTGGGTGTTATTAGGAAACCAGATGTTAAGATAGAAGACTCTATGGAAGATGAAATTTCAGATGACAAATAAGTATGTCAATTTTTTAACTAGATAAGCCTTATCATAGTATGTAATAACTTATACTATTGTTACTTAAATGCCTTGTATATTAAAAATTATAATAGTGATATTTGTTTACTGTAATAAAGTCAAATATTGCAATTATAACTTCAGTACTAGAGTGTGTGTATAGAAAAGTGTGTTTTAAGATTACACAAGAGTGCCTATTAATGTTTTATAAGATTTGTTATTATATTTTTTTTCTGACTAATTATTCGTAATAATAAATTAAGATTTATACAAGTTCTTAAGTTTTTTTTTCTTAGAGTAGTTTAAGGTGTATAATACAGTTTGATTACTTTTCTTTTGTAGTTCCTTCTGGAATATCTTTTGTGTAACAATGACTTATAATCTTAAGTGAAATAAGTATATTGTTTCCAAAGGAATCGAACCCAGGCTAGTCCATTAAAAGGAATGTGACTCTCTTCGTAGAGTGAAATATGTATGAGGCTGTTGGAGGCAAAGTGGCCCAATAACAAAAAAAAAAATGATTTTTAATAAGGAGGAAAATAATGCGCAATAACTCAGGCGAAAATGAATTTAACTATTATTTGTGTAAAAATTATGTTAACAATTTTCAGTCAGTTTCGGTCAGTCTGCTCTCCTAGATTAACTTTTTAGTCAAGTCATAAAATGTTAGTTAGGCTACTCTGCCTCTAGCGGTCTCATATAGTCGAAATTATATGTTCCGCGTTAGAATTTTAAACGTTTTAGCTTATTGGTTGAGTGTTGATGTGAATCCAAATAACTACTAAAAATTAAAGTAAATTTTAATTAAAGTAAAATAATAAAAGTAAATTTATCAAGAATTTTGTCCTAGCAGTAAATTTAAAATTAATTTAATTTAAATCATAAATGTAAACAAATCTCGCGTTTTGGCGTGAGGAAATGGTTTACTATAGAGTAGGATAATGTATAATGAGATAGACTGCGACATCTTTTTTTTCCGGAACTAAAATTATTTTATTATTTATAGATAGTTAGGAATCCATAATTATTCGTATATAGTTTGTTTTTTTTTATTATTAAGAATTTGAAAAATAAAGCTATAAGGTATTGTATTTACAACTTTTGCGACAAATTACTTGTTATTTGCCTACGAAATATTATTTCTTAACTGTTATCCATTACAATCAAGCTGCATTTCCCAAACAGGCAACCCAAATTATTTTCTGGTTTTATATATATTTAATATTTATCTGAGAAGTATTTGTGTAAATATCATGAGTCATATTATGATAATCTTCCAGACTAAGTTCGATTAATTAACCTACATCAGCTGTGCACTACAATATTGATAAATCAACAAATTGTTCCCTTAATTAAACATAATTTTTTCTACAATTAAAGGAGAAATCTTTTTTTTAAAATTCTTATGATTCTTTGAAGATCTTGGAAATATTTCACAATCACAATTTTATGATTGGCCATTTATTTTTATTATAATCTTTGACTTTAATAAATTGATTATCTTCTCCGCCCATTATATCTATTACAGTCTCTCTGCATGTTTTATAGTATTTTATACTTATAAACAATTTTGTCAGGACCTAGGCACATAATATGTACACAATTACTTTCACCCATCTAGCCTCCATTCCTTCCATAGTCTAGACAAGATTTCTTATAGACGGGATGTAAGATTTATAATTCGTTATAGTTATTTCTATGAGAGACTTTATGGGAGTTAAATGTAATGTACCCACGGTATACTCATAGACAAGTTACATGGGTTTTAAACATAGTAAATCTGTGTAGAATGCTTACCAGTAATTAAAAATGTTTTTTTTTTTGGTTTCTCAAAACGTGTTATTTAATTTAAGTACACACAACCATACAAGAAAATATTATATAAGAAATATCAAAGAAAATATATTTATTTCATTATTTCTTTTTTATTTAGGATTTAACGTACCTAGTTTAGATATTAACAATTTTGAGAAAGAACCTGCTAAGCATGAAAGTGTTTTTCTATTTTCTACGTTTAACATTATGTTTTTTATTCTAGTAACATATTTGTTGGTTTGGAATTAGTATAATCTGTTTGGTTTAAGTTTTTTAGCATAAACAGGTTACGTCTTAATAGTCTGTGGTGGTGACATAAAAATTTAAATGGTTCCTCTATGAATGAGAATGACAGCTTAATTCGGTTTGGTTTCCGCTGTGCTATTGTGGCTTTTACTATTTTTTGGATTTTTAAACTAATTGCGTTTAAAAATGTCTATTTCAACTGCTACAGGTACGTAATTTAAAAGATAATACTTTATTCCGTTTCAAAATCTCGTTTCATTCCTCAATTACCGATGTACATTAGAAGTTATGTTTTTCGGAGCAAAGCCATGGAATCCCATATGGCGGTCTATGCTCCACATGATATAATGACGCCAAGTTGAGCTAAAAAGATTTGCTGTCACAAATCCTGCTCTTTATGGCGTATCATATATGTCATTTCAGCGAAAAAATTGTCTCATCGTACATTTGTTAGACGTTAGGTTACTAAGCTATTCTGATTTTTTTTTTTACCTTTCTAGCGTCTTCGGTGACGCCGGACATTTATACAGTACTCTTTTTTGCCACTTATAGAAAAAAAAATGATCTAATTTCTTCCCTCAATACATTTTTGTTTATTGTTATGTTCAAAAACAATTATTTGAATGTTTTGATTGATGGTGTTTAATATTATTTTTTTTTGTTATCTTTTGAAAATAATACTTATTTGTTTTAGATATACAATTTTTATAACTTTACTTTTATATTCATCCAGCTTTTTATGATAACCAACAGATATTGTAGGAATGATTATACCAAAGTTTTTAACTGTTATTATAGGGATTTTAAATAATAATGGTGCTTATGCCACATATTACTAATAAAATATTAATAATTTACTTGTAAGATTAATGTAGTGCATTTATTGTGTTGATAATAATAACACAATGTTTACATTATGTTCCATGTTTTTATATGTGTGTTATATGTTCCAGATGACCGCACTGAAGGTGATGATGACACATCACAAGGAAGTCAACCGAAAGATGAAAGTAGTGAATCTGAAAATGAAACTGAACCTCAAAATCAGAATGGTGGAGCAATGAGTCCTGTAGTACACGAGATTACTAGTGATGATGAAGTAGTTACCAATGATGATGAATCTTCTAACTCAAGCACTGACTCTAATGATAGTTCAGAAGATTCACAGCAAAGTAATCGAGATAGAGATAAAAATAAAGGTGAAGAACCTATGGAAAATGGGGAAGAATCAGATATTGAAGAAGTTCACATTGAGGATCCCCTCAACCAAGCCTCACACAAAAATAAACCTATTGTTATCAATGATACTAAAAACTTGGTGGATCTTGCTTCAAAGCAAACTACTTCTAATGGTGATGATCAAAGTAAAGAGCCTACAGTAGTAATAATTGATACCAATTCAATTTTATCTGGTAAAGGACCTGCAGCCATACCTAATAAGAGCAGTACTGGTAGTATAGATGCTCAAAACCTTTGTCAGAGCATCGCAGCTAGAGGCACTACCATTACACCCATAAGTAGTAAGACAAATAATAATAAAAGTAATCAAAATAGCTCTCAAAACTATCAAGCCAATATTCTGCCATCACTCACAGATGATATGTTTGTGGTTGAAGCACCATCGTTTATTGTTCCTTATGTTTATGAGAAGCCTTCATTAAAACCGTTCCGAGAATTTGTTGATAAATTAGGTAAAGAATTAGAAGATATAAAAGCAAAGGAGGAAGAAGAGAGATTAGAGAAAGAAAAAGTGGAAAAAGAGAAAAGGGAAAAGGAACGAAAAGAAAAAATAGAAAGTGGGGAACTTGTAGAAAATGAAGAAGATGTTAAGGAAGAGAAAAAAGAAAATGAAGAACATATAAAGGATAAGAAAGCTGAAAAGAGGCAACAAAGGAGGCGCAGGAATGATGATGATGATGATTCTTGGGATGGAGAATCTTCCAGTGACTCTGATGAAGTTGCTAGTGATGACGACACAGTGGTTATTAAAGATAAAGACAATACACTGGATGATTTAAAAGACTCTATGGAAATTATAACTAAAGGTTCAGCTGGAAAATCTGATAGTTACTTTGACTGTTCTCTTGGACAGTTTTTTATTAATATTGGCGTGAACCTAGTCCAAGAATATGTACAAAGTGATCTGTTAAAGACTCAAAACCGTAAATTATACAAAGAGAAAAAGTCTGGACGTAGTACACGGGCTACAGAAGCAGCAATAGCATCTCTGACTCAAAATTATGCTTACAGCAAGAAGCTTAATGCTCCCTATGCTTTAACACAAAAGCAGTGTGAATTTTGTAGTTTCAAGACAGAATCTATGCTGGTTATGTCGCATCATTTAGAAGCACCTCATATGAAAAACAACATTTACAAATGTAATACATGTTCCTTCGAAATTCGAAGCCCACATGACATATTATTTCATATGGAAGCTGAACATAATATTAGAGGTAGATTAGAGAGAGCTCCAGCTTATCAACAATGTCCTAGTTGCCACTTTGAAGACAATAGCAAAACTAAACTAGCCCGGCATCTTATTGCATGTGCTAAAAAGTTCAAACCAGAATTTAATTTAGGGCCACCCTTGGATTGGGAGCCTCCAGCAAAAATACCAAAGCTTTCACGGGCACGCAACAATATGATGGCTCCGTACCAATCAAACTTCAATCGTACTCAAATTGGGCTCAGCCCATTGGGTCGTCCACCGTTAAACATATCAAACTCTGTAATACCCAATATGCCAGTTCTGGGTCGGCCAAGAGGTCGCCCTCCATTGGGTGGGCCTTCTCCTCGAGCACCTGTATCAGGTGTGCCGATTATACGAAGTGGAGTTATGATTATGCATAATAATCAGCCAAGTGGGACCACAATTTCTAACTATCCAGTTATGAACAATCAGGGAAATCATGCTGCCACCCCAAAAATTTCCATCACACCTCTCCCGAGGGTTCCACAACCATCTTCATCTAATGCATCACAAAACTCTAAAGCTACTTTTGTTATATGCGAAATTTGTGATGGTTACATCAAGGATTTGGAACAATTACGAAATCACATGCAGTGGATCCACAAAGTGAAGATTCACCCTAAAATGATTTACAATAGGCCACCCCTAAATTGCCAGAAGTGCCAGTTTAGGTTCTTCACAGACCAAGGGCTGGAGAGGCACTTATTAGGGTCCCATGGCCTTGTAACAAGTTCTATGCAAGAAGCCGCCAATAAAGGAAAAGATGCTGGCAGGTGCCCTGTGTGTGGAAGAGTTTATCAGTGGAAGTTACTTAGCCATGTCTCGAGGGATCATAACATGACTCTTAAACCAGCACATCTTTCCTATAAATGTACTGTGTGTACTGCTACATTCGGAATGTACAAGCAATTCGAAAATCACGTTTATTCAGCGCACAGCGTCGTCGCGAAACGTGTAATAGAAAAGAATAAAGGAGCTGCGGCCTCATCTAAGCCCACCGACAATGACTCGATGCTCAAACCCCTCAAGATCAGCGACGAGATCACAATTATACCTCAGCCTGCAAAGTCAGCTGTGACTATTACAACAAAGGGGAAATAGCACTAGCAGTAATTAATATATTTCGTTTCTTAAATGTTTCACTTTGATTCTCAGACCACAACCTTGAGATCAGGTAGTATTTTGTAAATAACCTGATTGAATAAACATTTTGCGCCTAGAATTGTTTAAACAGAGATATATTGCTGACTTTGTTTGTCAGAAAAATGTGAATTTAATTTTTTAATTAAACTTGACATAAACAAAATACATAATAAGTTGTAAATCAGTGTATAAACTAAATGTAAGATCGTGAAATATTTTGTGACCTTTGTATTGTTAGAATCCTTTTCCTACTGTGTATCTGTGACAAGTAGGATCTTTCATGTTTTGTTAGAATGTCACAAAGAAAGCAATTTTGAGATCTGCATCGTCACTGTTTTTGTAGTGGAAGTATGCGCAAGTTAGATTTTAGATTTGGTAACAATTTAAGTACTATTTATTTGCTTATTACTCATGTATAATCTGTGACTACAGTAAATTATTGTCTGCCTTTCATTATTTTCATTTAAAGCTGGACGTTAAAAATGTAAAATTTTAGGGAAGCATTAGTTATTAAAAACGGTAAAACAATTATGATTACGTAAGGTATTAACTAAGTTAGTAGATTTAATGATTAAGTAATGATTAATTATATGCGTATGACTTGAATTTTTTTATTCCTTCGCCACAGTAACTTGAAACTTCACGATATAGATATCAGTTTCACTGTTCTGATCTCAGGTTTTGTTTTCAAGTTAGCCTGGACTCTGTTACGAATCTATGACTATGAATTTAACATCTAAATTGTTGTACTTATAAAACCAACAGATTTAAATATATAGTAGTCTTTTTTATTTATATGTAATGTAAAGAAATGTATGTTCACACTTTTCCGAAGGGTTTTGTAATGATATGTGAGAATTAATAAAGTTATTAAAGTAAATAATATAAAACGTTGTGAGTGGATTTTTATATTTGTATTGATTTTCCCTAGAGATATTAAAAGGCTAAAGTGATACTTATAAAGATTTGTCAGAGGTAATGATGGATCGAAATAAAAAAAATGTGTGCGTGTACTAGTGTACACACGTAAGAAGTGAAACTTCTTTAAGGCCTTATTTTTCGCAAAATGATCTACATGCAACTTTCCAGAAATTGGTTAAATTAGATAAAGTTTAAACAAAAGGATTTTATTATCATAGACATGAATACAAATAATACAATTATTTCACTTTAACTTTTTGCTACTAAGATTATTACAGCATTTCATTAATTGTAATAGAATTATTACTATCATTGTCATCGTTATTATATATTTTTATAATTAATGGCTTATGGTAACTGAAATATGAAATATATGGTTTACATTCCACGAAATTTAGTGACCGAGTAAATACCATCTATAACTCCATCAATTGTAGTGCCAGATCTTATTGTTGCCGTTTGAGGACTGTTTTTCATGGATAAATTCAATTTATCTTTCAGAAATTCAACTAGCTTCAAAGATTTTTCCGATGCAAAATTGACATTAAAATCTCCACTTAAAATCATCGGTATTTTATCATAAAAATCTATCGATGAAGTCACAACGTTAACAACATCATTAGAATTATGATACATATATTCCTACACCTCCTGCTCTCGTGCTCAGCCGTGCGCGTAACCGAAAAATGCGACGGTAAATTTTTTTCCAACGCCGATAAAGGCTTCAAAATTTTAATGTCTATACAAATATTACGAAACTGAAGAGTTTGTTTGAACGCGCTAATCACAGAAACTACTGGTTCGTATTAAAAAATTATGTGTCGGTTAGACCCATACCTCGAGTAACTTTGGGCTAAAAAACAGGCTGCGACCAATAGCAAAGACGGGAAATGTGGAAAAAAATCATCTTTGAGGGCTTCCGTTGCGTGTGCTTTTGCAGAAACAAAAAAATATCTGTAAAAGTATGATAACATTATAAATGATTTTCTTTAAGGAGTTGAATTGTCGTGTACAAGAAAATAGTACTAATTATGCAGGATACCATTATACATATCATCAACTTATACTATAATAACGGGTGTACGGGAGTCAAGTAGCGACTTATATTACACTAAACATAAAAGTTACACTTGCAAAAAAAACACGGACACAATATATAGTCTATAATATATATAGTCTTATTTAAACCTATTTTAATAGGTATAATCAGAAATGGGTTTAAATAATATAATTTTTCTATATAATAGATGAGATATCTCAGAATTTCACTTCTAGGATCTGACGGTCACGATGTTCATCTTTACCGGAGAGCACATAACACATTCGGAATGGAAAGAATACAAAAATTAAAGTTTACCTTCCATCATCGAAGTACTTTAAATCACTAGACAAACAAAAAATAATTTGTGAGCTTATTATTTCTACTTTATGTACCTTTAGATTATTTAAAATAACACGTACATACGTTGGGCATATACCTATGTATGATACTCATATAGTAATTTATGTAAAAGTAAAGAAAGTTGTATTGTATTATTATATTGTATATATACTTATATGTGTAAACACGTATTACGTTGATTTAAATAAATTGTGTAGGTAGTACCTAAGTATATTGTATGGATTAGCAAACATAAAATATATAGAAAGTTACGAGTATTTTAAATTTAAAAATAGTTTTGTTTAGGTAGTATTGAGTATACTTAAGAATACCAATTAACTGCAACGTATTCTTTACGTTTTAAGTTTTTAATAAAAAGTATTGTATAGTAGGTAAGCCAATGAAGAATAGATTTACCTACACATTTTTTGTTTAATATTTACTAAATGCAATTAAATCATATCAAAAGAAGATTCATGTAATCTTGATAAACTTCTAGTTAATAATGCGTTATAAATTAAAGTTTATTTTTGTCTTAATTCTACCGCAATTGCATGATACTTGAGCGGACAGATTATTTGGAAAAATTTGGGAAATTTTTAAAAAAAACCCGGGGGGGGAATACCCCCCCCCCCCCCCCGGGGGGGGGGGGGGGGGGGGGGGGGAAAAAAAAGGGGGGGGGGGGGGGGGGGGGGGGGGGGGGGGGGGGGGGGGGGGTTATAAAAAAAAAAGGGGGGGGTAATACCCCCCCCCCGGGGGGGGGGGGGGGGGGGGGGGGGGGGGGGACACCCCCGGGGGGGGGGGGGGGGGGGGGGGGGGGGGGGGGGGGGGTGTTTATATATATAGGGGGGGGGGGGGGGGGGGGGGGGGGGGGGGGGGGGGGGGGGGGGGGGGGGGGGGGGGGGGGGGGGGGGGGGGGGGGGGGGGGGGGGGGGGGGGGGGCGGCGGGGGGGGGGGGGGGGGGGGGGGGGGGGGGGGGGGGGGGGGGGGGGGGGGGGGGGGGGGGGGGGGGGGGGGGGGGGGGGGGGGGGGGGGGGGGGGGGGGGGGGGGGGGGGGGGGGGGGGGGGGGGGGGGGGGGGGGGGGGGGGGGTTTTTATACGTCTCTTTTTTTTCCCCCCCCCCCGGGGGGGGGGGGGGGGGGGGGGGGGGGGGGGGGGGGGGGGGGGGGTTTTTTTTTTTTAAGGGGGGGGGGGGGGGGGGGGGGGGGTTTTTTTTGGGGGGGGGTTGGTGAGGTTTGTGTGGGGGCCGGGGCGGCGCGGGGGGTTTGAAAAAAAAATAAAATAAAATAAAAAGAGGGGGGGGGGGGGGGGGGGGGGGGGGGGGGGGGGGGGGGTTTTATTTTATAGGGGGGGGGGGGGGGGGGGGGGGGGGGGGGGGGGGGGGGGGTCGGAGGGTGGGGGGGGGGGGGGGGGGGGGGGGGGGGTTTTTTTTTTTTTTTTCTTTTTTTTCTCTCCACCCCCCCCAAACAACCTATTTTTTTTTTTTTTTTTTTTTTTTTTTTTTTTAAAAAAAAAAAAAGCGTATAAAATCACATCGGTTATAAAAGAAATGTGAGCCCCATTATATGATTTCCCTTTATTGTTAAATAATAATTTTATATGTTTTAAAGAATCAATGAAGGTTCACGCGATTTTTTATCGACTTTAATATTACATTAAAGTAAAACGATTACTAATTGTGTATTAAGATTTCATATTATTCTACAATAGAGCACAATCTTTTATCTATGGTCAATCCTCCACCTCTATGCTTCATAGTTGGCACATATATATATAGTGATGCCAATATAAATATTTCACCTTAAATTTGGGGAAAAACTTTTTAAGAAGTATAAATTATAATATAAATAGGATTTTTGGTAGTTAATAGCCTAACTAGCATATAGAAAATATATAGATAAAGTTATTCCATAACAAGTATCAAGGACAAGAAGTCTTCAAAATACTAAAAAGGCCAAAAAGGTAATGATACATTTATTTAAAGAAAAAAATCAGCAATAAAATAGTATTTTTCGTCTCATCTACTATGCTATTAGGATGACTTAATGTCAATTAATCCAACACAATACAATCTAGAAATTTAATCAAGGTAAATGTACCTACATTGATACTCAGCTATTTTATAGTGCCTAAATATGTGTATTGTGATTTTGCATAAAATGATTAGGAATAATATTTTGCGATATGAGGCTGCTAGAGGCAGAGTGGTCTGATAACGATGAAACATAATTTTCAATAAGAAGAAAAATAAAAATGCGCTTTTAACTTAAGCGAAAATTATTTTGTGTAAGAATTATGTTAAACAATTTTGATTACTGTGAAAAAATTTAATCTATAAGAGATAGATTAAATTTTTTGACTCTGAAAATATAAACAACTTACTGCGTCTCGCGGTCTCATATTTGTAAGTGGCTCAAGGGAAAAAAAAATTGTAGGGGCTGGCATCCCTGGGTTGAAATCCCGCTTCATACGCTAACGCCTCACATTTCACACGCGCTTTTTGCAATTTGCATCTACGGGTAAAGGACTAAGGAGGTACGTTCTACTTGTCATATAAATAATGATCACACTATTTCTTATAACTATACGATTGTTAACTTATGGCATTTTCTATTGTTTGTGCAATTGAAATACCAATATAAGTTAATCATATCAGTCGCGGCTTTGGTGATAAATCAGAACCACGTGTTGTTAATGGTTAACATGTCAAATTATCTTATTAACTGAAGTAAATCTAATATTCAGTTTCTTTACTTCTTTATTATAACTTCCATGTGGTTCATGTATTTGCTGAATACTCCCATAACTTTTTATATGATGATATAAACACGAGCCGAAATGTGTATTTTTGATAAACACGTGATAATAAATGATAGGTCTGATGTTTTTATTGTATTTTTCGTCTGGAAATAACCTTGTCACAATCTCACATTCATAATTTGTCTTTCTTTCAGATCTCTTCTCAACAACAATAGGAAAATTTAAGGTAAGAGGAATAGCAATAGTTAATCATTTATCAAAAGAAACCAGAAAGGTTTACCATGATGATATTTAACAAGAGCCTAATTGTATGTTTGACAACAATGTGATATTAATTAATGATAGGTCTGATAATATGCCGCATTATACTTTAAAGGGTGTGTCCTGATGATTTGGTTACAAATTATTGTTCTTGTTTACAGGTAAGTGTGGAAACCTACTTCACTGATCACCAATTACACACCCTAGGTCCTAGTTTGAATACTACTAGCTTTTGGTATCTTAATTGTTATGTTAGTTGCTACTACATAAAGTTTATAAATTGTTTTCTATTAACAGGTTAAAATAAAATATTTTTGTAATATCTTATGCTCTTTTATTGGGTCCTTATTATAGTTAAATATAAATTATGTACAATACTTACAAACTTATAATATTTGTTAAATCAGCCTTTCATTTAAATATAATAAAATAATAATACATTTTTAACTTTATGTATGTATGTATCATACAAAGTAAAATTAATAATAGATAGTTTTAATATTCCTTTTTTGCATTCAAGTCATTGTGCATACTGAATACTAAATGTTATCCTTGTAAATGTAGTATTAATTTGTAGGATTGCGAGGGTTCGGTTCTGTAGCATTTTGTAACTTGATTGTAATATCGGTCAAAGCCATGTTTGGCAGTAGGAAGTCTTGGATGCTTGTGGCAGTGCTTGAAGGACGATCAAATGGATAGCCCATTGCCCTCTTGTCGGGGTAAAGTCTGTCGCGTATTCCACAGAAGCTTGATGCTTGTTTGCAACTCATTTCGGAACCATCTTCTTGGATAACCTGATAAAAAAAAAACTTGTGTTACCATACAGTCATTTTAACTAAGATTAAAAATTGTATCATCTTGCTTAAATAATAAAGGTGAAAAAGTATTACAACAAATTTGTTGCCAATAGAACTTTACACTCTTTAATACTGCCAACAGTTTGAGCAGTAGGAACTTCACATATTATGAAAATAAGCTGGCTATAAAGTGTACTGTTACATTATGATAATGTTTTTAGAGTAAACAGGAATCTTACCGCGTCTAGCTTGTAGTTCGAGATCATAACAAAAAGTTCGTAAGAGGCTCCAGCTTCGGTTCCCTTGGGCACCAGCATGTGTTGTGGCCAGCCACAGCCGCAGTAGTTGAAGGCGGCCAGACTCTGCTGTTTTGGGTTCGTTCCCTGCCGGCTCAGGTCGCGGAAGGTTTGCTCGAATGGGATCGTTACGCTTGATTCAGTGGAACGGCGAGTGATCACGTTGCGGCCACGGTTTACTGTCAACCAATATCAATGACAAATTAAGTAACTAGTGGAATACATATATTGTTCTTTAACTATTATCAAATGTTCCTTTAAGTTAGCACTATTCATTATTACAAAAAGTCATACATGGAACGACAAATCTGTCCATTTCGATGAACATCTTTCGCTGATCAGAGAGAGTCCATGGCAGATTACGTTCGTCGAACTTGGGCGCCATAAAGATGCGCACGGTACCACGGTTAGCGTCGCCATCGTTCTGCGCTTCGATCCTAGACACAAAAAAGGTATAGGTATAACAGTTATGCGTAGTTTATAACTTTTAAAGTAATTAATTTGACCATTCATACGGAGGTAGGTGTTTGCTTCTGTGCCATAAATGCATAGTGCATCCTGTGCCACATCAATGAAAAAAATTGTAAATACATTTTTACGGTACTAATGTGAATACGCTAATAATTGTGTGTTATGATTACTGCGAACATATATCAATAAGGCTCCTTTCAGCCTAACACACTAGCTTATTTATGAACACGATAAATCATTAATAATATATTGTGATTGTGTTGTGAGTGCCACTGTAGGTCTTTAAATTTGTATAGTGTCAGGTGAGCGATGGACTTGTACATACCTAATAATATATAATAGTCAGAAAAGAGCTGAATTTTGTAACTTACATTATTATAGTTTTTTAATTATATTATTATTCTCGAGTCGAATGGCATCTGGTTCAAATCCGACAATATAAAATACTTACACGTATTGGAAGTCTCGATGGTTCAGATGTGTGAATCGCGCATAAACCGCTCCTCTGTTTGAGAAGTCGAGACCGCGGGATAGATCTACGTCACTGGCCATCCAGAACGTATTCAAAGTGTTGGTTTCCCCGCCAGAGGATTCTATACGTGCCGATGTTATTTTCACATCTCTGTTCTCCAACTATAAAGCCAAACAAGTACACGAAGTTAGTAGCACAACGTATACTTTCAGGACGATTTTAGTTTCAGATTTAGGAAAGGTTAACGAAACGAAATTTTAAAAAAGAATCATTCTAAAGAAGATATCAGAAATTTACTTTTCGCGCCATATTTTAATAAACATGGCGGCAACTCTTTTGCTTATGGTGGAAACCGTTTGAATTGTGACATTACGGTAAAATTCAAGATCGAACTTCAGAATCTATAAATCACCAATCTGTTTAACTTGCCCAGGACGTCCAACAATTCCTTATCAATATATAATATATAGGTGTCCATTTTTTTTAATTATCGCCAACCTACACTATAATTTGTTAAATGTTGTTAAAAATCAAATACCTCAGAACGTGTGTATCGTGGGACATGGGTAGACTCTTTGAATTTATGGAAGAGATCATCGATGAATGAATGCCAACGGAAGAAGAAGGGGTCGCGCATCGTGGTCGCCTCGTCTCCCATGACGCCGAATGACTCCTGTAAATAGGTTTTAAAATAACATTTTTAAGGGTTTATTTATAAGGCCTTTGTACAACGAGTTGACAATTTTAATTATTTTGTTGGCGATGTAAAAAGACTCCTTGCCACATTCATACAGACTGTTGGAAGAACTCACCAGATACTTATGTGTGGGGTCATGCATATACGCAGAGAAGCTGTGGCCGTTGTTGTGGAGGTCGCCATAGAAGTCTCTATTTGGTGACAGTACACTAGCTTCTATTAAGTTGCCCAGTGTGTCTATATCTAGTGGTCGCATTGATCCGTTAGGCTAAAATAAAAATAAATAAATAAATAATATACTAATTGAGAAACTCCGAGTTTTCTTGACGCCTCTCTCATGAACAAGTTAGACCTCAAAAAATAAATCTATACGTTCTAAGATGTGCTCTTCAAAGACAGAAGCCACGAGGAAAATCGCAGACCGTGGAATAATAATTTGAATATCAAAAAAATCAATGAGTGTCTGACGTAAATAAAACTCTTTAACGGTTTAAAACGCGATGTATAATAGTTAAACTTATTTTACTCATTATTACGGCCCGACGTTTCGAATGCTGAGCAGCCGTTGTCACGAGGAGACGTAGTTAAAATAATTTCCAAATAAGTTTAAGTAAGTTTTAAGTCGTTAAGGTAATTTATTTAAATGTGTACTACTCCCGAAAACTCCAGACAGTGTTTAATGTGTCATATGCTAACACGCACTTGGCCACTTCGGTGGATTAGGGACCTATTCCCTCAGTCTGCCTCCAAGAAGGGGGAACTACATAAAAGACTCGATCTTATTAACATATAACCAATAATAAAAGCAAATGACAGCCCACGTACCAATTGCACTAGTCCAGTAGCAACAGCGTCTTCCACGTTCCTCCGCCAGCGTTCCATATCGGCAATAGTGACTTTGAGTCCATCAACAGGTCTGTTGAGGTTTTGCCATTTCATGCCCGACTGCCGCGGGGGCCAGCCTCGCGAAGACGTAAGGCTGTCCAGCTTTGGGAAGTACGCTTCAGGAATGGGTTCATTGAAATTATTAAATTTCTTCACTCTAGCTAGAGCGTTGTTAAGTCGCTCGCCGTTGTATCTAAAAGTATTTTATATTCAATAATTATAATAAAAAATATGTATAGTAGTGTGACGCTTATTTCTTCTCAGCGCTAGATCTATTGCAGAAAAAAACTAAATAATTCTCTAATTTTATATAGAAGAAAAAAGAAAATTTTGTTTGGCATGAGATTCCTGTACCATATTGGACTTCGATTAAAAATTCTCGATCTTTAATGGGTGGCATGCCCCTGAAAATATCGAAATTCTGTCGGAGAAATCAATCACCGTCCACAGATGAATGAGTCGTTAAGTTTAATCACGTTTCGGTAACGATCTATACTGATATTTGCAAACGATAACGCGTAAAGAAGTCAGGCTGTGGTATTGTCCCTTCCATCAAGAGAACCCTGCGCTTGAATGTGGTGTCTCTATTATAAATAATTCCTCTTACCGAGCAATAATTTGCTGATGCATGTAGTAGAATAACTCCCCGCGCCTGTCCTTGGCAACAATTTCTCTCTGATTAGCAGTGAATGGGTATACAAGATGCCAATGCCAATGGTGAAGATTAACACCTATATCTTCCCGAAAGTACGCTAAACGATGTTCAATGTCCAAATCAGTCGCCGTATAATCTCTTGGAATAATGATTGGAGTGCGCTGAAAAACAAAATAAGTTAAATCTAAGAAATAGTGCATTGTATACATAATTTTTATATAGATATAACATTATATGTATTAATAAAAAATATTAAACTAAAAAAAATAAGAATCAAACTTTATTTAAAAACTTTTAAAGTAAATGGATTTCGAGATAAAAGAGGTGTAACAAAGATAATACGTCTGTGGGATGTATGATATCTGTTACCTTCGTTATTGGGTTTTGACACTGTCAAACGTGAAAATTATATACCGATAGTCATTGTCAAACCAAATGCATGTATTTATTATTTATGTTTAAACTTTAAGGTTAGAGAATATATTATGACTTTCTGAGTAAAGGGTTATCAGATATGCTAAGAGATATTAAATGGTAATAATATTTAGAAGTGAATGCAAGATGAATTAATAAGATATGGAAAATCCGGGGGCTAGTTCTGTCGTAGTTGTTCGTGCTAAGCCTGAAGGGCAAAGAAAAACATTTAAACCAAATGTTAGGTCTGTAAATAAGATACCAGATGAGTTGTTGAATGATCCTATAATCAACCGAGCATGTGAAGCATTACCTCAAAACTACAACTTCGAAATTCACAAGACAATATGGAGAATTCGTTCTTTGGGTTCAAAAAGGGTTGCTCTTCAGTTACCAGAAGGTATGTAATATATATCAACCTTGTTTGTAGTTTTCCAAGAAAATTTTTAATTATCTCTAATCTAATATCTCTATCTCTAATTTCAGGCTTGACTATGTTTGCAACAACTCTATGTGATATTATAGAGACATTTACTGATGCAGATACTGTCATTATGGGGGATGTAACATATGGAGCTTGCTGTATAGATGATTTTACTGCTGTTGCTCTTGGGGTGGACTTACTGGTACACTATGGACATTCATGTCTTATCCCCATAGACCAAACTAGCAGTATAAAAGTACTTTACATATTTGTAGACATCAAAATTGATCCATCTCATTTCTTAGAGACTATTAAGTTAAATTTCCCCAAAAAGACCCATTTAGCAATAGTTAGTACAATTCAATTTGTCACAACCCTACATTCTGTTGCAAAGAATTTAAGAGATGATGATTTCACTGTAACAATTCCACAAAGTAAGCCACTGTCACCAGGAGAAATTTTGGGATGTACCGCTCCTAAACTAAATGCAGATTGCATTGTATATTTGGGTGATGGAAGATTTCATTTAGAAGCTATAATGATTGCTAACCCCAACATCCCTGCATATAAATATGATCCATATGAAAAAAAGTTTACTTCGGAGCTATATGACCATGATATAATGAAAATTAATAGGAACAATCAAATAGAAGTTGCTTCTAATGCAAATTATTTTGGACTTATTCTTGGGACATTGGGTAGGCAAGGGAGCACAAAAGTGCTTGCAAATCTGGAGAAACAAATTACAAATTGTAATAGAAAATATGTTAAAATATTGTTATCAGAAATATTTCCAAACAAATTAGATCTATTTAGTATAGATGCATTTGTCCAAGTCGCCTGCCCACGGCTGTCTATTGATTGGGGAACAGCTTTCCCTAAACCATTGTTGACCCCATATGAATTTTCGGTCTCATTAGGTAATGCTAAATGGCTTAAAGATGATGGAACATACCCCATGGATTTTTATTCAGTGGATAGTGTAGGACCTTGGACACCAAATTATAAGCCCGTCTTATGTTCTGGTACTGATAAAAAATGTGATAATTGTTGTGGGAATAAGGCAAAGTAACTTACTGGAGCCCCTTGAGCAGCAATAGCAGCTGTCTCACGAGCCTGTGAGAAAACTTGAGAATCAACAAATTTTGATGGAAATGTCTCTGCGAAGTTTGCAATCGGAATATTTCTTGTGTCACGTCTGTAAAAACATTGTAGTTTACATTTATTTCCCTTATTTACCAATTATTTCCTTATTTTTTTATTTATTTGATGTAATAATATTATTTGTATAAATAAAATTTACCTGTGCATTAGGGCGACACTGTAGCAGTAATTGAAGAGTTGTGGGTTGAGGTTGACTCTAGCATAAGTACATGTGGATAGGAACTGGTTTAAATCTCCATCAGGAACAGCTGTAGTGCAATATGTCATAATATTTTTATATAATATAGAGTAGATAAAATATAATTTAGTTTTTTTTCTTTTGCCCTTTGCCATCAATCCATTATAGTTTCTCTGATTGTTTTATAAATCATTTAATGCACATTTCAACATGTCTGTGTTAATGTGAAGTTAAAATTACTATTCTTTTATATCTATGCTTCTACCACTTTAAAAATAATTATATGTGAATACAAGCAATGTCAGTAAGAGCGTTGCCAAGATTTGCGTTAAGCGAGAGGCTTTGCACTTCAATCCAGGAAAACCATAAAATAAATCACACTTTTTTAAAATTGTTAATTAGTACAAGATTATTGCTGCAGAACTAACCCATTAGTTCATCTATAACTTCATCAGCCATTCTTTGGTGGGAGGGTAAAAATAGTGAGAAGTCTGAATTCTTCGGAAGTTGCCTTGATTTTGTGAATTTTGGTACTCGTTTCAAATTCTCCAAGGGGATTAAATCCGTAGCGTTACCAGTGAATCGGTTGTTAATTTCTATTCCATTACTCTTATAGTCATCCGTCTGAAAAAAGATTATATTTGAAAATTATTCATCATTATGGGTTTCCAAGGCACTGCAAAACGGTCCAAGATACCCAAAAAAATGTATCAAGAAATGATGCCTCTTTAAATGATCTAAGAAAAAGTCCGCGACGCTATATGTTATTTTACTATCTTTTAAGATTAACTAACAAGAGCGACGGGAAGGCACGCGACCGACGTGGGTAACAGCCCAAGTTTATAATTATGATGGGGTTTGCAAAAACGAATTTGGATGCCCAAAATAACGATTCTCGCAGACGAAGTCGCTGGCACAGCTAGTAAAAACATAAAATATACTGATTATAAACTAGCTGCGCCGGAGACTTCGTTTGGGCGTATATACAACGTATTTTGTGCCCGTGTGGCGCATAATATAGTACTTAGTTAAGGTTGCTATTGTAGTTGTACCACTGTAAAAAAAATAGGAATCACTTACCAAGTATTCGTCGGTTAACTGAAAAACGGCGTTGTTATCGCCTTTTGGTGTCACCAACGGCTCATTAGGCCTATCGAATAAGAGGGCCAGTCCTTTCGTTATTTCCGCCATTTTTGAGGTACGGTATATTAACTATTTTGACCACTTCACAATAAATGTGAAGCGAGTATGAATTAGTGAGCGATCGTCCCGTGTTTTATAGTTAATTATTCCTGCCGGTAGTAACGAGTGCAACTCGAAGATTTCACGGGTGCAAAACCGCGACAAATTTTTAATATTTGTTTTTTAAAAATTAATTAATTACGATAGCAATACGACAATTTTTTTCTTTGAAAAGTCTTCCATGTTCTTTTTTATTAGTCCAATAATTTAAATAGAACACTAACGGTTTAAACGCGATATATATTGGTTAAACTTATTTTAACTATGGCCCTAAATGGCGCGTTTCAAAACGGCTAAAGTGTTTTATTAGATTTTTTTGTGTATTATCTACTTGCGTAAACTATAGACAGATCCATAATTCATATATATTATTTTCTTTCCGGCTGTTGGGCCGGTGGGGGGGGGAAAGGGGTTTTCTCGGTTTTCCCCCCCCGGGGGGGGGGCACCCCTTTTTTTTTTTAAAAAAAAGGGGGGAAAACCCCTCTAAAAGGGGGCCCCCCGGGGGGGGGGGGGGGGGGGGGTTTTTTTTTTTTTTTTCTGAAAGACATAAACTATAGACTTTAGATCCATAATTACTTTTCAAATTGAAAATTAATCATTTAATTCTTATTTAATTGGGCCTTCTTGCACCTTTATCTACTTGAGAGTCACCGTCTGCAGCGAATATCTGAATTTTTGGAGAATTTGTCATAAAAAATATAAAATTGACAAAAAGTGGAAATTATTATGAACCCTACATTTATTCTATAAATGGATACTAATTATCCATTAAAGTGAAGAATGGTAAATCCATATTTATGTATAGTATAGTAATGTAATAATACATTTTCATAAATATTTATTATGTTTTGGTAAAATAATACATACTTCACTCTCTTGATAATTTGTATTATTTCCTGTTACATGTTTTGTGTAACCACATCCAAAGATAACATTCCCAAGCAATCAGTCAAACAATTAATAACATATTATTCTAACTAATGGTAACTTTAACATCTATTTTTGTACATTTGGTCTATTCAATTAAAACTTTATTATTTGTCTGCCAAAAATTTGCAAACAGTCTCCAGGAATTTTTCAGGCTTTTGGCTATGAACCCAATGACCAGCCCCATCTATAAATACCAACTCAGCAAGAGGGAAATATTCTTGGATTTCTGGTAAATCATTTTTGCTGGAAACAACAGAAAAAGTAAAATTAAAGAAATTAGTGTAACATCAAAATTAAATTTTCTTATATATGTTTCTTATTTTAAAGTAAATAATTAGTATAATGCGACCCTTGATAAACTTACCCAATATAATCTGACAGAGAGCCTCCAATAAAAAGTGTCGGCCCACAGTATTGGAGTCCCTTTAATGTTGTAGGAAAGTTTGAAATGTGACTTTGAAAATTATCCTTCAATGCTGGTAGATTCACCCTCCATGTATATGTACCTGTATTAGTCTGTATCAAGTTTGTTATTAAGAAGTTCCTTAGATTCACATCCGGTGACACATTTTTTAATTGTTCATCTGCTAGTTTCCTTGCTTTGGACATAGCAATACCCGTCCTTATTGATACAGCAGCCATGGCATCAAAGAGATTCATCATGGTAAAAATCTGTGGGCTAGTCTTAACTGGAGAGATATCAACCACAATCATACTTGAGACTAGGTCGGACTGAAAAGTGTAAAGTAAATCAGATTCCGTTTAACCTTTTGCCAGAGCATGAAAATTGAGAAAAATAAGTAATTTTGAAGGGGTTTTACGTACAACTTACACAGAGGAGCGACAAAACCATAGCAGTGCGTCCTCCCATGCTATGGCCTAGGATAGAGACCTTTGATATCTCTAATTTCTTTAACAATTTGATTACATCATGGGCCATATGAATATAGGTGTGTTGAGATGAATGCCTACTGTCGCCATGGTTACGAGCGTCGATACTGATTATTTTCCTTCCGGTTGCCTTGTGGATAGCTTTACTCATACTGTTCCAGTTATTTTTCGAACCTAACAAGCCATGTAAAATCACAAGAGGTGGTTTTTTTGATGTATCCGTATCAGTACTTTCATATGACGAATAGGCTAGTTCTACAGTTTCTGCATTGCTAGAGTCAGATTTGAATACCTTAGGGGTTGCGAGTACTTTTGGACATAGTTTGAATAAATTTTGAGATCGAAATCTGAATAACATTTTGTTTTGAGAAATCAGAATTTTGAAGTGTAGAGTGAAATTGAAATGGCATTATCAGAATTACATCAAAGACAAGTGTTAAGTTTGACACTGACAGTGATGTTTACACTTCTAGTTCGATATGAAGTATTCTTAGGAAGTGAAATTTAATAACAACCGGTTTTTAGATTATTACGAAAACTAGTATATATTTTATACCTAAACAGTTTTAAAAATTATTAATATATATCGCTGATTGACCCATGATAGTATACAAGATGCATCGCTTTCTATGGCTAGAAAAATCAAGTTTTGTATATAATTATAAAGTTAAGTATTTATATCTTAAGATTACCCTCACTGTTCTATACATCAAAAGAGCTCGGACGAATATTTATCGACACTTAATACATAACACTTTTGTGAATGAATATAATAATATTTTGCTATCCAAAAAGATTTGACTTAACTTCACATGTTAGAATATTGGAAAGTAATATTTTATGGTTACATTTTTAGTGTGTCAGTAAAAGCCAATACAACGTAGTTAATTACTTTATTCAGAGACTATTTGAGAAATTGTGAGACTATTCTCAGGAAACTGATGGGATCTTCAGCGTGAACATTGTGTCCGGCACCTTTGACATATTCCAGCTCCGCTTTCGGAAAATAGTTTCTAATTCCATATAAATCTTCCGGGCTGAAATGACAATTTAGTTGTCTTATCTGCGCGATGACTATTGTATCATCACTATAATAGAGATATAACGACATGATACAGATAATGTTGAATTAAAAAATATGAGTTAGAAAAAGTTTATTTAATTTAATTATAAGATTAAATAATAACGTCCCACGACTTGGCTTATGTTTGTTCTACGTATAGGGGAGGGTTTTTAGAGTTTAGAACCATCACGCTGTTCCATCGCACGTTAGGCGGCTTTAACGACTATCGCTACTAAATTAGGAGCGACCACTGGGTTATCGTGCTCTTATGTTATATTTAAAAATATTTTATCTAAGTATGAGTACATACTTAGACAAAATGTTTTTAAATATAACATAATAATATATTTTATTAATCGAGAGTGAGTTTTAACGGTACGTAGAGTGTATTGAATACAAGCCAGTATAAAAATCCGAGTTTTTGCCGCTTTAGGGTCTTTGTCATTTGTTTTTAAATTAGAGTAACACTGAAGGTTAAGAGAAAACGTTAAAAATGTAATATACATACGGTAAGTAATTTGACTGATCGCCACCTATAAATAGCGTATTACCGGGATACTGTTTTCCCTTAAGGTCACTCGGAAATGTTGCAATATCGTTGAAGTGTTTTATGAGTGCGTCTAAATTACACATCCAACCAAATGTTCCTTCTTGTTTCGGCCCAATGTTCATAAGAATAAATCCACTCGATTCTGGCTTGACTAGACCCGATGATGCCAAGTGATCTCTAGCTATTGTTCTGGCCTTGTTGATGTTGTCAACACCGGTAAAATTTATTGCTCTCATAGCTTGTATTAGCTTAGGAAAGAAATCATTCAATATTCCAGCAGTGGACACAGGTGATATATCGACAACTACTAAGCTTTCAACTTTTGATGGCTGAAATAATTCATGATATTTTGGGTTTATATTCATCTTTTTATATTTGGGGTCACAAAGCTACTTAATAATATTAAAGGGTAATAATTTACCATTAACATAAAACTACAAACAACAACAGGCAAACTACAACGTCAATGTCCTTATTCGAAATTAAAGATATACAATAATTTAAATAAAACACTAACGGTTTAAAACAAGAAATATATTAGACTCCCCGAAACCAGGGCTGCTGCAAAGTACCCGAAACGTGGGGCCGCAGTTAAAATTAATTTTCAAATAAGTTTACCTTCTTATCGCGTGTTAAACCGTTTAAGTGTTTTATTGAAATGTGTACTACTCGCGTAAACTACAGACAGTATTTTATATACAATAATTTTATGTTGTACCTAAGATACTTGAAAATCAGAATACTGCAAGGATCTAGAGTAAAAGTTCACGGATTTAAATTGATACTGGACCTCGGTCAAGGCCAAAACCATACCGGTTCTGCCGCCCATGCTGTGGCCAACGACGTGAGACGTCTTTATAGACAGTTTCGTCATAAGTTGCAGAATATCCGATGCTAATTCTGGGTATGTATGCGATTCGGTATGCGGGCTCTCGCCGTGATTTCGTACGTCAACCGTAAGAACGGTTTTACTCGTGTTTTCGTTAATTTTTTTCGATACGCTCTCCCAGTTCTTTTTCATTCCCAACAAACCATGTATGGCGATTACCGGTGCGATGCTATAGTTCTCTTTGCCGTGAACTTTATATACCAGGTCAACAGCAAATCTTGAGTGCACATAATATAAATGTCTAGAGGGCAATAATTTTAATGCAATTTTCGTTAAATATGACATTCCATGCGGATTACTCGATTCATATTCAATGCCTTGACAGTACGTTATTTATTTCATTTGTACTTTATTTTGATGCACTATATCTGTGGTATTTTTGTTCTATGCAAACCTGACAATGGTGACCCGTTAATATTGTTTAACCCTTTTGAATAAGAACTTTTGTTCGTAACTGAAAATATCTACTATATGTGGTGCTCGAGTCTGGTCTAATTTAAATTAACAATTAATAACAACTTATTAAAAGCAATATAAAAAATATACTATACCTACTACTCTTCGCCCCCAAGCTATTTCGCGGCTTTGTGTTGTTGCTTAAAATTTGCTCTTCATATAACGAGATGTGATATTTACACTCGTGTAATAATGTTAATTTGTGACCAAATAAATAAGGACCTTGGTTTTACCTCATCAATTACAGGCCACAAGCACACAGGAAGCTGGTCAATAATTGGAGGTGAACTGTTTACAGTAAATAAATATTACAAACTTTATTCAAGTGGCTGATTTATTTGGAAACATAAATCTCTATATACGTACTTTTTCCCCGATTAAAAATAGAGTATAAAAGATATAAGGTAAGTTAAAACATTAGGTAATTTTTAAGAACTCAATAGCAATTTCTAAAAAACTCTTAGGGTCGTCAGCATAAAGGCTGTGCCCTGTTTGGGGAATGTACGTAATGACTGCCCGAGGAAACATTTCTCGAATCGCCGTTAGATCATCTGGGCTGTAACAAACTTTTTTGTTTTATAAATATGAAAGTACTAATCTCCCTATATGTATTGAAGGATCAATGAGTAATAGTATAATATCGGCTTAGTGCGTGAGAAATATAAATTACAAAAATCGGTCACTTGCGAAACGAACTAGCATACGAGGTTATTTTTCTTAGAAAATATGATCTCAAGAATCTCTAAGTTTCCAAAAAAACATGAATTTTTATCGTTGACTTAATTTTAATGGAAGCGAAACAGGGAAGCGTCTTTAACAAAGTCGATTGGATCCTTTTTAGAGACTTTATTAGAGACACATAGGGTTTACACTTTTAAAATATTTAAAATACTTACGGTAAATATTCAGATAACTGTCCACCGATAAACAGCGTCGGGCCCAGATACTGCTTTTTTAGACGCGGAAATGTAATAATGTGTTTAAATTCCTTTATCAAAACATCAAGGTTACACGACCAGCCTATACTACCAGTGGACTTCTTGGTGACATTAGAGAGAATAGCTTTCATCAATATTTCATCAGTTATTAGAGGCTTTAGTTTCTTCTTGACCTCACGTTGACCGTGCTTAACTTTTTTCTGTTCTTTGAAACTAAATTCTTTCATAGTTGTCATTATTTTTGGAAACTTCTCTCTTAGGTCTGCACATGTGGACACCGGTGATATGTCGACTACTAAGAGCCCCGCAATCTTTTGTGGCTAAAATTAACATTTACAAGAATTTTATGTTTAGTAAAAGACTCTTAATTAAAATGATAGCACTAGTAAAAGCAACTATAGTGGTAGTTATTATTATGAAGTGATGACTAAATAGTAACTACCACGTACCACTTCGTAATAATAACTACCACGATAAAATAGTACTTGTGAGGTAGAGTAAGTCATCTCTCTCTCTCATCTATAAACATACGTTGAACGTGGTACTATGTAGAACACTAAGGCCTATTATAAGGCCCAAGTCCCAGCGATTGGAATGGCTAAACTGGCTATAATTGATGTGTTTCTTTTGTAAACGTTACATTTGTTTTCAGTGTGCTTATCAGTTTTAATTAAATAACACGAATATTATTTTTTACCGCTATCAAAGAAATGTGCATAGAAGCTCTACCGCCCATACCATGCCCGACCACATTCGCTCTATCTATAGACAACTTTTCAAATAGTTTGAGAATATCTGCCGACATATCATCGTATTTATGCGAGTTCACGTGGGGACTGTCTCCGTGGTTTCTCAAGTCGACGGCGACCACCAATCGCTTCGTCATATTCATCATCGTTTTACCAAAGCTCTCCCAGTGCTTCTTCGTGCCTAAGAGACCGTGAAATAAAAATATTGGCGGATCGTCCGGGTTTACATCCTGTTCACCATATATTTTGTAAGAGAGATTTGCCGCCGTTCTAATAGCATTCAGAGTAACTAATAATATTCTTATATGCTGCGTTCTACACACGACTGAAACAAGGGCCATTTCATCTTATTTAAAATTTCAATATTAATCCTGTGAGACTACCTCTGTAGATATTTGTTATTTATAATGATTGACAGTAAACAAATCGATTTTCGCTTCGACTTTAAAAAGTATAAACAAGTCAACTGTCATCACAACAGCAAATCTATACATATTTTATTTACGTTAACGCCTCTATTGGTCTATGGTTAAATACATTACATTAAGGTCAATGTGTCTAGGTTTGGATTACGGGGAAACATGGTAAATAGATTCGGTCAGACATGGAAGTAAAGCTACGCTATGAAATTATTCGCTAAAACAATGCCAGTGCTTAGTGTGTTAGCATTTTTTTTGGTATGACCAAAAAATCTATAATATACATATTGTTTTATTTACTAGTGATATATTTCCCTGTGTTTGATTTTATATGTGTATGTACTTTGATGTATTGTAAAATTATTTGAATTTGTATATAATCTATTTCTCTGTAGGTACATTACCTGAAAAATATGCCAAAACTGTATGAACTTTTAAAGTATGTTATCATATAACACGCGATTTTAAATAAGTACTTACAAGGGTTTTTTCATATTTGGACCCGAGGAAATTTCGCTTCCTAAGTCGATCATAAAATGGCTACGGTTCAAATCTCGTGTGTGTGCAACTGTTTAGGTTGAAGGAGTCAAGAGTAAGAAACATTACAATAATAAACTTGGATTTTTTTCTGGGAAATTCGTTACTAAAAAACAACCATTTTCTGTTTTTTACTGAAAAGTCATAGTATTTTTATTCACTCCTTTGTGCCGCCATAGCTAACAATTGGTGGTTTTTAACGTGGTTATTAACGGAAATTAATTTGTTATCTTTCCTCGTATGGGAATTTTTTATTTCTATGTACTAACCACTCAAAACACGTAAATGAATAATTGTATTATGTATAATTCAGCATACAAAAACCTAATAATTATGTATGTGAATATCCCAGAACCAGCAACTTTGTTACATTATTTTTTTGTTGTTATTTGGTTAAATTTATAGTATATTGCTTCAGGTAATTTAATGTGTATAATCACATTATATTACAGTGTTTTTGCTGGGTTAGAGGGGACATAGTAACAGTGGATAACCCCATGTCCACCGCGGCGTAGAACTGGGTGAAATATTCGGCTGATTTCTAGGACTGATCACTGACCTTCGCTTAGTGTATCCTACATACATTACGCAATTACTACTTTAACATTTACAATATGTTTGCATTTTAATGCAAACAAAACAATAAAAATGAATGAATGAATCTATACTAATATATAAAGCTGAAGAGTTTATTTGTTTGTTTGACCGTGGTAATCTTAAGAAACTACTGATATGAATTAAAATATTATTTTTGTATTGAATAGAGCATTTATCGAGGAAGTCATCTATTAGGATTAAAATATAAAATAATATTTAAAATCGAGCTGTAATAAATAGAAGCGAAGAAACAGTGGAAAATGTGGAAAAAAGGGGGAAATGATGTATCTTGTGGGTTTTAAGAAATACTTGCAAGAACCACGGGACGCGAACGACATAGTGAGCAATAGTTTAAGTCTATTAAGATAAGGAGGACACAGGATGACGCGGACATAACTTAACTAATGATTTAGATATGTAATGAATACCCAGTACCTCTCGAACTTTGCTCAAGGCTAAACCTAAAATTTGTGAGCCACAGAGAGGGTGAGCGTAAGATTACATGCTTGGCATTTATTGTTAATTTTTGTACTCCTATTAATTACATATATATAAGTTAAGTTTAATATATTGAGATACGAAATTATAATTACGATTCCCATATAAATCAAATGAATGTTGTAACCACCCAGCTCTGGCCATTCATAAAAAGTAAACAATGAATATACACCACTTGAAGTAACATCATTAACATAAGTTTTTTCAATATTACCTTAATTCATTGTTATTCCTTAAATTTAATAGGTTTATGATAAAAAAATAACTTCATTTTCAGAAAATAGGATGGTGAATTTTCCTCTTAGGCTTATATATTAAGGATATACAAACATGTAATACCAATATTAAGAGTTTTTTTTTTATAAGAAAAGTGTTATATATAAAAAATATACTATATATTGAGTACATAAGACTACCTATTTACAAAGAAAGATTACCTATTTAGAAGAAGAGATTACCTATTTACATACATAAATTCAGAATTGTCAATTCTAAGTTTGCCCTTCACACAATTTTAATATCCGAGAGCAATATAACAATATTTGTTACAACATAATTATGCTAAAAACAAAAGAAGTTTCCCACGTGAATAGTTTGTTCTTGCTTCGTGATGCATGTTTTGTTTTACCATTGATGTTTGCACTACTGACTTCGACTTTACTTACTTGTAGGCAGGTACTGTCACTAAACCATCATTAACATTTCTAACTTAATTTTTTAATAATAAGAGATACAGAAAATGATTTTAAAATCATTTTCTGTATCTCTTATTATTTCTGAAATTTTTTTCTAAATGACATAATATAACATGTATTATAAACTAGCTGTGTCAGCGACTTTCTCGTTAGTTGTTTCTGAGATTAGCGCGTTCAAACAAACAAACTTTATATATTGTATAGTTTAGTTATTTATCATCCGCACTCGCGGCAGTCCTTCAAAAGAAATTAGTAGTGACATTTTTTACCTAATTGTACCTGATGAGCTAATCCATTGCCCACTAGTAATCATTATAATACTTCAATGCATTTTTATCCTTAGAGGATTTGTAGCGAATTCATCATTTTAAAAATAACTAAAAGGTAAACCACACAACGGTTCGATAATAATTATCACTCTAAATTAACACAGATAGTTTTATACGACTCACTACTATTTATACCTACTAGAATATTATTACTATCGTCATAAATATTTATCTAAACTATGCAATAATTGCAAGATGCATTTATGGCTTGTGTTAATCACAAAGACAGATTTTCCGACATTCTAAAACATATTCTCGTAATATTAGACGTTTACGTAGAAAAAATCGACTCAGTACATAATAGACTAAAAGTAGGCGCAAGGACGACTGATCTACTTAAAAAATATCGTGTTTTAATAACTTACAGGTGCTGCATCATAATAATTGTATTCGGAATCGAGCCGCCTCTCTGTGTAAACGTGAAAGCAGTGTAAAATCAGTGTTTTGGTGTTACAACGGCGCGGTCGGGTGTTGCACAGGTAATGCATTTATTTACGAGTTAATACCTCTTAATTGTAATTTACAATAGTCATAAACGATGATATTAATTGTTTCTCAAGTTTAACAATTCCTTTACACGAGTAACAACTTCAATGGATTAGTGAGCGAATTTTTAAAAATTAAAATGTTTTAAGAATATTAAAATAAACCCTATTTAATGCTTTTAAATATAAATCAGAAATGTTGAATATAAAAACATGTAGATCTCTTTAATAGTGCTTTTTAATCGGTGCGTTTTATATGGCTTTTCCTTTATGAATATTGGAGTTCATGGACGAAACTCATGATTGGCATTTCATCTGGTCCAAAAGTTCATCTTCACTTCACCTACTTCTTAGTGAAAGAGCGTGACTGGCTTCTCTGTGCAGTGTTATTATTGAATGAAACCAGAACCATAATTGGAGGCTGTGGCATGGAAACTCTAGAATATCCGTTACAACTTACGGCACGGTTTTCACTTAGATTGAAATGTATCGATGATAAAAGTCTTTAATGAAACCTGATCTCTGTAATCTAATTTTACTGTAATAATAACTAACCAGAAGAGAGGCTTGTTCGAGTAGCTTTTGACTTTATATGACAATAAATTTACATTCCAATCCAATACCAGTTGGTCTTAGGCACTAATATAATGGCTAAAGAAGTGTTTAGGACGAAATATTTGGTTTTTCAAATTTACAACCGCCTGGTAAGGCTGTGATAACACGAGGACATTTGCGTTATGTTATACTTATGTGTTACACAATACTCTTCAGTTAGTTGTAATTTATTGTATTTATTACTTTATTTGAGAATTAAATTCGTGTTTGCGTACATCTCCGGTGTGAAGGTGAAAAAATGTTCTTTGGCCAGTTACATGTTTTCATAAGGTCTTAGGCGGAATTTCCAGCCGTGGAAACCATTAAAAGGCAAATAACACATTCAGCAACATAATATAATTCAGTTTTCTTTATTTTATTTATCTATGCTTATACGTGGGGAATATATTGTTTGATAAGTGCCGCTGAAGAGATCACTAAAAGTGTCGAATTAAACTCGAATAAATTTACTACTAATAATTATTGCTGTCCGAAATTTGAAGAAATTTTTCATGTCCCCCTATACCATTTTTCCCTATTTTATTCATTGATAAGTCTTAAATACCCTGCGCGACCGAAAGATAACCTGTTTTACCTTAATTTTTTTGTTAATACGATAGCCGTGCCTGCGTTTATTTCATCAGATTTCTTTTTATTATAACCACCACCTATAAAATCCACTGACTTCTTAACTTGGACCATCACATCGCTATTAAGTGTTACTTAAAACGTAATCATAAAAGTGATAATAGGATATTTGTGTATTATAGGATTATAAGTTTACCAATTAACATGGATGGAGAAGATATAGTAACAAATTCTTAGGGAGGATATTTCTTTTTTGATTATTATTGTTTATAATTGTAAAAGTATATAATTTAGCTCATATATAAAAACTCTGGTGTACAACATGTATAAATAAATGAAAATAATAAGACGCCTTTGCAATCTTATTTTTCTTGAACAACATAAATGTATTTACAAGATGAATGTATTGTACCATTCATTGTGCATTATAATATTTATGGCGATAATTCAATAAATACAATATATTTAAAACGTGTCATTCTATATCGGACAAAGTGCACGTATGTTCACTGTGTGTCAATGATATCACAATTACAAATGTTTGTGGACACTTGCAAATAATCGTGAAGACACATTTTGGATATTCGAGTTAAGCAAATGAGTAAAGCATACAAAAGATGTTGAGGTAAGGATTATGGATTATTTTTTATTCAGCCACCTGACCTAATAGACGACTAGTCGAAAATAATTCACGAAGCAGCAGTGTTTAAGTGGACTAAATGTAAGTTCTTTCATGTTAATTTAATTTGATGTGCAGTTCGTTCCTGTAAAATAATATCTATTATTGATCTTGTAGAATAGATTGTAGAGTTATAATAAATTAAAAGCTTTATTGATAACTTCTTACATTATAAATAAAAAGTTGAGTAGAGGTCAGTTTTATCGAATAAATGGAAGTGTTCTAAAAATAACACTCAAAATGCATAATAAGTACTTTTCAGTAAGGTATTTAATTTTTTTATTAATAAATAAACATTTTATTCGATTAGTCTTGCAACTTAAGAAAATAGTAATATATAGAAATAAAGGAAAAACTCTAAACTCTAAAAATAATTAAGCACGCAAACCTAATCTGTGCCTAAATGTTGAGATAATTTGGGTGAAATTAGTTACGATGTCGATTAGTATAGATTAATTATTTGTACTGTAGTTGTATAATTACCGCCAGACTTTGTAAATGAGTACCAGATGGTCCCTGACTTCGATTCTTTTGCAATAATCTTCATTATGGCCGTACTTAAACTACAGTGACAAACTGACCCAAGGACAACACCAATTTCCCAACTTTTTAAATAAAATGTTGCGAATTGCGGTTGAATTTCTGCCTACCAGTTTTAATTAAGTTTAGATAACATCATTTTTAAAGTAATATTTAGTGTTAGTAGTTAGTGGTTTAACCACTGAAACCGTTTGAATGTGAAAAAATGATAACGTCTATAAACATTCTTTGATGAGCCTAAGTCTGGATTTATAAGGAGCAGTAACAGTTGTATTAAATCAATATTATTATTGAAACTACCCCAGAAAACATATACTACATTCTAACAAGTATGTATTTGAGAAAAGTAATTATTTTGTCAAATATTAGTTTGACTGAACCGTCCATATGTAGCTCAGTAACTGTAAGGAGCTCAGCACACATTCTGCACGATAGGCTTTCTGAGAACACACTAATCGAAAGAATATACAAAATCGATTAATTTTTGAAGGTGATGATGAGAAAATGGAATTTCACTATTGGTTCGACTAATGCAGTAGGTATTATTAATTATATTAAACGTTTCTACGTAAATAAATACAAAAAAGCTATGCTACCGATTTAAATAATATATAATCTGCTACGGACAGTAGGGACAACCTCCATCTTCAGTCCTCCCGTTTCCAAGGCTGCTGCAAAGCATCCGAAGCGGCAGCCCGTAGTTAAAATATATTAAAAATAAGTTAACTAAAATATTTTGCATTTTAAACCGTTTTATTTAAATGTGTACTTCAACTACAGAAAATCCTATGCTACCTATTGTAACTACTTCTTATTACCGTTAGGGGTAAAACCGCCCTGATTTATCATCATATTTCTTTGTTTTGGACTTTTTTGCACTGAAAGTCTTCTTCCAGGACCTGCCATCCCTTGAATATCGTGTTCCAAGTTACTCATAAATTGTAATTACTTCTACTATAATGTCACTAAGTGTGTAAATTGTAGTTTGATAATATTGTGTTCAAATTATATGTTCTTCTACCTGCCTTTTGTGACAGTTTATTTTTAGTTTGTTACATAATTCTAAGTGTATACAACTAACTATTATCTTAAACATTGAGAAGAATAACTTTTGTAAGTAAATAATTAATTATAAGCGCACATAATACTGGTAATAAATCTCTTAAACCTAAAGTCTCTCATCTTTGTTTTTGCATTTAAAACGTATCATTTAATTAACATTGACGTTTAAGAATGCAGTTTGTAGACTAATAAAATATGCCTTATTTATATTTACGCCGATGCAAAGTATAAAGCTGTTTTGAAGTTTTCATATTAGATAGGCTTGTGTTGCTCATACTACGCTATCTGTCCGGCGTTTTTATAACGAAGAAGTCGAGCATGAGGTAAAAAATATATAATCTAAGGACGTTCAGCCTGTCTGTCAAAGTCTGTGTAGATTGTTTGCAAATTCTTGTTACGCTAAGGTTACAAATACTTAAACTGAATTCTTAACGCCCCCTTGATTTTATTTTATGATAAAGCAGGCAGACTAGCATGTTAACTCGATGGAAGCTGAAATATCCCAGCTGACAATGCACTGTCGACTGGTTTTGCTTTCGATATTTGGGAATCCACAGACTGAAACCCGATTAATCTAGACACTTTACCCATCCTATCACTCTTTTAATACCCACATTTCGAGGCGAAGTCTAATGCCGGCTCTAGACTCTCGCGAGGCGCCTCCTAGACGCTCTCGCCACGAGTCTTGGCGAGCGGAGACTGCACGAGTGCTAGTCATCCACACTCTCCAATTTATTTAGTTAGTTTCAGAAAAATTATAAAACGAATAGAAACATGTTGGAGATCGAACCCCGTGTATACCACGAACCCTTAAGGCCCCTGAATATATTATATACATATAAATCGCATACGACTAAAGTGATTCATTGAGACTAATTCTATATAATAATAATATAGAGTTGTTTATCCAGTCCGTCACCCTTTGAGCCGTATGCTTCTCGCACTTAGCCCGTATTTAAACTTGTCACGTTATTCAAACATTTTTCCAGTAAAGCGTACACTCTTAAGCATTAATGCGTTTTATACAATATCAAATCCTTCACATATGTAAATTTATGAAAACACAAGCTAATATTGATCTATACAAAACAGAATTCGCATACAAAGGTGGCAATAATTTCAAGGCTTGAAGAACAGCTTAATAGATAGGCCGAAACATAGTTTTATTATTGTTAATCACGCTAAAATCTAACTCAACACAACATAATAATTAGATTCATGTCTAATAAAATTCTAAGCGCTACGTTACTTCATTTAATTACAAAAGATTAAGGCGGAGTCCTCAATAAACGTTTAAGTGAATATTACAACGAATGACAGTGTGTCTGCTGCAAGTCCCCTTACAGCGGTAATAGGCGTAGTTCTACGAAAAGGGCACCTAGGTCCAAAACATATATTATTAAAGACAATTAATTAGAAGTTTAATCCAGGTCCACAATGTATTAAAATAGCTTAGCGCTTTAAAATCAAAATTATTGCTTCAGTCATTGAATTATAAACTTTGCTGTGTCTTGTAACAAGTTGAAGAAATTTAAATAAAACTCTTTAACGGTTTAAAACACTACTCGCGTAAACTAAAGACAGTATTTAAGTTGAAGAAAATTAAAATTAACTTATATAGGTATAAGAACAGTAACATAGCTAGGTGGATATGGCTCCGATAGATAAAGAAAGACGCGGGCACTTATCTCCACTTTCCGCGTAGCTTGTACTTATAAAAGCATCGATATATAAGGATTAAAATTATTCAAAAGAGTTTATTTCAAAAAAAAAACATCTCCTATTCAGTTATCTTTTTTCAAAGATTGGGTCAGAGGGCAAAGCCAAAGCTCTCTCGCTATAACTACGCCACTGTATAAAATCAATGAGAGGTCAAAACATTTTCTATAAGAACTTTGTTAAAATTATTACATAACCTATTTACAGTTGTCTACTTTAAGTTTAAATTACTTTAGTTTTTTTTATGTTCGATGTTGTCCGCTTTGGTTATTAAAGTCTATTGTTATGTATTTTTGTTCGTGTATCACATAACAACTACCAGACGATTGCAAACCACGACAGAGCGAAAATCTAAAATTAGTTAACTTGAAGACTTTTCGTGAAGCGGCGCGTATCTTGCTTACTTAAAAATTTCAAATGCTACCATTTGTACAGTAATGAAGGTTAGAGATTTCGATTGTCGGAAGGCGAGGCACGCACTGCCGGTGTAAGGTACTTAGATTAAGTATAGCAATGAACTAATATTGAAATTATCACTGTATATTCGCAATGGCATCCTTCCGTTTGTGTGTAACATTTCGTTACTCATTTACTAATAAAATTTTGACTAAACACTGTCTGTAGTTTACGCGAGTACACGTTGAAATACAACACTTTAACGGTTGAAAATGCGATATATATAAGTTTAACTTATTTCAATAATTTAAGAAAAAACGTCGGGCCGTAGTTGAAATAATAATAATAAGTTTAACTAATATATATGGCGTTTTGAACCGTTGAAGTGTTTTAGTTAAGAGATATCGACTCTTGTTGAATTGGAAATATGTTTTATTTGTAATACATTGTAAACCTTTCTAATAAAGCGATGATATACTAATGTTTACCAGGTCAATATAATTGCTAGTACAACATATAGAATTAGTGATATTGATCACAAAAATAATTATATACAGAACTTTTTATTATTTGTAAACGTTTTATAATAGTGAAATAATGATACGATACGAATATCAGCTGATGTTTTAATTCATTTGTTATATTCGATACAAGATTGTATTTATGGTTAATAATTTTAGTTATTAATTAATTTAGTTCGTTTTGTTACAACAAAAGCCTCAACGCTAAACGCGTGTTCCTTAATAAAATTCATTAAATCTTTTGAAATATGAACAATAGGCGTATCCGTGATTTTAACAAACACTGAGGATCTTAGACACCGGACCCCATTCCTATATCTCCAATTATACAATTTTAATACGATTTTCTATTGCAGTGCGTGTCAGCAGAAATGGGGACACTTCTAAACAACGTGACGCAGTATTACACCTACGTTAATGATGAACTTGCAGGTGAGCCATACAAGATATCAAACAAAGTACATTCATATTGAATAACCTCATTACAATGTTCATTAGTATTAATCAAATCGGAAGCGAGTCAAAGGACGAAGAGTGAATGACCTGCGGACGTACCGCAAATATACTATTCAAAAGTTATAACACGTCTATCATTGAATCTAAATTAAAATGAAAAAAAAAATGATACGTGTCTAGATAATGGATTTTGCGTGTTTGTGGCTAAAATGAACTGGTCTGGGATCCTATTTCCACCATGAGTTAGATTAAAAAAGGGTTATTTGTTTGTTTTTAACGTGGTCCGGAATATCTATAACTATAAGTCTTATTTAGGCGAAATAGCGATATAATCCAAAATTCGTCTGCGCTACGAACCACGGTCCACAGATATAAAAGAGTTTCACTGTGGATTTCCAAATGTCCAAATCTAAAATTGGTAAATAAATTCATAAAGACTTTTAATTCGACTTACAGACTACGCGAAATTATATACCGCAAAAAATAACCTACCTCGGTTAAAACAGTTTTTGTTAAAAACGGGTTGTCTAATTGTCTGTAAGGAGAATACAGTTTTTATTTTAATTATACACACTCGAATTTTGTCTAATGAGAGTCAGATAATCAGACACATTTTACAAACCACAGTTGTTGCTAGGCATTCACAATTCTCTCGTTATACGCAACTTATTATGTATGATATTTTTTACTCCAATAATATTCAATTAAGGATTGCTCTTTTCTTTAGTCGTAATAAATATTGATTTAACCGTATTAAACCAAGCATTATTAATGTATAAACGATCCTTTAATCCAGTTGCATGTATGTATACTAGAAAATGTTCTTTGAACGTGAATGTGTCTAAGTCCTTTTCTACCCACTTCCTTTTTTATGTATGATTCATTGCCATGCAAATTTAAGTTCGCAGAAAGAAAAAAAAATACAATAATAGGTAAATAACGTCTATTCAATCATGCAAATTATCTGTATACTTTTATTGAATTTTCAATGCATTGTATTGTAACCATTTCAATGTTAAACATCTATCCTATTGTTTCTTTTCTCTTGATAAACGGTGGCATATTTTTCTTATCTGTAGGTTTACATACATTGCCAATTCAATAACTTACCTACAGTATAAAGTATCATTTAATATTTATTTGTATTTGCTTTACCTAAACTTCATTTAATAATATAAACATGTTACTATTTGGCCCTCCAAAGCTTTAACTGTCATCATATAGATGCAAACTAATTTGTATAAATAATTTGTATAAAATATTTGTATAATATGTTAAATAGTTTGAGATTAGTTTGCATCTATATGATGACAGCTAAAAATTGCTTCAAAGAAATGCGATTGGTACTTATATGATTAAATAAAACACTGTTTACACAAATATATAATAGTTAAGCTTTATTACATTTCTAAATAAGTTTAACTAATTCATTTCGCCTTTTTAATTGTTAAAAGTGTTTAATTTAAATGCTCCAATGAAGTTTAAATATAATATAATATGTAAAATTAATCTGCAAGCAATTTTCATCGAGTTTCAAGAAGAATTATTAAACAATTTGTGTTTTGTCTACGTGCCATTTACACCAAACGCCTGACAAGAAAAAATACTTATCAATGATTCTTACTTAAGCACATTTCTTTTCAGATCCGCGGACAAATAAATTCTGGCTGGTGGCCAATCCAATACCCATCCTCACAATTATGTTCTTATATCATCGGTTTGTTAAAGTATGGGGACCAGCATACATGGCCAATCGAAAACCCTACAACTTAAAATGGCTTATTGTAGCTTATAATGTAGTACAGATTGTTCTCTGCGCGCATATGGCTTTTCAGGTAAGAAACAACAATAACAAATATGCTGTAAGTGCTACTTTGCCGCAACACTCTGATTTTATTATATTTTTATTTTAGCTTCAAAAACCACGAATTCCCCTCTTCCTCTATTTCAACCCCTATCAACCCTTTTTTGGCATTAAAAGTTTGTTCTTTCTCAGGCTCTAAAATATCTGTGTACCAATTTTCATGTCAATCAGTTCAGTAGTTTCGGAGTTAAGGCCGGACAGACAGACAGACTTACTTTCGCATTTATAATATTAGTATAGATTTTATTTTTTATTAACATTCGTAGAGAAGTACTTAATAAGCGCGAAAAAATATTAAAAGAAAGTTATAACCTAAATCTAGAAAGCTAAATGTTTTAAATTGCCACCTTAAACCATATACCTAAGTTTTAACATAAGTGTAGAATTATAAAAAGCTATATACCTATACCTACCAAAAGTAAATAAGTAAAAATAAAATCTTATTAGCAATATTAGCCTTTTCAAGGATTAAACATTACCGCCCTATATTTTAGTAGTGCTGTGTTAGATTATTCTAACATAGTCTTTTGTTTTTCATCTCTATTCGGTTGCCTAAATCGTCATAAGTGATTAAGGCTTTGCCTAAACGTTTTACATAAACATTTCACTTCGTGTAGTAAAGTTCAATATGAAAAAACCGCATGTTATAAAACCAAGGCTGTACAATCCAACGAATATTAATTCATTTAAAGATTTTAATAGTAAGATGTATTAATTAATAATGATTGTTCACCAGTGCATCACATGGTTATATCTCCCGGGATATTACAGTTTGTGGTGTCAGAAAATCAACTATGAGGACAACGAAGTGGAACGACTAATCATCAGCCGAGTGTGGCTTTACTATTTTATTAAAATCATGGATTTACTTGACACTGTAAGTCGTTAGATATTGTATTTATTGTTTTGTGAATATTGTGTTGAATTGTTCAATGTTACAACAAACAAACGCGGAATTAATAATCAAATAAGACGTCAGGCAGACTAACGCCGTAACGCGTTACGTAGCGAAGAAAACCAACCCAAGATTGTTAGCATAGAGCTCACGCAAAATTCCTAGTGTTTAAATAAACATATTCTTACTGTATAATTTTTTACAGGTATTCTTTATCCTACGTAAGAAGTTCTCTCAAGTATCATTCTTGCACGTGTATCATCATCTGGGTATGTGCCTTCTCGGGTACATTGGAACCAAATATGTCCCAGGTTTGTTAAAGTTAAAATCTTTAAGAGTTATTCTTCAGTTTTCAATTATATAACTTATATTTGAGTAACCCTATACCTACTTATCAAAAAGTATAAATAAAAGTCGTATAAACCTCGGGTAATATTTAATGTCGAAAATTATGTTTGTCAGGTGGTCATGGAATTATGCTGGGTTTCATAAACTCGGCGGTACATGCTGTAATGTACACTTACTACCTCATCTCCATAACAAAACCGCAGTGGGTAAAAGGATGGTGGAAGAAATACATTACTCAATTGCAAATCGTAAGTTTATCTAAGGTATCTTATTGTTACAATTATAATGGTTTCTAATGATTTATTTGGTATCGAGTCAAATATATGAATAACACATTTTTAAGAAGTTGTCATACGTCAAATTATTATAAAATGTTTGAAAGATTCCCCAAGGTTAGTGTTTAAATCTAAAAATATTTTTTTTATTTCAGTTGCAGTTCCTTCTTCTGATTCTACATTTCGGACATATCATCTTCGAACCATCCTGTGGTTACCCTAAATGGGTCTCTTTCATGTTTTTACCACACAACGTGTTTATTTTATTCCTCTTTTCTGATTTCTACATAAAGGAATACATATTGAAGAAAAGAAAATAATAAAATTAATATGCTTTAATTTAAGATATTGTCTACTCATAGAATAATAATAAATTTAATTAGTTATTTATTATACTTTTTGTATTATTCCCTTACATCCCGCATTTGTCATTCACAATAATTACAATATGTACTGATACCTAAAAAATATGGCGGACGAAAATTTTTACAGGTGTATTCCCAATTGCAATAAGCAGTAAAATGGATATTACTTCATAATTGATATCGTATAAAGTGGTATGCGTGTAAAAATTATATTCTGCTGTTTGATAGAAATAACTATAAAAACATAATAATGATTGCCTAATTTGCAACACAAAAAGTGTCTCATAAAACCACAGACGCAGAATTATAGTTCGTTAACATAGACTATGTAAAATAGTGTCTATGTCTATGTTATTGATATAAGTCTGTAAATCCAAGATATTCTGTGGGTTCATCTTCAAACAAACGTCAGTTGTCAGATGTGTGATGGGAATTGTATTTCATAATATTATGTTCCATAAGTTTAGCCGTTTATAATTAATTATAAGGTTTTAAGCTTCTAAAGGCTGTTAATTTTTAATTAAACCTTAAAATGATTGGAAATCAATCTGCGTCGAAATCTGGAGACGCCGCTTTGAAAAATATGCCCCTGGTACAAAATGAGAGATCTATGTTTAAGATACCAGAAGTACCCAAAAAGAAACCTGTGAAAAAGGCTCAAATCCTAGACGAAGAAGATTATGTGGAGGTTTGTTAGATAGACTTATATAAAGATATATATTTTTGATTTTTAAACTATTACTAACCATGCATTTTGTAATTTTTCTTTATTCATTTTAGGGTATATCAAAAATTATTCAAAGAGACTTTTTCCCTGATTTGGAGAAATTGAAGGCACAGAATGATTTTTTAGAAGCAACTGAAAGTAAAGACTATGCCCGACTGCGAGAAATTACCAGAAAATACAGTGGAAGGAGACCAGCCACAGAACCATGTAAGGACATTATGAATAGTAATTATAATTATGTTGTAAGTCATGCCATATATATAGTATAATATTTAGAAATACTAACTAGACGTAAAAGAGAATGAAAACTTTGTATTTTATCATGCACTTACAAATAATGGGCTGTATGTTAATTAACTTATTTTAATTAAGAAGAAATATGTTTCAGATGATTCACCTGCAACATTTGACACACCAGGAGTAGATAGACCTCCATCTCCATCTGATGGAGTTTTGGGAACTAGCTCTGTTAAGGAAAAATCCAAAGACTTTACGGATAAGCATTCATTGGGTATATTTTTCTACAAATTAAAACAATTTATATCTTCAAATATACTAAAATACAACAAAACACAAATTACAACTTTATTAAATGTTATTTTTGTTTGGAATATCCGTATAAGTATTTAATCAAGTCTGTTATATTAGAATGATGACTGTTCTTTTAAGAATTTTAATGGATTTATAAATAATTTTCAGATTCATTTCTTGCAAATCATACAAGTGAGGATAATGCGAGCTACGACCGTGTAATTGCTTTGGAATATAAGAAAAGAGCATCAAAATTGGCTTCACAATTTGAGGCAGAGGTGACGTCGGCAGCTATTGCAGATTCTGCTCTTATGTTGCCTTCTATAGAACAGCAGGCTGACCAATTGAACAGACCACATGAGGCATGTAATTACAAATAGTTAATATTGAAGGATCTAGCATCTAAATAATTAAAATTATTGTATATTTGTGACAAACAGAAAGCTGGGTGATCAGTACACATCTGCTAACCATCTGACTCATTTCCCAATTTCTCCTTTCATGAGGACATTGGATCATCCTACCTTCACTGTGTCCCCTTCAATACTACCCCTTTTTTTCCATTCAAATCTTAATACTTGTTCAATCATTAATTCTTTAATGTTTACCTCTGTTATATGGTCTCTTCCAATGTGGGTTTGCCTTAATTTAGATTTTTTTATGTCATATTAACAAGAATCTCATTTGCACATACAATAAAAGTTACCCAGTATCTTAAAATATTAAACATTGAAATAACTCAATTTCAGTTGGATACATGGAAATATCGAGCTAGAAACTATATAATGTACATTCCTGATGGTGCAGAGTCTCAAGCCCCAAGCCCTAAGCCAGTACTTCAGCATCATAACACCAGATTGCAAGTACAGCCATTCGATTATGCTAAGAATAAGGAAGCTATCAGCGCAATAGCTAAATCACAGGTTGGTAAGAAATATGTTAAATATATGTATGTTACAGCTTTTATTAAATTATTTCAATTATTAGTATGCAATATTTTATGGTTAAAGTTCCCACTGTTATAGCTTTGACTCACTCTAAATGAGTATAGGCCTACAGCTTTAAGCTACCCACACAGTCATACCCTCACGTTATTTCATGTCAGGCATGTATTGGAAAATTCAAAAGTCAAACTCCAGACTTCATTGCCGTAGCTTTGTACTATAAATAGTACAGCAATTTTTGCATTGGACTATGCATATCATGCCATTACGTGGAGCAAACCGACAAATATATTTTCTATTATTTATACACATATATATTTTGAAACATACAAAATATTAATAAAAAGCAAAAAAAAATATTTTCCATTCTTGGCCTAGACACGAAAAAGAGTGCTTAATATACACTCTTTTTCGTGTCTAGGTCTAATAAGTAGATTTCCATGTATTACCTTAGTTCCATATTTTTATTGTAATAAATTATGTGGACTTTTACACACACTTTTTATTAATTTTCTTCTTCTTAACATATTACAGGAATCTATAGATAAAGGCAAGATAGGAGTAGATGGGGTTAGCATTTCAGGAGAGAAAGCTCCCACTGCGTACGAGTTGCTTGCGACCCCTTCGCCGAGACCGGGTGCCGGTCCTGACCAATCGCCGCTTATGACCTGGGGAGAGATCGAAGGTACTCCCTTCAGGCTTGACGGAGGGGATACACCACTACCCGCGTGAGTATTTGAAATTACAAAGCAGTACATACTTAAGTTTTAAGTAGTTTTTTTTAAGCTAAGCATTAGGTTAGTGACGCCATTATCATTTTTGTTGAATACTTCGCGTTTTAGATTCCCTTTTTTTATGATAGAGGAGGACAGACAACGGGTTCACTTGATGGTAGGCGAAATACTCCAGCCAGGTAACACTAAAACAAGATGCGCTCTCGATATATTTTGGTTTTGGATATTCGGAAATCCACTTTTTCATCTGCGGACAGAATTTCGATATTCCTACCACCCATTTAATATAGTCTAACTCTAACATGTTTTAGAAAAAATGTAGTCATTTGAATTATGTTGGACCCGGTCGGAATCGAACCGACGACTCGTGGATTACATTGCTACCATTACACCAACGAGACCGTTCTTTGTTGATTGAAATTGTAGGCACTTGGTTTGCTTAATTCTGACATGTCATCGAAACATATTGTACAAGCACACGTGTGTGGCTCTGTAGCACGATCACACACACATATAAATATAAATACCCATGTTATTGGTTAATAAATTACTACAATTATTACAATAAGAACACGCAACATGTAGTTTCCTTAACTACATTATGTAGTACCTTCGCTACATTGGTGACCCCGACGTGATACGACGTCGCTCTTCGGTTTCGAACTGCGAGCACAGACACCTCTGCCCCTGTATCTATTAAAAATTGTGTACCACTGTTTGAGTCGGTAACACATAGACGGCAGTTTGGTGTTGGATTGACGCCGAGACCTGCCACAGTCGGCGTCCTAATTAGTTTTCCGACTGCTTTCCTTTTGGATTTTGAAAGGTACAGTTATGTTTGTCGCTGCACCTGTAGGTCTTTGCACCATATTTTCGGTGTGCCCAACAAATCCCAAGGTCCTGATGGCGTCTTCGATCTCGATCGCGATTGGTTCCTACTGCGAGATCTTCCTCTCGGCTCTCGATTCTTTCTCAGTTCGCTCCAATGAAATTTGCGCCAATTTTTCTTGCAGATCAGCAATTTCGTATGGACGACCTGGTTTGGCGGTGCGATGCTATCATCTTACATTATCTGCGAGTTGGGCTAATTTATCGAGGTCAGTTGCGTCACTGACACTCAGAACTGCACGTACTGATGGCGGCAGAAGTTTGACCCACATTATGCGCAATGTGGTATCAGGCATTTTGTTCCCGGCCAATTCTCGCATTTTTCTCGATACCTGAGATGGCTTTTGGTCACCGAGTTCCATTTCTTCCATAAGCTTTTGAAGCTTACGGGTGTCGGATTCCTCGTAGATGCCAATCAATTGAGCTTTCAGCGTTCCATACTTGTCTTCAGCAGGCGGGTCGACGATAATGTCGCTGACTTGCTGTAGCGCGTCTAGGCCTAGTCGAGCGATCGCGGCTTGATAACGTGCGTCATCACCCTGCTTTTGTGGTGCCATTACCGCTTTAAAGTGCTTGAACCACAATCTAGGATACGCTGGCCAAAAGTCGCATAATCTCACCTGCATCGATAGCGTGTCAATGCAAGCTCCGTCTTGAGGTTTGTGCTGGCATGTTTGCTGGTAGGTGGAACCAAATTCCAGTGCGTTCGGCCTGTTCATTGCCATGGTGTTTCGATGAGAGTGGTGTAACGTCGATTAAGGATCCTACGAGATTGCTTCTTGATATTTCAGTGGTGAGACCCGCTTGTGGGAGGCCACTGAAACGTGCAAATCACAAATATCCTGTTAGATACGATGAACGTTACCTAGTAGACACGAACTGAGTCCTCAGCATGTTGAGCAGAATCGTTAGGCAGAATCACGTTGGCGTTGGGCTGGATCACGTCGGGGTCACCAATGTAGCGAAGGTACTACATAATGCAGTTAAGGAAACTACATGTTGCGTGTTCTTATTGTAATAATTGTAGTAATTTATTAACCAATAACATGGGTATTTATATTTATATGTGTGTGTGATCGTGCTACAGAGCCACACACGTGTGCTTGTACAATATGTTTCGATGACATGTCAGAATTAGGCAAACCAAGTCATCCAACGGGGTCAGGCTGTAGTTACTAAGTGCCTACAAATTCATTGCTTTATAATGTATGTTTATTTATATGTACAGTGTAGGGGCGGGAGCAGCTTACAGGATCCTAGAAGGCGGTGCGCGTGAGCGTATTGCGATGCAACTCGCAGAGCAAGTCGCTAAACGAAGGAGGCCCACCACACCCAGACGAACGCCTACGCCACAGAGGTGAAATACTGACCAATTTTATTCTCAACCGATAGCTATGTTATATTTAAATTGTTGCTCAAAAGGTATTAACCTTATTTCAATATGCGTAATACAATAACTGAGTAGTAGTATAATTTTTTACTTTTTGTAGTTGCAAGATAAACGGATACTGCCGTATTGTTAGATCATTTAAAGAACAATCATTCTTTCATATTATAGCCTAAAGCCTTTCCTCGATAAATTCTCGAACCAAACAAAAATATTTTTTCAATTCGAACCAGTATTTCCCGAAATTTGCGCTTCCAAACGAACAAACTCTTCAGCGTTGTAGTACTACTATAAATTATTATTATTTTTTAAATTCTATACATATTGTATGTAGTTTTTTTGTTTTGCCTCACGTCAATAATATTTAAAGTTGGCATGAAATAACATAATTCATCGAAAGTTTTGGTTAGCTGACCCACGCTTTTATTTGTTCACAATAATTAGTAAAACAGCGCATAAACCTTATTTTCTTAATAATAGTCTTGACTCCAGGGCTAACACTATAAAGTGTAGCATATTTTTTATTTTAACAGACGTATATTATAAATATTAAAATTTACTTCCAGTTTTCGTACGAATACGGAACGTTTGGCGAGCATGTCACCTGCAGCGAGGAAATTGGCGGCAAAACATTTACTGTCGCCCCGATTGAAGCTTACTCCTAATGATATGGGAATATCTCACCCTACCACGAAAACGCCCACACCCCGGCGACCTTTAGTGGCCACGCCCAGTCACGGGACGCCTGTAAATGGCAACACCACTCCGGACGACAACTTAACTGATAATCTGCTTCAAATTAATGTGGCGAAACGAAGTAGATTAAAAGCCAAAGACTTTTTTATTTAGCAAAAAAATTGCTACGCTGCCGATGAGCTTTTTATTTTTATCCCATTACGAATGATAACAAGTTATTCATACACTCGAATTATTTTCACTGTTATTAAGTCATGAGTTCATTTGCATTAAAAATCGATTTTAGATTAAAAATGCCATTAAGCGGGATTCAAACTCAAGACCAACAAATGTTACGTACTGCCATACATTATGTATATTGGAATTTAGTTAAGCACATCGATAATTGTACTGGATAAGTTATGCAAAAATATATACATATATAATTTTGAAATTACTTATTTATTTATTTATACTTTTTACACAACACACGCACACAATTACAATGAACTAAAAATAATAATATCTTTCTTCGTTTTCGAAAAAGATTTCCTATAAGACCTACTATGAGAGCCTTTAAATAATACACAATGATATTATATGTAGTATTGATTATAGTTCAAGCCCGCCTGTGATTTTTTAATTTCAATTATTTTTCAGTTACCCTAAGATTTAAATAAAACAAAATGTCATAACACGTTTCACATTTTATGTGTACCAAAACAATCTATTAGACTATATGTTCTTATTTAGGAATGTCAATATACCTAGCTTAGAAATATACAAAATACATCCTTATATAAATAACAATAATCTCTCAGTCAAACAAATCTATTATTAGAACATTATTCGCGGTTCTTGTCAAAATATAACAATAGTGCAAATGGTGAGTTTTCTAACATTTTTATAGCTCGTTGGATTTTATAGGCGTGGGACGCCTTTGTACAAAAATAACTAACCTGTTTAATAGAAGATGTTCGTGCGACGCTAAGTCCGTGCGCGTTTTATAAATATATAATATTTCCTAAAATGGCAGGTATTTGCTATACCAAGGCTGCTGTTGAGGTTTCTCTTTGTAATACTCCGAATTGGGCTTCACCTCTGCGTTATCTGTCGGGTCCTCCTTGAAGACATGTATGAAGGAAGCGAGGTAACCAAACCTAGGGAACGCCAAGAAAGGAAAGTATTTCATGAAGAATACAGCCGTTTTGAAGTTCCAATTGAAGTACCACCGGCCAATGTACGTTGTGTACAACGCAGATATCACGTAATTTAAGGCTAATTTATATTTTCCCGCTAATACTAGCTTCTTGTATTCGGGTACGGTTTCTATGCTTTCATAATCTTGGAGATATATGAGCCGCGATCTTCGGGGACAATCTTCAAGCAGCGGTTCCGATATTAGATTGTTGACATCCACGCCTAGACAAAAATTACCACACCATCAAAAAAAAAAGACCACAGACCATGAAACAATCCAGTCGATATCGAATTTAGATATCATCTCCATGTATAAATCTGCAATCTCATTCTATTTAGAATTGTTATGAATCACATCATAGCTCTATTTTGTTCGACTATATTTTGTTGTATTCTCTAGGTAATCTTTCATTGTACGTTGCCTATTTTTGTTTTTATATCACTTTATTTTTTGCTCTTTCGTGTATTCGTTATCACCGTTGTCTTAATTGAAATTAATTTACTGGAATCTTTACGAAATCAACGTTGGTATTATAAACGATTTTTTTACTAGTAGAGTTACAAAACTATTAGGTGTTTATTTTTTGTTATCACCAAGTTACAGTAAAAAATATACATTAGATATGACATCGTTTTATCACATAAGTTATATCTATGTTTGAAATATTAACTTCCACATCATTTACGTTTGTTTTTATATTTGAACTGAGTTCAAGGCTAAGTTATAAGAAAAAAATGTGTATAACATTATCCGAATCTGAGACTAATGCCATCTAATACTGAGTATGAAATTTTACCAAGAATATAATTTTAAGTTTTTTGTAGTCTACGCCAAGCTTTTTGCTGTTCCACAAGAGATTTTACAGTACAGATTATCCCATACTACTAATTGAAATTTTAAAAGCTATATTCCCTGTTGCCTTTTTATAGATCTTTATTATTTTTACTTGCTAGTTTTCTTTATCCGTTGAAGTCCAAGTTTTATAGATATAAAATAGTAACATACAATCTATAAACATGTATTACAACGTTAATGAAAACAGTTTGAATGGATTAACGGATAGTACACCCCGTGACCACTGCTCGCGACGTAATTAACATAACTCAAAACATTCGTGAAACTGTAAATGTATTTCGCGTTTTAAACCGTTAAATGTACCCTCCAAAACTACAGATAATACGTATCCTATTTCATATCTTACCGATATTCTCCGGTTGACCCTTCAACAATTTCCTTATTTTGCTCTGCGTGTCTCTCCTCTCTGTTTCGGTGTAAATATAGCCCGGTACATCTAATACATGCTTCGTCCAATAGATCAGCCCCTCGATGTGTACCGTGGGGTTGACACACCACATGGCGTCCAGGAGTATACGAGACATGTGCTCGAAGTATTCAGGTACATTTGTTAGGCACGGTGTGAACACTCGTTCCTTGAGTATTCTACACACTTCGCGCGTCTCTTCGAAATTTTCTCGGCAAATGTTGTATCTGTTGAGTTTTCGATATTATTAATATCTATATTTTCATGTATATACAAACTATTTTCAGTTTTGTACATCAAAATATATACTAAACCGAAGTAATAAGAAAATAAACTGAACACGCGCAACGTAGTTTCAACCTTGACGCTTGCGTATTAAGTTTTTTTTTTTCAATCTAAAATCGATTTTTAATTTATATAATGCCATCATGTGCAATAACATGTGGAAAAAAATTAGTTAAAATATAGTTTCTATATAAAAAGCACTCACTTATCTTCTAACCCTATAGCGTGGCCTATAGTCCTCCAGAAGTGGTTATATGCCTCCCAATCACCAGCCTGTAGTTGCCGTATTCCGAACTTGTCGGGCTTTATTAGCGCCAAGCCGATAAATCCGAATTGTGTTATTGCTAAATCTCGCTGAGACACGATTCCTTGGCCTTTTAACTTGGCACTTAGACTGGCTTTCACGTGTCGAATTCTTACTGCATTCAAGGATCTCCATGAACTAGAAAGTATAAAAAGACGTTACAGAATATGAAAACCACCGACGAATAATGACTCAGATTAATATAGATATCAACATATTAACAATCGGTCGATCACCTAATCAATTTCACTATACCCAAAGAACATTGCGTATACTTTGGGTAATCGTCCACTAAAAAAAGCCAAATAAAAATATTTCTAGTCACTATTTAACTTGGATGGATTTAGCTTGGATGGTATGTGGACGGAAGATTAGTCACTTCAAATTTAACTAAGTTTATTACTCTTCCTCATTTTATGTTAAATAATTAATTAATTAAGTAAATTTTTGCAGTTATTAAGCAAATATTTAATTTAATTTACAAATGGTTTGAGTTTCAGTTAATTTACGAATATCCAAAACCAAAATAAGTCGACAGCGCATCGTGCTTAGATGCTATAGGTTGGGTTTATCACCTAACATTATTTAAAAAAATTACAGAAGGCCTGTTACGTATCAGTTGCTCGTTTTCGTTAAAAAAGCGCCCATACGCGATATTTATAAAATTTCAAGTAGTTCTTCCTTTTTTTTAATTTAACATATATTTTACTATAGTTTACGCGAGTAGTACACATTTAAATAAAACATTTTAACGGTATAAAACGTGATATATTTGTTAAACTTATTTGAAAATGATTTAGATGGAAATGATTGTCTCCCCGTGACCACGGCTGCTGCAAAGCATCCGAAACGTCGGGCCGAAGTTAAAAATCATTTTCTAATAAGTTTTATAGTGTTTTATTTAAATATATTTTACTAATCAAAAGTGAAATATCTAAGTTACTCACGTGCTGCCCGGTTTCAAATCGTGCTCAAACCAAGATACTGTGTGAAGTACTGTAGACACGTAGCGTTTGTATGACGTGTACACAGAGTTGGATCTTCTCGTACTGATTAGGACTTTGAGGATTGATGGAACAGCGAAGACCGCGACGAGGCCCAGCAGCATAGAAAAACTGAACTGAAAGCAATTGTCCCAATAGAAGCGGCGTGCTCTAGAACAAAATTTGTAGAATGTAACTTCGTAAATTGTCCATACGTAATGCCTCCATGACTCGATGGTTAAACCAGCATTGCGTAAAGCAAGAAAGATTTAAATCCAGAACTCTTAGTTTAAACATTATTTTACCGTCTATTCGACTATGAAAAAATCCAATTCAAGACAAGGTAGCGTAATTGATAGAGCAACAGCTCGGAGTATAGGAGGATAGTAAAACAATTAAAACCGTTTAATTTAAATAGGAACCACTCGTGATAGTTACAGAAAACACTTAACTATTAAAATATGAAGAATTTAAAATATGCACAGTATTGTCATACAATAATGCGATAATTTTAGGTGCATCGCATGTTTTTCATAAACGTTTCGTTTTATTTCATGCCATGCCTTATACTTACGAAAACATTGTTATACTCTTCATATTTTAATAGTTAAGTGTTTTCTGTAACTATCACGAGTGATTCCTATTTAAATTAAACGGTTTTAACTGTTTTACTATCCTCCTTTATGTTTTATGACAATTGGCTATAAGAATATCTATCAACTCACTTATTGTTGAAATAAGTAAATGTTGAATAGTTTTGTTTTACTTTTTAATTAGGGTGTGTAAAATAATAGTGAATTATAGGACATTTAATATCTATACGCACATTATATTATCATTCTAATTAATTAATTATAGCTTTATAATTACGCATAGATTACGCTATTAAAGAACAAACAAGTAGTTTGTGCCAATAACAAGTAATAAACGTATACTTAACAATTATTAGGTTAACTGTATAATGAATGTTCTATAAAAGGCATTTAATAACTAAACTTACTGGTTAAACTTTGTCTCATCGTACCATTCTGGTAGAGTTATTTCTAAGTCCTCGGGCTTCTTCGTATCCGAAGGCTGTTGCGCTGCCTCTTTTGAAAAGAGGCCATCTATGTATTCGTCCACTGAAAAAAAATATACGTACGTAATTATTGTCATCGTATTATATTGAACACAATAATATATTACATAATATTTGTTATTATAAAGCTATCTTGGGTTCGATTCTCCAGGAAAACATTCCCGAAAACCGCTATTAAGATAATAATAAACATTTTTGGGCAAAAGTCGATTTGTCTATATCTTATAGTGTAATTAGCATTAATGGGTACAAAAAATTTTTGATGATAAAAGTAATTCTTGATTAAATATTATAACAGTACTAATTTTTATTTTCTAACATAAATATTGGCTTGTGTTTTATTTTTATTGCGATACAAACAGAAAAATGCGGTTCTATTTTAAAAATATTCTTATCATTCGTATCCACATACATATCTGCCACCCATTCTAATATTATTAAACACATGTAAACTTAGAACTTCATTAGAATTATGGCACCTATTAGTATTAGTCATAGTATAACAATAATAGGAAACCATTAGACAAATACTACGAAGGACTGTCCACTGCCCTATAAAAACATATAATATGCTATTCAGTATGTACAATCAGACCCACAATTTCTTTTAGCTATAAAATAATGTATACTCGATCAAAGACACCAACACGAACAGAAGAATGATGAACCGTTAAACTTTCTACATACCGAGGTTCACGTCCCATTTTGTTAAAGCAACAGAATATTGCGCCTATCTTTTATAGTCTGAGAATAAAAGGCGGGTAAAAAAATGGCGTAACGTACCTGTCAAATCCATTGTTGTGCACTATAGAACACGTCGTTGTTTACAATTTTTATATACAAAATAATCTGCGATACGATAGATAAAATTATAAGCGACTAGTGCGCGCGATATACTACTAAAAACAGCCGGTCGCGGCCACCCGTTGACCATAATCTTGTACCAAGTTACGCAATACGTTTCGTCTTTGGTATTCGCACTGTTTGTTATTCATTGCGGCGCGGCTCGTATGGAGTGACATATAGATCAAATGAAGTATACAGCTAGCGTAATATGTATGTTTATTTCATTTTGCCGTACTATATAGTACGGCAAAAAGAGTTCAGAAAAACTTCTCTTGGTACTTCAGAATAACAGATTAACTATAATAGATTTGCGGATGGGTGTCTCAGTATTACGGATTGGATCTGGAAGGATCCAGAAAGGTTTATTATTACATAATTATTTTATTTACTGTCTTTGTTTATATATTAACCAGTTGTAATACGAGCGGCAGTTTCCATATAATATCGTGTATTATATTCGTATGGAAACTGCCAACGACCCTGGTAGTGAACGCAGACGAGACTTATACAACATTCATTTTCAAGAGTTCCGTACCCAATCTATAAAGTACCCAACGAATTTTATCTAAAAGTCAGCTTAATCTGTCACCAGGCTATATTTTTGGAATAATAATACCTAGAGAGTTAAATATTTCTCAAAAATGAACCGTTGTTGCCGCTATATAAAATAATAAAAACCTTGGATTCTCCAAAATTTGTTCAAAGTATGTCTTTTATACATAATATTATGTTGTGCTTGTAATTCTATAAACCCTTTTATAACTGAAATAACGGAATAATGACATGTAGACATTAGGAAATGACAAAAAAATGCTTACAATATAAAATTAGCGTACCTACTTAGCCAGTGGTACGGAACCCTCCACGAGGGAATCCGACTCGCACGTTGTCGGTTTCGCTTTAATACAAGCCGAGGTTATTGAACTTAAAAGATTTGTAGTAACTGCGCAGAACTGTTCTGCCAAAACATAACTAACTGTATGTTTTCGCCAGTATTCAATAAGCTGGCGTATTAGTGAATACACCTATAGCTGTGCCAGCGACTTTATCCGCGTAGAACAGTTATTTTGGGCATCAACATAATTTGTTTTTGCAAACTTTCCCCTCAATTTTGTAAGTGATAAGCTGTCACCCACGATGTCTGTCAGGTCCAGTCATTCTTGCAAGATTTAAAAAAAATTTAAGATCATTTAAAGAGGAATCATTCTTTTTTTACATATTTTTAGGGTACCTTGAACCCTTAATTGTTGAACATCGCACGCAACTAAAACCATCAAAGAGAATACTTTTCCCACCTGTCTCACTCCTCGATAAATGCTTTAACCAACACGAAAAGATTTTTTTTATTCGAACTAGTAATTCCTGACAATAGCGCGATAAAAAAAAAACAAACTCTTCAACTTTATACTATTAAGAACTTTATATAGTAAAGATGATACAAATTACGTGGATCCTCTTCAGTATCATTCACCTTATCTTCATCTTCGGATTAAAAGCTTTTTATCCTTTAAGGAAAATTTTAATTGAAGTATAATTATAGGTAGTATAGTAAAAAAATTATAACACGTGAATCAATCGATAATATTATTCAAAACGTGAATAAATGCGTATTAACATTTCTCTTTATTACCTCATAAAAAAGTAAAACAATAGACGCTAGTTGTGAATAATGTTTATCATACAATTAGATACACTTAAGATCAGGCATTAACTTTAATAGAGAGATCGCAAACATTTATCGTCCTTTTTAAATATCTACTAAAATAGTTTTATAGTCTAAAATAAAAATAAGCGTTATTGTGAACAGACATTGTCATATGTGATGTTATATTCATGGAAGTTTGTAAAAAGATGGTTTGCTTTTCCCGCCAAAATCTACACAAACTGATTTCGATGATATCAGAACATTTGGAATAATCTCTATATAAATTAAAAATGAGCTACTGAGACCGATGTCGGTTCATGTCCTATCTGAATCGTAATTTTTTTTTTATATTTGTTTTTCATTTTTAATTTATATGGCATCTCTAAATTAGAAATATTTGTTCCTCAGTTTCAAGGCACTTCATGAATGTGAACATAACATGTTTTAGAATTTGTTGTATTTATTTTATCTAGATGGACAATAATTCTGTAACTTGGAAATAATATATTGTGTAACCTCTGTTTAATAAATAAAATAATCTCACTTTGCACTTATTCAAAATATCCCCAAGACACACAGCTTAAAAGCTCCCTGTACCAAGGTATCGGCATTCGCTTATAATACTCCGAATTAGTTTTTGGTACATAATCATCCGCCGGGGTTTCCTTAAATAAACTAATGTAAGCATCCTTTACACCATATCTCCACATGGCAACATATGGCAAGTACTCTCCGATGAAAATGTAGCAAGCGAAGTGTAGATTTAGGAGTAACCGACCAATATAGGTATTATAGACAGCCAGCAATACTTCTAAAAGAGATAATTTAAACTTTGCACCGAATGGAAGGCGCTTGTATTGGGGCGAATCTTCAATAGTGTCATAATCTCGGAGATAGAGAACTGTCGGTTTAGTCTGTGGTGAAAAATCTATGGGGCACTTTTCCAGTAACTTCGACGAGTCTATACCTGAAATTGTAGTTTAATAAAAGTAATCAGAGCATTAATTTGTATTTAAATATCATTAATAGATAGATGCAAAGGTTCATACGAGAAGAAGTTTGTTACTCCGGCTCGCACAACTATTAAACAATATTAATAAAATCCAACAATAGCTTAAGCCAAATCAACGTTGGCGTTTCCCTATTAAATCTATGGCAAAAGCTAGTATTTTATATCGGAAAAATAAGCAGTTAAGGACTTGTTTATCTTTAGAATTTGAGAATAATCCAACCTTAACTTTATACAAACACGTCACTTAGTGTTTACAAAAAAATATTTCGTTCTTACAATATACAATTAAATGAAATAAGGACATTTTTTGCTTCCTCATTTACTTTTGTAATTTTCCACTATAACTGTATTACTAAAATTACATTGTACATTTTTTTGTTCTCGAGTTCATTTTTACAATGCTTTGCGTGTAAACATTTATTGTACTTGAATTTATAATATTTTAGTAAGTTTTAAAAACCTTATAATAAACTAAACTAAAAATTAGTATTAATGTAATGGTGGACTTAAATAAAATTTTTAGTTAGTTTTTTTTGTAGATTGTAAAAACTACGTACAAGGTATAATAAATAGTTGTAAATATGAGTTTAAAAATATTATGACGTAACGTAATAATTCGATTTAGATACATTTGGACAAAGTTGGTTTCAAAGCTAGCGAATACATATTGTGTTTGTATAACAATGCCGTACTTTGAGTAATAAAAAAATTACCTGTTTCAATGGAATTTCCATTAAGATGCGTCTTTAGTTTCGTTTGTAATTCTATTCTGTCCTTTTCAGTGTAAATATACCCAGGTACATCGGCGAGGTATTTGGTGAAGAAAACTAAAGAATCGTGCTCTACGGCAGGGTGGATCGCGCTCATTCCCACTGTCATCACGTGGGCCGCGTGTTCAAAATATTCCGGTGAATTGTTGAGACATGGCGTGTATATTCTGTCTTGGAGTATACGGCATATTTGTCTGGTGTCATCCAAATTCTTTCGACATATATTGTACCTTAGATGTAAACAATCAGTTAACATTCTGCCCCTTATGTTAACCATGCAAGGTTCTGCTTTTCAATATAGAAGAAACAATAACACATGAAATCGGCACAGAAGTCAGATCAACCTAATTTTATTTTCAGACAAGTAGGATAGTTATTTTATATATGCTGGGAAATAATATTAAATGACTTTTTAGATCAACGTCGGTAATAATTTATAAACATTTTCATGTGAACAATAATAATTCTGCAACAAATGTTTTAAAATACCTTCTAGGTAATAATTTACACATAAAGGTAAACGCTCTTTTCAAGCAACAAACAGACAGTATAAAACAATGTTAATTATGAATAATAAAAATTATATTTTTATTTTATATGAAATACTTCAAAAGACAATTCATAGATTTTCGATGCAGATTCTTTTATTTGAAACACTATGGTGAGCTCTACCTGTCTTCTAAGCCCAGCATGTACCCGATCACACCCCAAAAATGGTTGAAAGCCTCCCAATCCCCTGACTGCAACTGCCTTATACCAAGTTTCTGAGGCTTGAGGATCATAAAGCCGATAAAACCAAATATGGTGAAGGCTACATCGCGCTGAGAAACTGTTCCATGGCCTTTTAGTTTGCAAGCACGATCTGCCATAATGTGACGAGCTCGGACTTCGTGGAGGGAACGCCATGATCTAAAAATTAATACAAAATTTAAGTCAATAACCGTCAATTGCGAGGTTCAAATCCAAAAAATACCTTATTTTTAATAGTCACTCGTCATAATTTTTTCTTTTTAAATATGATGGACGGGCTACCATACATTAATACAACCGGACCGGTTGTATTATTGGTAGCCAAATCAATGTATGGGTGGTGAACGGGTCGTGGGTTTGATCTCTACGGCGTTTTTCTAATCAATTTATAATTCTTATGAAACATCTTGGACTTTGTCTAGAAATCTGGATATTAAAGGTAGGTGGTAGGAATTTAAAAATCCCGTCCGGGTCACGAACGGTCCGGGACGGTCTTCAGATGAAAAAGCCGCCAAGATTTACCGCGTTTCATTTTTTTTATCATTTTTTATCTTATTAATAATTCAAAGAATTTTTGAATATTCAAAGCCCGATTAGGTAGCAACGCATCTTATTTAGATGTTATATGGCTTGAGTATTTCATCTACCATGAAGTAATCCCCACGCTTATGTGTCCTTTTCTGTTATATTTTTTTATACCTATATAGATATTTCTTTACTGAGGTACAAGATAAATATCTTATGTAAAAACTTTTAAGGTTTAATTATCAGGAATCAACGTATAGAGTCTCATAACAAATGCAATGCAAAAATCACAATTTTTATTCAGATATTTAAAAATTTGACTCGACTCTAGTGTCCTATATAAATAGGTATTAGATTACATTATTTAAAAAACTACCGAACTACGAACAAGTAGGAATATTGTTTCAGCATAGATGTATTTGAATTGATTAAGATAAGGGAAATGAACAATTATTATTGCTTACATTATCAAAATTACTTTAGCAAAATTTATCACATTTTGTATCGGCTCAAGAGATACTTATCATTTATAGATTTGTCATGTTCAGGTTTATAATTGATTATAGCGCCTACGCTTAACGAATTCGACGAATTATTCTCGAAGTGTCAAATATTAGAATTTTTTATCGTGGACTTTCCAACCGCCCGCTACCTGTAGTCTGTAGTATGCAATGTAATCCACAGATCGACTGCAGCTTATAAATGGAATACCTTTCCCTTGAGATCACAGTTCAATACTCACAAGCTCCCAGGCTTCAGCTCGTTTCCTAGCCAGCTCTGAATGTGTAAAAACGTAGACCAATACCTCTTGAAGGCGGTAAACGATGAGTTAGAGCGCCTGGTGCTGACCAAAACCTTCAGAATAGTGGGAATGGCCATCACAGCTATCAAGCCCAGCATCATTGCGATAGACTGCATATAGAAAAAGTCACGCTGGAATCGCCTTCCTCTAAAATTTCACCATCATGAATGTCATTGAAACTGACGTACTTGTACTTGATAATATGACTTTCAAAAATCACTACAACTATTTACATCTTTCTTAACTGTTGTCAGATATAAAGTGAAATCACGTTTCTCTTTGTGGGACATAAGGTTAACACAATACGTCCATTTCCGGCTAATACTTGAACAGACTTCTGTACCCTCCTCGACCAAAACAATATTTTGCTTGCCCAGAATTCGAATCCAGGAGCAATTTATATTCATAAATGATATGAATAATTACTTACTGATCGAATTTCTTTTTATCGTACCATTCTGGCAGTCTCAATTCCAAATCTTCCAGCTTAATCTTATCAGAGGGTTTTTTATATGCCTCATTGTTAAACAGACCTTTGATCACCTCATCAACTGGAACAAAACAAGTTGTTTTTACAAAGTATTGAAAAACTTGGACTACATTACTGCTTTGAACCACTAATAGAATTACATAGGCGTTTGTTGTAAACTAAATGATAATCGAAGCTCAGCTGTACAATAACGGATTTTCCAGGGTTAGTTGAGTATAAAGCCTTGTTATTTTTTCATGAAACACAGAAATTTGAAAATCCCATATCTATGAGGAACATGACCCCTTCTGTAGCTCAATGATTAAATGCCATTACATTTAACACGATGGATGTTGGATTTGAATGCCAGAGAAACAACTATATGCAAGTTAATATTATCGTAGTAATTAAAAGACTTCTTGATTCCGCACATGATAACAAAAATAACAAACACTTAAAAAGATAATGCATATAACAAATAAGTGGGAATTTCGATAATCCTCGATGTAATAGTGATAAATGCTTGTTTCTATCTAGGTACGCAAAAATCATTCTAGATATTTCGTCTACAACGGTACTAGCATGACAGAAACTAAGATATTTAATATATTTATTAACAATACAAAATATACAAGGTTAATTCTATTTCATGCGAAACCTGAAAGTAGTTTGTTCAGAATCAGTAGCAGAATCCATTCCAATAGTTTTTCTATCACGTTATATATCTTTTTCAAAATTATATGAAATTGATTGCCCATCCCACGGGCGTGTCGTCGTTTCCCGGTGTTTTTTTAAGTGTGTTAATTAGAAACATGTCTTACAATTATACCAATGTACAATATGTGGAAATGGTGCGAACACTTGCTTTGTGTGGTGATAATGTTGCCGAAGCAGTGAGACGTTATCATAAACAATTTGGCATCTTGGTATCATGGAACACAATGCGTTCGCAGCGCTTACGAGACCATGGCCAGTTCAGACCAGTCGCAGAAGACAGAGGCGAGGAGATAATTCAACGTAAGTCTTACGTGTGGTGGACTTTAAGGAATGACCACAATTTATCATTTTAGACGAGCACAAGAGCTGCTCGAAAATGATAAAGCTCAAAGATTCGATAAATTAGTGTAAATAATGGTGATTAAAATTTTCTCTTTGTCTCAATAATTAACGCTAGACTTACATGCCGTTTAACCATTCTTACAATCCAAAGCCTGTAAGTGTGATGGAAAATGTTATTGCCAAAAGTTCTGAATACATTCTGTGAGCGGACAATAAGTACATAAAAGTACTGAATCGTGTCGTGTAAGGTGCAGGACGCGAAGCGGAGGAGAGGGAGGGGGTGCGAGATAGCGCGCTGCGTCGACGCTTGCTCAGTGACCATGTGGTTGCGGGATAAACAATAACATGAAAAAAATTCATAACTTCGTGAGTTTTCATTATTTTTTAATTTTGATTTTCCCGATTCTGCGAATGAAAAGACGTTTGGCGTGTTTCAGCTTTAGTATCAATAAAGAATAACCTTGTATATTTAAGCTTTATGTATTTTTAATAATAAGTTAATCGATAATAAATACTGTAGTCTACGTAATTTGTACTCATTTTAATAAAATACTTTTAACGGTTTAAAACCTGACCACGGCTGCTACAAAGTATCCGAAACGTAGTTAAAAATAACTGGTACAGTTTAACTAATACCGTTAAAAGTGTTTTACTTCATTATTTTTATGTTACTTTAACGCCGCACTTGTGAAAATTCGACTACCTATCGTAAGTCGATACCGCAGCTTTCCCTCCAAGTAGAGAAAAAATATTATTGTCGAGCAGTTTCAATTGCATTAACATAGATGCAAAATAAAAAATGTTATATTTTCTCCCATAACAAAATCTAACAGACGTTTGCTCTACTTTTTTCGCTCTTATAAAAAAGGTAGTTTTCCTGCTTCGTCCTTTTGTCAAAGAAACAATGGTAATCGGAAAGCCTTAATCGACGATTTTTAAAGCATTTTAAAAACAATCGCTTCATATTCCAACAGCTACGTAGTTTAAGCGGTAATGGTTAGATTTTTACAAGAAATTGTAGAGATGAGTTTGTTTTTATTCGTGTTATTATATTTTCAACCGAGTCGTTGTGACTGGGTGAGTTAAATTATTCATCGAAATTATTACTATTTTTAACTTAACTTGCTAAGATATGTTGAACGAAATAATTATTAAACAATTATATATACATACTTTAAATTATTAAACCTTCTGCGTAAATAACAATTAAAAAGCCGTTAACTTGAACAAAAAGGATAATAACGTTAATTACGCAAGTATAATTAATTTTCAGGCTTCAGAATGGCTTATGCCTCTACAGTTTCAATAGTAAGTTTTTCCTTGTTTCCTTAAAACAATTTAATCTAAGAAATATTTTAAAACTTATTTCACAATTGTACTTTTATTGTTACTATATATTTTTATTATAAGTAATAATTATTTGAGAACTTTATTAATTTTACATGTTATTGCACATGAATACACTATATAAATTAAAAATCGATTGTTAATTGGAAAAAATTACGACTTGAGCTACCGAGTCCTTAAAATGAAATATTAAAAGATATGTTTCGTTTAAAATGCGATATGTATATATTAACAATACACGAAAGGATGGGGAAACCTGGCTGCTGTGAATCATGTGACATTTTAGGTCAAAGTTCTAAATAAGTTTCCTTATTAAAAATTTCGCGTACACTACACGAATGTGTGAACTGTGAAATTTTCAATAAAACGCCTACTAGGAATTACGTTTACGATACATTTATTTTACAGCAAGCAAGACCAATTACAGAATGGAAACCCAGAACCAATAATGACTGAGGCCTCAAAAACGCCACCAGAGAAAGAAGATAATAGCTTTCCATCTACCTCTAATGATTTTTCAGTTAATGCAATACGAGTAAAGCTTGAATCAACGATCCAGAGTGCTAAGGATTTAGCTGATACCCTGAAGACACAAATTCGTGAAATGGAAAATAAGGAGCGTTATTTGAAGGAGACTATTGTGTTTGGAAAGTAAGTATCAAAACTGTACAAGTACAGTGCTCTAGAAACTTTATGGTCGGACTGAAGTAAGCGCGGATGGTTGCGCAGAACGCAAAAAGCAGATATCGGCTGCGACAAAGAGGGTGCGCGGGTGCAGGGCGACTCGACATTTTGCTTAAAATTGACGGTACCATGTATAATTTTACACATATTGTAAGTAACAAACACTACGTTTAAAAATCGAATTTATGTGCGAGTCAAGAGCCACACAGATAAAAAAAGCCACGAGGCGAGAGGCCTTACAGTGGATCTTGTCGTCTGTGGATTTCTGAATATACAAAAGTGAAATAAGTCGACTGCGCAGCTCCGAAGATATAAGTTAGAGTCCATTAACTAGTCCTACGTCATAAAAATTAGTCCTTTCTCATCAGATTTTATCATATGAATTCACCATAATGAGGTCTGAAGTACGATCGCCAGTCACAAACCTAAATAGTTAAAAACGCGTATATGCTGAAACGTTAAAGAGCAGAAAACATCTGAACCCGGCATCTCTTGGAGCCAAAAATAAGACATGAGTGACGAGCGCGGCACGTTATTTTTACATTTTATTCCCTAACTCGTAAACATTGTGAATATATCTAAATATATAAAATGCCTATCGTTACTTTATGTAAAACGGTTACAAATTGCACCATAATTATTCAATTATGTATCTCATTGTATACTTGATATAATAACCGTACATCTAAGGGGTCAATTTAAGTTGTGTTGGATCCTCCGTGTTGCGTGTTAAACGCAAGTCATGAATCTAAACAAAAAATCATCAATAAATAAAACACTATTAACGGTTTAAAACGCGATATATATTAGTTAAAATTATTTGAAAATTCAACTTCGGCCCGACGTTTCACGGAGACAAAAGATGGAGGATGTCTCTGACGTCGAAGTAAAAATTTCTACGCTAGCGCCATGTGTTCCGTCGAAGTTGGTATTTGGCGAAACTTAAAAATAAATTTTAAATAAGTTTAACTAATATATATCGCGTTTTAAACAGTTAGAGTGTTTTATTTAAATTAGTATTTATCTACTGAAAATAAATTATGTACCTATTGTCGAGTTAAGATTTCAAATTTATATTTGTATAGCCAGTACAAAAATACTTTATTATATTTAAATAAAACACTTTAACGGTTTAAAACGCGATATATTTTAGTTAAAAAACGTCGGGCCGTAGTTAAAAATAATTGTCAAACAAGTTTCACTAAAATATATCGCGTGTTAAACCGTTAAAGTGTTTTATTTAAATGTGTATTACTCGCGTAAACTACAGGCGTAGCAATAGACAGCGTCTAGTTTTAGGTGTTGCATACGTAACCGGTATTTTGTTATTATTTCCTTTGTGCTATTTAGCGCTAACGTCATTACATTTCCATTGATACAATTGGGCATAGTGAGTGACGCTTTTTTTTAATACGTAAATAAAAATATCTTATCTGCTTTATTATTTAAGAGAATGAAATCGGCGTCTTTGTGATAGTTATACGTACGTAGATTCGTGAAAAAAATTGTTTAACGTGCGTCTAATATATTTATTATAATTAAATTGTGACGCGATTAAGTCTCTACGAATTTAGTAGCTACATATAAAAATCTCGTCCCAAATAATCAACGTCAAGAATTTGCGCAATATTTCATTCAAATTTATCACGTAATATGTTAAAAAAGACATCACAGTTCGTGATAAGGAGTACCATCGCAAGAGCCCTCTAGTATTATTACACACCTAAGCTATGTAGTTTGACCATGAATCCAAAAACGACTTGAATGTGTATCCTATATAGATACGGATACACATTCAAGTTTGAGGCAGCAATATAGAGGCCTTAAACTTGAACGGAGTTTATCAATTTTTTTAGGAACGGAGTAACAACGCTCGTTTCATCAACGACAAATAGGTCACCCCGAACTTTTATTATCCGGGATGGGTTTTGGTCTATCTGCAGCGGAATGGTACAAAGCCCTATTGCGTCACAATCTTCAAAGAACTTTGTAAATAAAATTTTTTCCACACCACGATGTATTGGACAAGAGGTAATGTAAATTTATACTAATATATAAAGCTAAAGAGTTTGTTTGTTTGTATGTTTGAACGCTCTAATCTCAGGAACTAGGGGTTCGAGTTGAATTCTCTTTGTTAGAGCATTTATCGAGGAAGGCTATATAGGCTATAAAGTATCGCCATCTGACTAATCCAAGCGAAGATACAGCTAGAAATGTGAAAAAAAAATGGAAAAATTATTCATTTTTATGGGTTTCCGATGCAAAAACGGTTTAAGATACCCAAAAAATATATATTAAAAAATGATTCCCTTTTAAATGATCGAAAAAAAAGTTCGCGACACGATATGCCTGTCTATCTTTTAAGATTGTCTTGCCACCAGGAAAGGAAGGGACGCAACCGACGTCGTGGGTTACAGCTTAAGTTTATAGAGATAGAAAGGTGTTTGCAAAAACTAATTTGAATGCCCAAAGGAACGATTCTCGCGGACGAAATCTCTGACACAGCTAGTAAGTTATAAAAGGAAGAACATTTTATAAGATAACTAGCTGTTCCAGCGACTTCGTCCGCGAGAATCGTTATTTTGGGCATTCAAATTAGTTTTTGCAAACCCCGTCATCTTTATGAACTTAAACTGTTAGCCACGACGTCGAACGCGTCCCTTCCCATCGTTCTTGCAAGTAAATCTTAAAAGATAGACATATAGCGTCGCGGACTTTTTTTTAGGTCATTTAAAGAGGAATCATTCTTTCATACAAATTTTAGGTATCTTGAATCGTTTTCGCAGCATACGCATCTAAAACCCACAGAGATGAAAAATTTCCCCCGTTTTGTTCACATTTCCCGTTGTATCTTCGCTCTTATTAGTCACAACGCGATGTTTTATAGCCTATAACCTTCCTCGATAAATGCTCTAACCAACACAAAAATAATTCAAATTTCAAATCAAACTCGTAGCGCGTTCAAACAAACAAACACTTCAGCTTTATATATTAGTATAGATTAAATATTCAGTATCACATTCTAAGACGTGTATTGTAACATGCAATAAACGAGAAGCTATTTATAACTCTAAATTTATAAACAACCTTCATTATGTAAAGTTCAAATTCAACATTTTTGCGACTCACTTTATTTTGGGATATCTAAATTGTTATTTAGTTTTTGCTACACCGTTTTTTTTGTTTGTCATTATGTTAAATACTGTCTATAGTTTACGCGAGTAGTACACATTTAAATAAAACACTTTAACGGTTTAAAACGCGATATATTAGTTAAACTTATTTAAAAATGATTTTTAACTTCGGCCCGACGTTTCGGATGCTTTGCAGCAGCCGTCTCCCCGTGACCACGGATGCTGCAAAGCATCCGAAACGTCGGGCCGAAGTTAAAAATCATTTTTAAATAAGTTTAACTAATATATCGCGTTTTAAACCGTTAAAGTGTTTTATTTTAATTGTCATTATGTTTTTTATTTTTGCAAATATTTTCGCATCATTTGAAGGTTCTTATCTTTAATCAAAAAAGCCTTACTTATATAAGATGGGTTTATACCATATTGCTGCTAATGTAAAAAAAAAAATTATATATATATATACATGAGATATCAGAATGCATTGAAACTGCGAACTAAGAATAAGTGAATTTCCATTTACCCCTATGGATCATTTGTGTCACCGTTTGTCTGACCCATACAGACAAGTCATTGATTTAAATTTGTGCCCTGATAAGATGGGGCCATCATGGAAAGTTATGTTTGAACTGTTCGGAATCATTTCTCAATTAGGACGGCCGAACACGACGCAAAATCCTGGTAGCTTATAAATTATATGAATAAACATTTCAGATTCCAACCGTAAGAGACCCTTGCGTTTTCAATTCCATTATAAAGTATGAAGTCATACCAACGATCAGACGACCGACGTATCAAGAAGATGACTACTTGTGTCTCAAGCCCAACTTTAACAATACCTTGGAACAATATGTATCAGTTTCAAAACAAACTCTTAACGATACCTGTAAAAGGGGTACGCAGTTTTCTTTTCTTTTTCCTTAAAAATAATTAAAAGTTGTCTAACACGAAAACCTATTATAATTTTCGAGCTCCGAACGTGGGATATGTCAAGCATCGATGCCTAGTGGCAGCCCAGTCTTGTATAGAACTATTCTCAAATAAAGTGCGGAAATTATTTACGCGCTTGACTATTTTGTTTCACTAAACAGCTTTCTATGTGCAAGTCCCTTTGGTCGTCAAGAGCTACTACTCTTCATTATTACATTTTTAAATTACACGACATGTATGTTTTTACATGGTAATTTATTTGGCCGCGAGAGATATGGAATTTCATTCAAATTTTGCCGGCGGTCGCTCGACCAGTACAGCCAGTTCGATTTATCTCTAAGGAGGTTGTCCAAATAATGGTCAAATCGTCAAAACCAGGCATGTTTCAGAAAAGTAACTTTCTATGTTCATCAACTTAATCATTATTGACACAAAATTTAATTTATTTGTATGGTGTTACAGGTACTGTAAAACGTTTATCCGATAATATCTTAAAGTGCGGACTTCGAATTTTATCTGAGTACACTTATTATCCAAATCAAAACGCATTAAGTTCAGAACTTCAGGAATATTGCGACGAAAAGGATGGAGCCTGCAAGTTGATCGTGGCGTGGCATTTGTCCAATTCTTCCATAGAAAACTTCGATATGTTAACAGATGATAGACGATTTAAGATGACTTTCCTAAAAGCGGGGCCATCGCAGGAATCATTGTTAATACAATGAGTATACGAAAATTCCTTGATTATTGTTATATTTAATTAAATTTAAAAAAATACTACTTTTCGGATTATTGTATATTCATTATTGACACTTCAACACCCTTAGATTATTAGCTTTGTCCGTTTCTGTTTGTTGTTATTGCTTTATTAGTTTGACAATGTGTGAAAATTAATATGACGTTATTCTACTACGACCACTACACATAAAATATAAGCCTTTAAACATCCCTCTTCACCTTGTCTGCCGACAAGCACGCACAGCAGAATGTCGTAGTTTAATTTTTACAAAATTAAATAAAAATCCTGTTAAATCCACTTTAAAGAACTTTTATTTTTTCTATTATCCTGCTTAGAGTTATTTCGTTTCAGCACCGCCGTGTCGTATTTTTTTAAGTAAAGAATTTTTTAATTTATATAATAATGTATTATGTGCAAAATATTAAAAACTATCAAATATCTTACCGTGTAAGTCCATTGCACAACGCAACTTGTTCTCGCAAAAATAATTGTATCTAAAAATCCAGAGACCTCAAGCATCCGAGGCACATACTAGTACAATAAACACTGAGTCTCGACCACGGCTCTGATTGCTAACACCTTCCGCTTGCCTATAAAAAATACTTATATTATTATCATTTATCGTTTTGATAACCTATACGATTAGTAATAGAATAGTTGTAACATTTTTATTTCCAAGCAAAGGCGACATTTGACCTAATATAGAAAAAAGTGTACACATATAGATAAATAATATAAATTGAAATCTTTATACTAAAAATCTATAAAAAAAATAGACTGGATAATGTAAATTATGTTGTTAAGAAGATTCAATAAGGAAGTATTTTTATGGTACAAAAAGTATTACGTCAGTTTGAAAACTTTATTAATTTTTACATGTTATTGCACATGCTCTACCAAAGACTCGGTAGCTCAATTGGCAAAGCAACAGCACGGAACGCTGACGATGCCGGTTCAAGTCCTGCCCGAGTCGAAATTTTTTTCAATTTATTTTCGATTTTTAAACGTCAGTTTGTACAACATTTAATTTATGTTCATACCTTCTTACTACAATACTACGGTTATCTGCAGAAGAAATAAAAGAGATCGGAAAATTAACGTCAAATTTTGATCTAGTAGAGAAGTTGAAAAAACGCGCGCAAACGATAGGTCGATCTCGTCAACGACAACGACTTCTGGTCATAGTAATCATCTGTGAATTATATACTATGCCGATATTTGAAATCAATAACAAAGAAATCTCCTTATTTTTCATTTTCTTATTATTATGTACAATTGTACTTTTATCTAGTGTCGAATTAAAACTACTTGCAAACCGCCAGCCTTATTAAAGAAAAATATTACAAGGCCTAATCCGACATACGTCGATTAAATTATATAGTCTTTTCCCACGTCAAAATTGAAACCATACCAACCATAGACAATAGCTATTAGCCACTTTTTATGTCAAAACTGATCAAAACATTAATTAGAATTATGATGATCCTTTAGTTCTTTAGTGTTGTTTAATAGCTAAATGTCTCTTATATTACACTTAAAATATTTTTGCACTAACTTCGGTTACAATAAATAGTTGCCCACAAAAATATGAAATGTCTTATCCCGGGTCCAAACGTAAAAGGTTGCTTTTTAAACATTGTACAATTTGGTAGTAGTCTTTAAACTGTCTACAATTTAATAAAAGTGTATGATTTTAGTTCTAGGGAGAACTATCCACGCTCTAGCAAGATTTGGAGATGAATTATATTTAGAATCTTCGCCGGAAGCAATCCTTTTAAGGACTCTTAACGCGTCAGAATCTGCTTATGCGATGGTGAAATTTAATAAAGTTTTCTTCTCTTATTTTAACTACAATTACTTTTCTGCAAAGGACCAAGAGGGTTTAAAATGTAAAATATCCATGAAAAGTGCTCTACATGCCTTTAAGTCACCAACTCATATGGATAAACAAGTAGAAAATTTAGAAATTAGGCTGGACGCAGAGTCTTGCAAATTAATATTTATAATAAAATGCAAACATGGTATTGTAAAGACTCATTTTGTTTCAATATTGGATTGTAAAGCAATGCAAGCTGTTTACACTAAGGATTTAGTACATAACAGGTAATAGATTAATTTAAATTCATGCAGATTATCGTTTCAAAGTATTGACAAAAATCCAAAAGCTCTAAAATAGTTCATACCCATAGTAAATTTATTTTTATTTATTAAATATTAATGTCTTGATTCAATTACTTTGTAAATTCTACTATGTTTTTTCATATTTTACATAAAGATAGATCTTTGATAAGACTATTTTCTTTAGGATTACATCGTCACAAAAAATATTGTCCGAAGCTTTAGGAAACTTTCAATCTTCAGATGACCAAGTAAACATAGAAGTCAATACAGAGTCACTTATATTACGCAACTATGTGGACAGCAGTATGGATTTGTCAAAGGTCATTCGGACACAAATTAGTATAAAAAGTGCAGAGTTTGACACCTACGTAATAGGAAGGGAAACAGTTATAACATTTACAATAAAAGAATTTAGAGCATTATTAGCCTTTGCTGAAGCACTGAACTTACCTCTTCAGTTACATTTTGAAGTAACGGGCAAGCCAGTTGTGTTTATAGTTCACAATAATACTACATTTGAAGCCCACTTTGTACTAGCCACAACAAAATCAGATACCCCAACTCAAACATCAGCATCACAGAATAGTACTATTACTGACCGCAAGAGAAAAGAAATGGGCTTCAATTCAAACTCTGTGAGAAAGAAACCAAATTTAGATGTAGATGTGTCCAAGTGCCTAGATGAAGACTCCCATCTCTTTGATTATATAGAAATGCCAATAGATATTATTAATGCACAAAATAATGATTGTAGTAATAAAGATATCAGTCAAAGTATTATTCAGGAAAATGTTGACTGTGATAACATACCACCATCACCTACATCCAAAATGAAAATAAAGACGATATTTAAAAGATGTTTTGAAAGCACATTCGATCCCAGAAGTATCAGAGGCTCAGTTTTAGCTGAGAATTCAGATAGCGAATAATAAAAAAAACGTGTTTTGTTACAATGTTTTTGTTTTATTTTAAATTTGGTTCCCTATAAAAGACTAGCAGTAGTCATATTTAGCAAGTGTTTCTATGTTGCGCAAGCATCTGTTTCGTTCAATTGCAATCACAAAATGCAAACTGATTCCTACATCGTTTCTACTTTTAAAAGACTCACGGAAGATTTTTGACAATAAATAAAATACCATGTGACTGCATTATGATTTTATAATAAAAAATATACATACAGAGAAAATATTGTACACACCTTACAAACCAATATCAGGGTGTTATTTTCACAGTTTTACATAACACAATAGTTTAGTATTGCTATTTGATCATTGTTACAGGAACCATCCACATCAGAGAGATTTGTAAATATTAATATAACCAACACAGAAAATGAAATACATACACTATTTAGACTCTAAAACGTTGATACATGATATAATTTCAAAGCCCATTTCAAACAATCCTTGCACATAGGATTTTTCTGTTCTATCATAATTTTATTCATCAGATAAGCATTATTTTTATTGTTAACTCTCATATTATATTCTTAATTTAATAGCATCTATAGATTTGTGTTATTCTAGATGAATTACCTTGTTCTATGTATATGTGCATTATATGGGCAAGGTGCAAGTTTATTACATACAGAAAACAATATTATAGCAACAATTTCCTAAAAATTAATACTAGGTCATAAAGTATAATAATCAGTTAAGTAAAAATGATAAAGCACTAACTGTTTGCTTTAAGGTAACTGGTTAAAAAAAAGGTTAAAAAATTTACAATCAATAAGAAAAAACAACATTTTCAATTGGCAAATACAATATTTTAGGTAGTTTCATACTATGCTTGTCAGTATTTGCAACAAAACAAATTACAATTTCTTTTGGCTCCAAATACAAAGAGATCACACTTGAATTTCGAGAGTATCCTTGAGAAAAGAAAGAGTTGCAGTTTGCTTTAAAAAAGTTAAGTTACACATTTCTTTACACAATATAACAATAGCTACCTAATGTCTTAAAAAAGATGAAAAAGACCTTCAAATTCTACTTTAAATTTAATTTTATAATACGGCAGCGATACCATTTTATTAAATAAGTATTTATTTCAATTCAATATTGTCTCTGGCCCAGCTGACAGGGCAGACTCTGATGCAACCATAAGTCACACCAATGCTTGTATGCATCACTGAACACACATTATCCAAACTTATTAACGAAAAAGGGCACTATTTAGGAACAATCCTCTTGACTCTTTCTTACACATTGTGCTACTTTTCTTTTAAACTCCGAATATGACTCTCGCCATTCCTTCTGTAAAAAAAATCATAATAAGCACACATCAACAACTGATTGAAGTATTTGGTTGTGCCAGTTGGAGTGTGTGACCTAGTAATATTATGCTGTTAAATTGTTTTGTCACATGTCCCTTTTTCTGTGCTCTTTTATATAAAATTCTTTTCTCTCCTAAAAACAATCTTCTTGACTTTTCCTAACACATCGGGCAACTTTCTTTTTGAAATCCGAATATCTTTCTCTCCATTCTTTCTGTGGATGTAATATGAAAATGATCAAAGTTAATAATTATGTCAACATTACAATTAACACAACAATGAACAAATGAACTAAGTACATGGTAATGCATATTTTTTATGAAAGCAACTAAGCATTAATCTGGCATATTGCAATAAAACAATATTACAAGCAAACATTAAAAAACAGCAAAACAAAAAAGCAGTAAAACTATTGATTAATGACATTTGTAGTAAACATTAACTCAAAAAACAATGTAGTTAGTATTATGTACTAGTAATTTAACTTGCAAATTCTTTATCTTACCGCTGCATCTACATTCGCAGGGCTTTCATCATTTGGATCAGCCAACATTGAGATAACACTAATTAGAATTGTCTCAACAGTGTGCACAGGTAGCCACCGTTCTGAAGCTTTTTCATAGCCCCATTTATCATCACCAGGTTCATGCAATATAGAAATGCAGACATCGCCATTTTTTTCAACTGAAAATAATAAACATTATTTTATCAAACTGTTACTGTACCAACTACATTAACTTTTAAAAAGTTATATTTTACTATTAATAAAATAATAGTTGATTTTATATTTGGTGTTATCATCTACAAGAAGAGTAACACTCAAATTCTTATAAATAACATTAGCTCAAGTGTCAAAAGCATTATCCACATCATATTTTAGCTATATGATGTCACGGTATGTAAAAATAAGCTGTTATATTTTCCAAAGAATGTTATTATTTTACAGGTCGCTGCACCAGTTGAGTAAGAATTAGTATATTAGCTATACAATAAAGCAAAGAGAATATTCATTCTTGCAATGTGGCATGTTAGTAACATTTTTTTTTTTAATGTTTTACATTCTTACAATCAATCTAAGTGTCTTCTTATGTACTTACTGTTTGGATGCCAAATTTCAGTAACAAACTTCATCCGTGGAGGCCTTAATGGGTACTCTTTTGGAAAATATAAATGTGCTTTAAAAAATCCACCCTCACTGTAAAGAGAAAAAAAATAATCAACAATCATGCATTTGAGTTAAGTAGGTATAAATTTAGCATCCTACTAACTATAATGTGTCTGGTGGCCCAATAATAAGAACTTCCCATCTGTATATGTCATTGTCATCTATCAATCCAGCAGAAAATCCTTCTACCGGATTTTTGTTCAATTCTGAAAGTAAAAATGAACACGTTAATTTTCGATACACATTCTCAAATATTATGAAACGTTGCCAAAAGACCACAAGTATTACTCTTGGCTCTATGTTCCGTGACGAGCAATACTAAAAGAGATAGTATTGATTTTGTAAAAAATACAATTTTTCATTCGGAACATGAGTAGTAATAAAATAAACATTTAAAAACAATTGAGCCCAAATGCTCGAACCGCTAAGGTCAATGATTGCATGGAGACGAAGTTGCTCGACGTGATAGCGACAATTTTGGATTAGCGAAATAAGGACCAAGTTATATATTTACCTGCTAGTTGCTTTTTTAACAACAGGGAAGACTGTGGCTCTGACATTAATTACAATTATAAAATTTACCCTGACGACACGAAAAAAAATATTTTTTCACAAAAGATGGCTGGCTGAGTTTTGGGCAAACTGTGCACAGACCTACCACCGATAGGTGTTATGAAGTTTTATACCACAGATAATATAGCGCTTTTTTTGTTATAATATGACGGCGAGTTATTTTAGGTTCATAGACTATAAAATTGAGGAATTAAACAATAGACGTTATTAGACTAACTTATAAAATAAAAATAATGTGTACATTCGGGAGGATTTGCTACCACACATAATTTGCTGAAGGTCATTTGACCACCACACCCCCTGACTGATATGATAATATTGAAAATAACCGACTACAAAGTTAATTTAAAAATTAAATTAAATTTGCTCAAATTATTAGTAATTCTTCTTTAGTTAATAGAAGCGATTTAAAACATATGTTTAAAATTTTAAGATATTTGTTTCTTGGCAGCGACGATAAATATCTTTTTTGAAGAGAAAATAAAAATCGATTCGTAAACGACAATGTTAAACCAAGTAAAAAAAGTTCCTACACGAATCGAATTTAAAACCTCTTTTTTTGATGTTAGGTAAAAGAATCCTATGAGAAACAATGAAGTTTTAAATGCAATATCATACGTATTTAGTGCTTGCCACCCGACAATTATTTTGGTTTCCTGTAAGATCCTATCTTTTTTTATCTATTTGAGTCCCTCCGGACATAAAACGTGCTTTTATTATTATTAAATCATCGATTTAAATATTATCATTTGTATACAATTATTTTAGATAAACTAGGGTAACAGTATAAAAGATAGGGTTTTATCCCTTATATCAATATTTCTATATTTTAGCCTTAAATAAAAGAAAAAAAATAGACTCAATTAAATTTTTACATGTATAATAGAAAAAAAAAAATGATATTACAATATTAAAGGAGCAGGTTTCATAGCATAATTATAAAAAAAATGTTACATTTTGACCCGCGTATCTTTTTAAACGATTTTCGTTTATATTTCTCTTTATGTTTTGTAATGCGTATTTACTAGGAAACATTTTTATTAACTATTAATAAAATAGACATTAGTAAAATACACTACACACATTGTACACTTATTACGTTTTCTGTTTCTTAAGTTTTTTAGCAGGTGTATCTGCTATAATTTGAGAGTGTCTTTTTTTATTTTTGTTACCATTCTGTTGAAGATGTGATTTTGGCAAATCATTTTCTTTTGTTTTACTCTTTTTCAGCTTGTTGACTTTGTTTACTAACTCCTTAAAGTCTAATTCTGTTTCAATGTGACAATTTTCATGAAACGATCTTAAAACGTTAATAAACTTTTTCAACAGCACCATGAAGTTCTTTTTCACACAATATCCTGGATCATCTATTGCATTTATTAGTTTATCTTTAAAATCATTTTCTAAGGTTATTATTCTTTTTGTTATTTTGGCATTGTCAGGTTTGTTTCTATTAAGTGTTCTATAAAAGCCCATCATTAATTCAAGACCTTCATTTCGTCGAAACTGTCTTATATTTGAGTCAAAGATGTTTTGTATAATTATGGGTATGAATTCATAGTTGCCGCTCCAGTCAAGTTGTAATATATTGTGAAAGAATATTATAGGTAGTAAACAACTACGATTTGTGAAAAAATCAATAAGTGTCTGTTTAAGCATATTTGTAAGAGGACAGACATACTTCTGTGCCTTAGGTTGTTCAATTTTTAATGAACAATGTATAATGAATGTAGCTATGTTTGTGATTACATCTCCAAGCGCTTGGTACATGAAGTAGGATCTTGAACCCTTTTCAATTATTGATTTCAAGTAGTCACTCAAAACATCTAATGTAATGTCTTCAACATGTGAAAATTTTCTCACTTTTGCTAAAGTCTTCACAGTCTTTCTTAATCTGTTTTCTAATTCCTTGAAATCGTTGTCTTGCATACAAAATTCAAGAGCTCGTGTTAGGGGCGCTATCATTTCAAGGCATATGTCCATTGAAGGACCTTTCTCCAAATATATGTCTATTAAATCCAGAACTCTGATTCTAAAATCGGATAAAGACTTTTTGTTTTTACGATCTTTCTTCGACTTTTTATTTTTATCTTGGTGGTATTGTTTGAATGCTTCTGCCAGTGCCTCATCCAGTTCCTTGCCCTTTTCCTCGTCAATATCATCGACATCAATGCTTTCAGTGTCATCATCGGCTGCATCAGCTCCTAGCGCTTTTTGTATCGCTATTTTCAGTTGATCTGGATTTTTTAAATCGTCATCTTCTTCCTCATCTTCTTCGCCGTCATCGCTATCCTCTTCAATTTCCCCATTACCCTTTGGAGATTCCGTGTGTAACTCATCTTTATCATCATCACTCTCTGAGTCACTTGAACCTTCATTCTCAGAGTCCCCTTGTGTCAAAGGATTTTCTGCACTATCTGGATCTAGTACTGATACAATTTGTCCAATTGATGATGGAGTAAGATTCTCCCACAATAGCCTAAAAACACACTGGACAACTGATCGTAACACACTAGAATCAATAGAAAGTATGGACAATAATATTTCAATCATGACTTCAATCCATTCAGGTTCATCATTTGTTACCATTGGCTTTTTCATTGGTTTACTGTTTTTACCTTTGCTGTAGTGATGGTAGCATTCTTTCAACTCTTTAATGGAATTACGAGCCATCTTTATATATGCTGGTTCAGAGAATAGGAACAAACCGAGTTGATAAAGTAAAATAAGAAAAACTTTATCAATTTTGGATTTGGAGTCATTTTGTTCAATACTTTCACATATTTCCATTAGCATATTCCAACAAAAGAAGCTGTCTTGAGAAAATTGTTTTTCCAACTTTTCCTTGACATTCTCTTTCTTTAATACTTTTGATATAAAATGACATAAGGATGACAAAACTGTCACAAGGTCATCAACATTTGTAAATCTTGATGAGAAGCAGCGATAAAAGCATGACTTAATGGAACCTAAAAATTAAAATTTATTAAAAATAGTGCATTAAAAGCAAACAACTATTTTTATCAAGCAAATATTTTCTATTTTAACCTATAGTCTACTTTTTTAGAATATATGTTAATAAGTTATATTACATAGTACTACTACTTTTTTACCTGCTAATTCACTGCTAATAGAAGTACTGTTGTCTCCACTGATTTTAAAAAACCCAAAGCACATTAACAATTGCATATGGTGAATTTTAAATTCAGTGTCATCCTTCACTGCATCATGAGTTACCAGAAAAGATATTAATTCAGCAGCTGTAACCCTCTCATTGTTGAACCAGTGCCTCTCAAAACCCTCTTTAACCATTTTTTTTGATGTATTTAGAAGTACCATTTTTAACAGTGCACAAATTTTTTTAACTCCGTCTTTATCTAAATCTGTGCATATTAGTTTAATTATGTTAGTTCCTGTTATTTCTGTAAAATTCACTTCTCCAGGATCAAATAATAGTTTCTTCAGAACATCAACTCTAAGGGTATTAGTAACTGCGTCTGACTTCATAGCTTTGACAAGATAATTAAGAAGTTCCTTTTCCTTTTTTATCATAATTTTTTGATCATCTTCACTTTCATTTCTATTTCTTACTTTACTCGCGGTTTGAAGACCTTTAAACCAGTCTAAAAACAGTTTGAAGAAGTTTTTGCTTATCAACTCTGATATGACTTGGACATTGTCATTTATATTTTTGAAAACATTGCTCAGTATATTGATAGCAACCATTTCCCTATTTCTATTATGCTTTGTGAGATGACCATCTATTTTCATCCAAACTTGTAAAAGGAGAGGTGATGTTGCTACTTGTTTTCCGAATTCTTCATAGATAGGATGATTTACTAGGGAGAAGTCAATTCCTTCCTGCAACAAATTAAAACGCTAAAAATTATACTTGAGAAGGTGGTTCTTCACTAGGTGAGCTTGTGTACCATAACAAGCATTGCATCGGCACATATGGTTTAAATGGTCTGAAAAGTCTTGAGCCTCTATTATCACTTTGAAGAAAAGATAAATAATAATTCTTTTAAATAATAAATTTTTGTTTTACCAAAAGCTTTTCAGTTAAGTCTTCCATGTTATCTTCATGTAAAATTTCTGGACTTCCAATTAGCTTTCTCACTTTTACTTTACCAGGAAATTTTCTACTAATCACTAAAAGAAAATGAAGAGAATCTAATGTGTGTTCCTTTATTTCCTTTTTGTACATTGTTTTAATATTTGTCCATATAATACTTGAAAACTGAAGTTCGTCTATCTGAAACAATTATAATTTTAGACTGTTCAATATATGTCTTACGAAGTGTAATTTATAATGTTTATAATTTTTTTTTTTATTAATATTTTATTTATTTAATTCTGAGTATTCTTAGTAACTTACTTCTTGAATCAAGTCCAATAATATGAGAGATGCTGTTGTACCCAAATATGATTTTTTTGTGCTTGCCACTTGCAAAGTCTGTAGTGTCTGTTTTTGCTCTTCTTCAGAGCATTTGAGGATTAATCCAGATCTAAAAATTGCTCCACATACAAGAATTTGACCAAGAGAAACATCACCAACTTCCTGTGGAAACATTTGGAATAAAATCACAAACAAAAAATATGACAAGAGGTTAAATAGAACATGATATAACAAAAAAATCAAACCATCAAAGTCACATACTTTATAGTATGTAACTACCTGTATTCTGCATAAGATAATTACAAAAAATCTAATTAAAAATAACTTACACTTTTTGATGACCCATTAGCATGTAATTCTTCTTTAGTAAATTTTAATAACTGTGATACAGTTATTTCAGGAAATTTTGTTAGCATGGTAACAAGGGTTGCAAAGTAACCTGTCCTAAAATTGGGAGTGTTTGCCCCTAAACTTCTCACAACTCTTCTAAGAAAGTACTGAATCTCCTTTTCATTCTGAAACGATAAGGTTTATAGTGTATGTTACTTTGCAAATATACTTAAGAGTATACCTAAAAAACTAACCTTATCCAATTGTAACCGCAATATTATTTTAGCTCCAGCATTAACTTTAACGTCTTGCTTTTCTGATTTTAAAGAATCGAATGCCTCCAACAGAGATACATTGACCTCTTTTCGAGGTTTTTCCATAGCTGTTTCGACTTTCATGGTACATTTAGAGTGTAATAACACAGGCTGAAATTACTTCACAAGTATTTAAAACCCACATCCACATGGGTTTATTTTAGCTCCTATTTACATGGATGACGGAATCATGGAATACTCATCTGACATATGACAATTCTTTCTGAATTATTTCAGATGTACCACAGATTACCCTATTCATTGTTACCACAGATGTACTATTACTTTGTATAATATTCGTATCATTTTCTCCTTTGAAAGAAGCTACACTTTAGTGATTTTTTTGTTTAATGAATTCAACGAATGTTTGCTGTTTTTAAATTTAAAGTAAAGATAATCGGCCTCGTGTAAACATAAGCCGTCCATTAATAGCACACAGGAAACAGTAGTTTGAGGCTGGACTTTATGCTTTCAGTAAAATACATTGTGCTGGTAATTCTCGTTGTTCAGTAATGAGTAGAAAAAAAACAGTATAAGTATTGCGTAACACTAACTATAATATTTACGTACACGTTAAATTCTTCCTGTACTTTACTTGCTCAGTGAGTATTTTAAGTGGTGTTTACAGTTTACTGAATATTGTTTATGGTGTATTGTCAACTGTGATGTATGACCAAGTTCGTATAGGGCGCCTAACATTGAAGTATATTTTTTGGTTACATTTTCCTTGAAAATGACATTATTCAAATTGAAATCAGCAACCACAATACTCATTGAAGAAGATTACAACAGGAATTGCTTACCTCTTCTTGAAGATTTAGTTCAAGGTGATGATATTTTAAATATACTTTGTTTTGAACAGCCAGTGGCTGCATGGCAGGATACCTTTGTAAATAAAAGAGTTCACTGCTTGAGTGAATATACGGATAAGATTTTAAAAACGAATGAAAAAAGTACAGTAATAATTGATTCTGTAAATCAACTAGCTCTATCTTTGGGCTGGAAGCAATGTCTTAGGCATTTAAGAACATTTCAACTTGATTCCTACATTACAAAACTAATAATAATTTTACATAAGGATTGTATTTTGCTGAATTCAAAGCTTCAAATACAGTTGAACCACTTGGCGCACGCGATTATAAGTTTTGATTCTAAATGTTGTGATAAATTAAATATTCAGATTAAAAAAGCTGGAAAATTCATTAAGAGTGAGGAAAGTATTATGTATGACTCAAAAGCAAACTGTATAAGACTTACTCCTATAATCAAACAGAGCACTAAAAGCGAAGAAGAAAAGGTTGCCCCAGCTAATCTTACAACATTTAAAATAGAGACAGATCAAATCCATCAGTTGGAAAAGAACAAACTCAAACTGCCCTACATGAGTAAAATCAACGAAGGCCAAGGCAGAGTATTTTACGAGCCCGATGCAGTTGATGATTGGGATGACGAAGACCCGGATGACGATTTGGATATTTAACAAATCTTTATATTGTGTAAAAATATTTATTCCATTGTTATGCACATAAAATGGTGCATTAATAAAAAGGCAAAGGTACAAAGAATTTATTTTTATTGTTTTTCTATAACCTGTTACAATTTTGCGATTTTTTTCTGCCACATATCTCATAAAATTACACACATCTAGATAAAGTAGAAATCATGTATATGTAAGTTATTTGAACCACATCAAGTGATTCCTACTTAACATATTAAGAGTAATTTCCAAGAGCATAACAACTTAAACAAAATTTTTAAGAAATGTCATGAAAGATGGAAAAAGCTAACAGAAATATATGTTCAAAGCTGGGGAGTGTACAGAAACAGTTATGTTGATTAGGACAGTGTCAACATAATGCATGTTTGGGATCAATATAATGCAACTAAATCTTAAACTGTTATTAATGGGAAAGCAGGAAGCCAATTGTCGACCTTTAAAAATTGTTTAAGATATAGATATCAATACATATTATAACAAAGCTAACAAAATAGATATACGATAAAAATGATTTACAACCTCACAACCTAACAAAATACTTCCAGTACATTTACATTTGTTTCTGCACATTTTCTTTAAATTAACAGTACATACATAGAATATAGCAGACAAGGGAGGATGATACATGTACACAGAGAGACACTTCATCTAATTGAAGCCAAGTAAAACTACCCTCATGCTTGTCTGACTAATGGCATACCTTTTTCATTTATTATTTTGCTGTGGATAAGATAAATAAAAACTAGAATATTGAAAAGAAGGGAATACAAAATAAATTGAAATATATTAATATTATGTACAATGTTTGTATGTAAATTTCGAGATTCACAGTAAAATAATTTGTGATTGCATACATACTGTAGTACTTTTTTGTTAAAATAGCAGGTCACCTTTTCCAGGTGGCAGACAACTCAATCATTGGTGAAATATTGATGACTATACCCCTGCTTGAAGTATAGCAATACAAATGAGTTATGATTGTGTTGATAGACAGATACGAGGGTACTTCAGTCGGCTTACATTAGAATGTGTTGCCGCTTACTCTTTCATCTCTTTGAGCCGTTCCTCCCTCGGTCGAGCGCCGCCAAATATTGATGAGGCTTGACTTGTAGCTGCGAGTGAATTTAGTGGCTCTTTAACCGTTCTAGGCTCCAACTTGAGTTTTGGCCTACCAGTGGTATCTAATAAAAAATATAAAAAAAGTTTAACACTTGCGCTTTGTTTTGGCTGCTTTGCATTGGACTATACAGTGAGTAAAAGAACAAATTTGTTTTGTTCTTTTATTTTTAAAGAGTGAAACATACCAGGCCTGGCAGGTGGCATATCATCAAAGTTCCTCCGAGGTCTGTTGGCGGCAGGCACGTGCATCTGTGCATTACTGGAGCGACCCATACGGCCCCACTCTCCAGGTCGAGGCTCTTCCGATGAACCACGAGACCCCCGATCGTTCCATCGCTCACCACCTGGCCCACCGCCTCGTTCACGCTCTAAAATTTTGTGTGTATTACAATAATAACTGTATTATTATAACAATATCAACCACCGCACCCAAACATCATAACTATCATACCTACAATACATGCTTTGTGTTATGATTGAAAAATCAGTATCGGAATCCTAATGAGCATTAAAGTGGTTATAGGAAGAAAGATTTATAGAATTGGAATTTATTACTAGTACTGAAAGCTGAAGCCAAAATGATTTTAAAACATAAATGTAAATGACAACAATGTAACATGAGTTAGGTTAAAGCCAGTCAATGATATCAATTAATGAAATGAACAGAAAAGACTTGTTCTATCTAATATTTACTTATAAAACTAATGATATGGAATGCAGAATTTATGCCGACGATTGTAAGGCATTTTATCCAGAATAAGTATGATGTCCTACACAAGGACTGTACAAATGGAAAACTTTGTTGTGTGGTAAGATAAATAATCTGTAATAGTGGACAGTCTCTCTGCATTTAATTATTAAATTTTGTACAGTCGTGAAGTTTTTTCTCTTTTCACTTTCTGCTTTTTGTTATGATTGGAATTTTTATAGTAAGACTTAAATATAGTTACAATTTTTCAATCAATGTATCTCACATCAATATATTTTTTATTCTTGTCGTAGTATCAAATATATAAAAGTTGAGCAATAGTAATATAACATTATAAAATAATTGACCTTTTATTAATAATACTTTGTTAAATGAATTACTGGTATACTTTTTTATTGATACATCTACATCACATTAGACCAATCACCATTTATAGATTATTTTTGTCACCACAGAAGTCATATTCGTATTGTTTATTTCCAGGCCCTAAACAAGTCTTCTCTGATAATGTTAGTAATGTTACCATGTGTGAACCCTCCACCTTGGTGTCTCGGTCCGCGACCAACGCCATCAAAGTGGTCGTACGTACCACGACCCCCATCCCGCCTGAAGCCCCCTCGGCCGCCGTCGCGACCCCCATCCCGACGTCCTCTGTCAAAGCCACCTCCCCTGTAATTAAATATACCGTGGCTTTAAAAACCTGTTCTCCTTATGTGGTCTACTATAGCACAAATAGATTTGGGAGTCTCTTTAACTAATTTCTTTTTTTTTATAGGTAAATAAGATCAGAAGTGTTACTGCATAATAATGCAAAAAACATAAAAGGCCATGTTTTTTACGATGAGCCATGGTTGGAAGATTCAGGGATTAGATAAATGGGTATAAAAGAATTACATTTATGATCCAAATAGGTTACCTCATCATTAAATATTCTATATCGATAATAAAACATAGAACTCACCGATCATTTCTCTTTTCTTCAGCTACATCAATTTTTATATAGTTACCATCTACATTTAGGGCACCATTCAATTCAATCGCTTTTATCAAATCTTCCAAATATTCAAATTCCACATAGCAGAAACCTTTAAATTTATCAGTTTCCTTATCCATAACCAACCTTACATTTTTAATGTTTAGGTCCTGAAAACATAACAATTAGACTTTTAATTTTAATATTTCATAAAACTGAAAATTTTTGATTCATGATTGGTTGCCAATGTACAAGTACAGAAAATGCATGAAGGTTTACTAATATTCTTGCTTTTATCTTGTTTTCCAAGAAAAATAATAAATATGTGGTAAAAAACAGAAATAATAATAAATTTACAAACAAAATGTTACATCAGTCTACAGGCATTGATTCAAACTGAAGCCATAGTTTTGTGTGGTAGTGCAAAGTATGCTAATAACAGTATTACTTAACATATTCTATGTTATAATTGTAGTAGAACAAAAATAATAATTGATATAGTCAAAGGTATGATCTGATATTTTTTTATATAGAAGATATATTGCTGAAACATCTACAGGTAGATTACCTGCAACAAGCCCTAAACCCCACCTGTTATTTAGTTAACACAAAATGTATGATCTCATGAGCTTTATCTTATTGTATATAATGGCTTACTGTTAATAATCTTGCCAAAAAACAAAACTTATCTTTTAGAATTATTTTATTAGTAAGGTTTTTAAAGGAAATATGAAAATAAAAGAAAAATATGGGCTAGTGCCATAGACTTTAATAAATAACCTAGTCAATGTCATAATAGCTATCAAGGACATTAATTAACCAAAACATACAAGATAAGAACAACTCATTTAGCAAGATTTATAATTACTAACATGTATACACCTACTGGTTACTACTTAAAGGCACTACATTACACTGTCTAATGTAATGCCAGAATATAAAGAATTTTCAAAATACTCACAGGAAAGATTCTGTTAATATCTCCTTGAATGAGTCCAGAGGGTAAATTACCAACATAGGCTTTGTATGGAGGCTCGGTAGGCAGAGGGCGGCCGCCTGCGGTTCTTCTCCCGCCGCCACCATAATCCCTGCACAATCACGATACTGTATTATAACCTATAACACTATCTTTATAAAAAGTATTTTATTCATAACGGGTTTAGAGGAAATAATTAGAAATTACTGAATTCACGCACAATCGCACTCTTGATAAAAAAAAAACATTTTCTTTCAATGTTATCCTACCGTCAAAGAAACGTGATCCAAACGGATCTTGTGAATATTGGATTAAAAATTTATTTTCTTTTCTTTTCTCTTTTTTTAGAGCACCGGTTTAAGGTTAAGATGATTCAAAAGATGTAGCGATAAAAACAATTAATACCTTGGATTTCCATCATCAAAACCACTACGACCTGCCATGTTTAGAAACACGGAATACTAAATGCGCGCGCATCATCTTCTAGTGGTCTCTGTTAACCATAGAGGAAATAATATATCCATGCCACAGATAGATACTAGGCTGAAATTGCTGCTCCTTGCACATCTGTTATAGTCATAGTGTTCAAATAGCTACATCACAATTATAACATAAACTACCAAACTTGATCAGACAATCTGAAAGATTTACCAATTAATCCAGATATTATTCATAATATCTGGCCAAAGTTATCCAACGTAAAATATAATTTAAATGTGATTTTGATAAGTCTAAAGATATTATATACAATTGCTAGTTAATATGATTAATTTTGTATCAGTTATCACTTTATCTTAATTGTACATTATAAATAATGACTGGATAATATGTATACATATATAATATCCAGATTTAATCCTATAAAAGATTTATACAATTTATAAGCTATACATTTTTAAGACTATTTTACCTTAACTGTAAATAAACCACAGATGTAGAAGTTAATTCTGAATAAGCTACTGTGGTAAGCGAATACTTTATTTATTGTATTCAGCTATGATTAGTTCAGCATTGGAATTTTGGCTTAAAGTCCCGTTACCGGGCCATAAAATAATAATAAAAAAATCCTCTGTAATTTATTATTGTACTTTGTTTGTTTTTGGATATTGGTCTTGAATCTTCAAAATACATATTCATCATATAAATATCTTAATATTCTGACTTTTGCGTAATTTTGGTTTTAGTTAGTATTAAATCATTACATAATAATAAAAATGCAGTTAACCTTAAGTAAATTATTTCAGCATTCATATATCTTAAGACAATATGCTTATGTTCCTTCGTACAAACCCCCAGATGAAAAAGATTACATGTGTCTATTGGAATTCTTACAAAAACATACAAGAGTTTTAGTACTTACAGGTGCTGGAATATCGACAGAATCTGGTAAGTTTCTACACAGTGATCTCTACTCTATCTTTTTAAAATGTCTGAATTTGGCATAACAATTTTGATAAGGAATACCTGACTATAGATCGAAGGAAGTTGGACTATATGCTAGAACAAATCACAAACCAATACAGTACCAGGAGTTTGTAAAGTATTCTAATGTTAGGCAAAGGTACTGGGCGCGCAATTTTGTAGGATGGCCACGTTTTAGTTCGATACAACCAAATGCAACACACTTTGCAATTAGAGATCTAGAAAAGGTAGGAAGTAGTGTTTATCCTTTATAGGTAAATGTGTTTCCTTATCAATACATATGTATGCTTGCATGATAATATAAAAAATGAAGGGAAAATAAGAAACCAATAAAGGCCTCTGAAACAACAATGGCTTCTTACTGAGTACTGAATTTACTGTCAAGGTTTTATCCCAAATGATTATATTATGTATGTTAAAAAACTAAGAGACTTAGATTAGATAGGAATGTATATGAAAAGACAATCTAACTTCTACATATTTTAGAACTTCACTTTTCCACTTCATTTGCAGGTAGGAAAGATATCATCAGTAGTGACACAAAATGTAGATAGACTCCATCACAAAGCTGGGTCAGTCAATGTCATAGAGCTTCATGGTACTGGGTACATAGTGAAATGTTTGCACTGTTCATATGAAATAGATAGATTCAAGTTACAGGTAGAGTTGTTGAGAAAAAACCCTGAAATGGAGAGTAGTTTTAGTATGATAAGGCCTGATGGTGATGTGGAACTTTCAAAGGTAATCAACACTTATATACATAGTTGTAATGTATAAACTTATACAATGTAAAATATTGATTTCAATAAACACCATGATAAAAGAAGAAAATTAAAAGTGACTTTTTAAGTCTTCTGCTAAGAGGGAAATAGATAAAATAGCACCTATTGTGGATTAATCACCCAGCTCTATATCCATGTCCCCAATAAATAGTAACCAATACATACAGTATACCGACTACGGACTAAGTTTCATTAAAGCATTGATCTGTAAAGATGCCTTTGTTGGTTATTTTAATGAGGTTCTTATGTTGTGTCATCCATGTATAATACTTTTTTTAAGGAGCAGGTGGATAAGTTTCGCGCGCCAATCTGTCCAGATTGCAATGGACCATTAAAACCAGACATAGTTTTCTTTGGTGACAATGTCCCGAAGGAGAGAGTTGAAAGAGTAAGACATGAGGTATCAAAGAGTGATGCCATTTTTGTGCTAGGATCTAGCCTCACAGTTTATTCAAGCTATAGAATAATATTACAAGCCAAGGATGAGGGTAAAAAAATTGCTGTTTTAAATATAGGACCCACGAGAGCTGATAATATTGTTGATTTAAAAATTTCTACAAAATGTGGGGACATTCTCAGAGATGTTTGTAGAAATTTATGAATGATGTTACCTTATACATAAAAAATATTATGTACAATTTTTTAAATATTTGTTATCATTTACCACCTACCTCATGACTAGAAAAATGTGTAATCGGCCTTGGAATTTAAGAAATACACTTAAACGTTGTTTTTAAATTTGTTTTATTTAGAAGGTTTGACGTGACTTACAAGTTACTCCTATTGTAATCTAAACATAAATAAAAATTGAAAAAAAAAAATGTACAATCTTAACCTAGAGTTTGAACTTTATTTGTATTAAATTTACAACAGAAATCCCAAAATTATAGGTCTCATAGATTAATACAGATCTTAGGTTCAACAGGGGTAAATTATTTATAGTGTAAAATCACTTACAAATCCGAGAATTTGTTACACAATATTACAGTAGAATCCCCTTATTTGCGGCGAAAAATTCATGCATCGTAAATATAAAATAGTCAATGGAATTGAACCACACACTTTGATGTCATGCTGGAAAAAATTGTGGCTTCGATATTTTTAAGCAATCAGTACGGGCATGGTACTGATTGCTGAAAATAACGAAGAGTTTGTTCCATCTTTGACTGCAAATCACAAATTAAATAGGACGAGATAGGTCTGAACAGATGGAAACAAGTAACATTCAGAAATTTCTTAAATCTCAAGATTAAGATTTGAATTAAACTGATTTCCATTTTCTATTCATGGTGTCTATATTCGCAGCATTACCATGGAACGTAACCCTCGCGAATAAAGAGCTTCTACTGCATACACTGGCTTCTTCTGACTGTATGAACTTCCACTGTATATTGAGTAGGCTTTAAATGTCAGTATAGGTATCTTGTAAAAGAAAAGTTAAAGCTCAATTTTATTGATATATACTTGATAAGTTCAAAGATTAAATTTGCGTATGGACTCCGAATGAATATCCATTATGAACTACGAAAAATTCTCTAAGAACGAACAAGCAAACAAAAAAAAAAACATTACGATTTTCGAATTTTTTTTAACATTGTATTAAAAGATCCCTATACCATCACAAAATGCATCTGAATATACATGAATGTGCAAGTGTTTGAAAAAATAACACGTATTTTCAGAAACTAAATACAATTACGTTATTTTAGAATAAAGAAAAATATAAAGCTTTGTCGACCTAATTTTCAAAATGCATCTAATATTAATTGTTTTCACAATAATAATTATCGAACATAAAATGTAGGCAATGAGAAATAGAAAGGTACTCTTAACAATTACAAAACACTATTAATCTAACTGTTCTAGGTATTCTAAAATGGAGCCTGCATCTGGCAGTGTTTTTTATCATGTATCACACAAGAATCAAGTACTACATACCATTATTGGTCTCAAATTATATCTTCACTCCTTTGCCTTTCTAAAACCCGATATCCAAAATTGTACATTGCTTAAAGTGTTCCTATAGGCCTAGTTCCTTTTATTAACAACTTTTGAATATTCAAACATTTAATAGTATACATACCTCAAGCACGCAAGAGATATTGTATATCCTTTTTATATTAAAATCTTAGACACTTTATTGGTCTAGGTACATAGACTTAGAAAGTGAATTGTAATAGAAGGTGAAAGAGACAGAATCCTGCAACCTGTTTGCTATAAAGATGGTCTTTGTTATAAGAAGAGATTGGTATTATCTACACATTGCATAGTCTATTTTTCTACACAATAGTCTATGGGTCACAGGGTAAATAAATTTAAATGTAGAGGGTAGGTTTATATTATGTAAAGTTGGCCTTCTTTTTCGTCGGTCGACTTAAAAAGAGGGAGGTTCTCATTTTAATTCGATTATATTCTATGCTTATATAGGTGGTTTTTTACTATTGTTCGTTTATAGATGAAATATCGTGAAAGAGAAGTGAGATTTGTTCAGATTTTATTGAACAGATTAAATTATTTATTGTCAAAGTAATGTCTTACAAAAAGAGTGTTTTAGCTGTTGAACATAGTCAAATTATAAGTACCTTATAAAATCAAACAGGATTTTCCAGAACAAAGAGCACAAATACAATTCAAATTGTTACATTTGACAGTCTTTTAACACAAATCTAGGTACATACTATTCAAATTATTCACCACAGGTTGATAAGAGTAAAATAAGGTTTGCACGATCTGTATATTGAGTTTGTAAGATTCTTCAAGGAAATTAAGATTTCTATATATAGACTATCCACCAAAATGTGTTAACAGGGCAAAGGAAAAAAAAAACATACTATTACCTCTTGTTGGTGAATGACTGTAGTTAACAATAGATGTAATAATATTATTATTCATATAAAAGGTAATTTTAATTCTCTTTTGTAAAATGAATTATTAAATTAAAAGGTATGCCTTTCTATACTGTGATAATGTGTAGCAAACCTTATTTATTTTATCAGGTGAGTTGTTAACTCCAAGCGCCATTATAAGAAGTAGTCTGGTTGTGGCTTCTTGGATGGAACCCCACGCGACTCTTGCGGCGCTGCTTCGAATATTGTAAATTCTCGTTGTAGGTTTTCGTTCAGTTCTAATATTGCTGCTACGTTGCCACATCTGAAAAACATTTATCAATATATAATATGAGGCTGCTAGAGGCAGAGTTGCCGAATAACAAGAAACATGATTTCCAATAAGGAGGGAAATAAAAATGCGCAATTAACTTAGGCGAAAATTAAGTTGTATTTTGTGTAAAAAATATGTTAACAATTTTCGGTAACCGTGCTTTGTAGATTAACATTTTTTGACTATGACAGTATAAATAACTCAAGTTATAAAATTGCAGTTGGGTTACTCTACCTGTAGCCGCCTCATATATTAATAGCATCTAAACAATTTAATTACTACGAATAGCAAGAAATGTTATTTTTGGCATCCAAATAAATTGTTTTGCAAACCTCTTTATATTTTATGAGTATTTTGAACCGTTGTCGCAGCGTTCGCATCGGAAAACCACAGAGATGTATATTTTTTCTGTAATTTACACATTTTCTCTGTTTCTTAGCTCCTATTATGCTTTAACTAACACAAAAGGAATTGTTCAATTGGAACCAGTATTTCCTGAGATTAGCCCGCTCAAACATACAAACAAACTCTTCAGGTTTATATATTAGAGTATTGATGTATAGAACATTGAAACATTTAAGCAATTACCTAATAAATATACGAAGATTTCAATGAAATAGGTTTTTTTATTGCTTAGAAAAGGTGCAGAACTTTCAATTAAAAATATATGTTATATACGATGATTTATAGTAAGATAATAATATTACCTGTAACAATAGTTTGGAGCAGACCAAACAGTCAGCACAGTCTCATTGAAATGCCATTTGTAGCCCTCCATGACCAGTTGGTGCGCGCGACATATCATGTCAATGTCATTCGAGACATTAAACTGAGCCACGACATCTGATCCAAACAGGTAGCCAGCTCCACGCGGAGATACACCCCAGCCTTGTGTATCTAAAAACATTAGAAAGAAATAAAATACTGATAAGTCTTAAACTTTCTGTGACTCTAATGAGGGATCCATGGCCTAAACCTGGGGAAAATGCAATTGTTTTAACATAATTATTATCAATGCATAATATATATATAATTCAAAGTATACCTTCAGGATCACTCCAAAGCAAGTCACACATAGGACCATCATGTGGAACTTCCTGTTTCCGGTCAATGGTGCGAATTTGGTCTAATGTTTGTATAGATGGGCTTAGTCCTCCGTGAACACAGAATATCCGTCCATCTATGATAGCGGATAGTGATAAGTAGTCAAAGATCTCTGTGCAGTACCTGATATAAAGTAAAAAAAAAAAAAAATATTGATTATATACAATAATAGATTGGAGGGACTGGTTTATTAAATTTGTAGACCAATCACCTGACATTCTATATGTGTCCTAAATGTAAAATTTAATATAAGAATGTTTGTGATTTTACCTCCAGACCGTAATAGAACCATATTTTCTTAAGCATTCGTCATAAAAACCATATACTTGAGTGATCTGTCTAGACTCATGGTTTCCTCTAATTAATGTGATGCGATCTGGGTATCTAACCTGTAAAATAATGATTATTAATAGTAGTATATTGATTATTAATAGTAGTAGTAGTAGTAGTAAATAAGTACCTTTAACGCTAGTAGTAACAAAAAGGTTTCTACAGAATAAAATCCTCTGTCAACAAAATCTCCCATGAACAAATAGTTTGTAGCTGGGACATCACCACCAACTTTAAATAGTTCCTTGAGATCATAGAATTGGCCATGTATGTCACCACAAACCTAAAATTTGCGGTTCACCATTATTTTATTAATCCTATACCTCTCTGCTATGTTACATGAATTAGGCTTTCTTAACATTGTTTTTAGTGAAATAAATTTTGTTGAGTGGACTTTTCATTCTAAGTGACTTTGCCTGAATCCAAGGCCTCTTATTTTAAACAAAGTAAATAATAACAAATTTTAAAAACTTCTCAGTTATTTAAGTAATGATAACAACTGACGGGGAATACTAATTTATATAAATATTGAAACAATTCGGGAATAATTTATGTGATGGGCAATAGCATACACAAATATTTTATTTTAGTTAGGATATTTCCCAAGGTATAGACTACACAACATTACCGTAACTGGAGAATCAACACGTTGCACATTACTTTCTTCGACGAGAATCTCTCGGGCTTTTGCACACAGTGCTTTAACCTCGCCCTCCATTATTATTTCACATCTTTTAAGCTGCTCTATTTGCCGATCAAGATCACTCGTATCAGACATCCTGTATTCTTAAAATGATACGAACTAGAAATACAACCATCAGATTATTGGTACAAAAGAAACATAATAATAATAAGTGTTTAGCTTTGGCTACACCAATTTGCAGACGCATCAACTTACAGAAGAAAGTGCCAGGTGTAATTATTTCGAAAATGTTGTGTGACTTAAAACATATGATAAAGGCTATTTTAAGTTACACAATAAACTACTAATAATTAAGATTTTAGACTTAATAATTTAATACTTATACTTTTATACTATACGAAACAAAAACTAACATCTATAAAATCTACGCCACAGATCTACACATAACACATAGCGACTATGTCATAGATTATAGTGTGTTATGTGCATAGATGTAACAATTCCTATGGGAGACAATTTTAACCTTTGCTAAGCTCTTGAAATCGAAGATTGTCTGTTAAAATAAGACTTGGCTTAAAGGTCCCGTTACCAGGGCCATAAAATATTATAAAAAAAGAAGTTAGTCTATGGTATCTGTTTTGATCAAGTTGTGTGATTATTTTGATAAATTAATTTATTTCAAATATTAAATAACTAATAAATATAATATTATCAAAGTCAAAATTAAGTGGTAACGATGGGAAATATACACACTGTGGGTCCTAATGAGGCGCTTATAGTATCAGGTTAGTCTTTTTCTTGTGTTGTTACAATATTTACAAATATAGGTGGTGGTTCGAAGCAATTATATATTTACCTTAGAAGACTTATTCTGTCTAATTTAGTTTATATCATGAAGTCTTAAACATACTAAATGTAGTAGGCTATTAAGTCTTATGTGGTAACTTTTAATTAAAACTGTATTAGTAAGTGCTGTCATAAGCTACTGATAAGGAAATGTATTGAATAAATTATATTTCCTCAAGTATGATTTACCTTTAATCACCTGTATTAGTTATTCATGCAAAAAACATATTCTTATGTTGGTTCTAATGGTGTTATGCTCACATTAACATAACATTTAATTAAACAAAAATGACAAGTTCTTCAATTTTTTCAATTTGTTATTGTTATTATGAACATATCTCACGTCAAAACTTGCAAACTAGGTATTTAATATTTTAAAATGTGGACCTAACTATAATTTCCATGTATTTTTTATTAAATCTGCTGCCTTTTCGCCAATCATTATGGCAGGTGCATTAGTATGTGCTGCTAATGTTATTGGTATTATACTGCTATCTGCCACTCTTAAATTTCGAATGCCATGAACCCTAAGTTCAGGGTCTACAACTGCATACTCGTCAGTACCGGGGCCCATTTTGCATGTTGCAATTTGGTGATGTAGAGTTGATGTTATTGTTCTTACTGCACATTCCCAATACTTATCTGAATCAAATTCAAACTGAGCACAATTAGGATATTTCTTTTTATACAACTTTGCCCCATATTTTTTAAAAGGCGGTGTATCAATTAATCTTATTATATACCTTATGGCGGCAACTGAAGTTGCAACATCTTTCGGATGAGTTAAATAGTTACCATACAATTTTGGTTGTTGAAATGGATTCGTAGAACCAAGCCGTAATAATCCTTTTGATTTTGGATGCAACAACATAAAAAGTACAGTAAAGCTATCAATATTTTCAATTGGTTTATAGACCTGGTTATATAGCCAATCAGAAAGATGTAAGCCCTTGGCTACAACATTTCCCTGATCAGAAGCTAGTGAGGCGCACGACCCTAATAATTCAATATCTGGTATGTCACCCAATTCTTCTGATTCATTAGTTTTAATGTAACCAATAGTTTCGACGCCCGCTAGTGAAGACATCGGACCATCTCCAAACTGTGTGTACTGTAAAGTGTTTTGTATTGTAGCTATTTTCCTTTCCACTAAAGTTAGTTGCGTGGCATTCAGGAGAAACGTTATGCCAGGAAAAGAAATGTGGTCGTATAAAGTTTCGCCTACTTTTAAATCCTGTATGACGTTTATTCCGAAAGAGCGTAGGTGATCTGCAGGTCCTACTCCTGACAGCATTAGGAGGTGTGGCGATTCAATAGGTCCTGCTGATAATATGACTTCTTTTTCGGCGAAGACAGTGTATTTACGGCCCAGTCTTTGAAATTCGACGCCATAAGCAGTTTTAGTTTGTGGATCTATCAAAATTTTTGTGACATAACTTTTTGTCAGTATGTGTAGATTTTTCCTTTTTTTGTTGTTGTGTAGAAAAGCTTTCGCGCTGCTAGTACGGATCCCTCTGTTTATTGTAGCTTGAATAAAACTGAAACCAAATCCATCGGGACTATTGTAATCTACTCTGCGGTTGCCGAGTAAATGCGCTGCATCTAAGAATGCCTTTGAGAGTTTTGACCTGGAAAATATGTGTTTCTTTATTAAATATTCTATTTAATCATAAATAAGAAATTCTAGATTGAATCTACCAAAAATGTTCTTCTTCTTACCTAAAAGGAACATCTTCGACGTTCAATTCACCATCTCTCCCATGCCAAGGAGAATTTTTTAACCCTCGCAGATTCGCTCTTTCTGATTTCATATAATAAGGTAAAACTTCTTCATATGACCTGTCAGTTCAAATTAATTAATGGTAAAGAAAACAAATTTTGAATTCATATAAATCTGATTCTTCTTACCATCCGTAATTCCCTTTAGCGGCAATCCTATTCCAATCTATTGGCATTCCTCTTGTATAAATCATATAATTGACTACACTCGTCCCGCCAACGGCTTTGCCTCTCGGCCAAAAGCATCTTTCATTTTCCATTCCTGAAAATATATTTTCTACAATTCCGTTTCAGGGCTGAATTTGAAATTTGAAGTTGCGTGTAAAATGTAATTGTATGATATAGGGGCAATTGAAGCCTTGAAATTTATCGTGTTGCGTTCTCTGATTTCATTCGTCATTTCTATATCATGTATTGTGCATTTATATTTAACTCCCAGAAACAAGTCTGCAAAGGATTCAAACACTTACTCAAACAGACGAAAATAATTGATATTGTTATATGCAATTATGTCCGAGACAACATAAAAACGTAATTAAGCCTCTTAAATTCTTAATTGGAAGTGACCTCAGTTGCCCATTTATATCTACTGTACGTGAATACCATCTATATGTTTGTTAAAGCAAAGCACACGACCGCTAATGAGAGTACGTTTTATTTATATCAAAGTTGATACACTGAAGTAATGTTGTTGAACTTGTGAAAACCGCTATCCTTTAACTTAACATACCTACCTAAGCAAACACCAGGCTGATGTTCCATAAAATAGGGCCATACATAGTCAGTTTGCTGTAACACAGGTGCCAGTATAGGAACGCCGGATATTATAGATTCTCCTTGGCCAGCCTCTAGTAATAAAACAGACGCTCTTTTTCCCTCGCTAAGTCTAGCTGCTAATACACTGCCAGCTGACCCTGCTCCTACTACAATAAAGTCGTAAACTTTTAAAGGTCCATTGCAAGCTGTAATTAATAGTTGGCATTAAGTATGATAACATTGTTTGATACAAAGAATTCAGTAAAACTGAGCGCTCACCTTTTGGAAGTTCATATTGATCTGAAAATGCATCAAAAATCGATTGTGTTTTGTTTAGATTATACATTGGAGTTCTGCGCATTGTATCTATCACATTGCTTCTGATATTATCTGTGAACGGTCTTTGTCTTCTGAAAAAATCATCACTCGATTCCTCACAGGGCCTAGGAACTGCACAATTTTCACCAGATTCTGTTGTGAAATCTTCATGTTTATATCCATTAGACGATGAACCATTAAACATTAAACACACTAGCGCTGTAAATACTAATACCCTCATGTTAATTAAAAATACGTCAGATCATCCCGAGGCACATTTAACAAATAATTTCTTTGTACAGTTTTAAAATTGTGTGTTACTGTTCTGTTATTTTTTTACTGTTTGAGACCGGTTTTAAACGTTTTCATTATACGGAGGTATATTAATCTTAGAGCTTTGAACCTGAATTTGAAATAATGACCATGACGTGTTTTATAACGGACTTCCTGGTCAATTTAAAATTTAGCAATTTATTATTTAATTTTCATATTGTCGTTCTCAAATTAATATAGAAGTCGAATTTTAATTTGTTACAACTATAATGGTTGTAAAACATTTATATAAATAAAGTAAAAATAAGAAAATACAACTTTTGGTTTGAACTTAATAATTTTATTTTTATATATTAACTAATATTCCAAAAATGTTTTATTATATCTGCTCCTTTTAATCCTATCATCATTCCTGGTGCATTGGTGTGAGCGGAAATCGTCCTTGGTATAATACTAGTATCTACTACTCGCAGGTTCTTAATACCACGAACTTGTAACTCGGGGTTTAAAACAGCAAGAGAATCATTTTCAGGTCCCATTCGACATGTGGCTATTTGGTGATGTAATGTAGCAGTTAGGGTACGTAACGCACACTCCCAGTATTCGTCAGTATCGAACTCGAATTCTCGGCATGTTCTCAGGTGCCCGTTGTATAATTTGGCGCCGAATTGTTGAAATGGCGGAGTCTGTACGAGCCTTTGTATGTGACGTATGGCCGCAACAAATGTTTCAACGTCTTTATGGACTGTGAAGTAGTTTCCAATCATTTTTGGATTACTAAAAGGGTTCGAATCTTTTAATTCCAAACGCCCAACAGACTTCGGATGGAGCAGCATAGGTATGGCGCTCCAAGTGTCCTTACCGTCGATAGAGCCGAACGCCTCGTCTATCAGAGCCTCTGATATTCTCATTCCTCGACGTATTGCCTTGCTGCCACCCAGACCACCGTCAGAAAGGAAAGAGCCTCCAATATCTATTAATTCTATATCAGGGACGGTTGGATCTGGATCATCGGAGACATGAGTTTTTATATACCCAATTGCTTCTACACCTCCCGGGGACGCAAATATATTGTCACCGTTTCGTAACCATTCAAGTACTTCGGATAAGGTTAGACCTTTGTTTTCTATAAATGCAACATCAGTTGTGTTAAGAGCAAAGACTAATCCAGGAAAGCAGATGTGATCGTACAGTACACGACCTACAGGTAGATCTTGTATTACGGATATTCCTTTGTCGTTTAAATGGTCTTTGGGGCCTACACCAGAAAGCATAAGGAGTTGCGGCGAAGCAATCGGACCAGCTGACAGAATGACTTCTTTTCGGGCGTGAACCGTGTGTATCATTTTGTTGCGCACGTATTCAACGCCGTAAGCAGTTTTTGTATCGGGATCAATAAGGATTTTAGTCGCTCTAGTCTCTGGCAAAATGTGTAAGTTGCGCCGGTTTTTGTGTGGGTGAAGAAATACTTTTGCAGCGCTCTGCCGATGCCCTCTTGTGATCGTAACTTGAACTGGTCCGAAGCCTAATTCTTCAGGTGCATTGTAGTCAACCGTAGGATGTCCGAGTAGTGTACCTGCTTCTAAGAACGTCTTTAGGAGCTTCGTCCTGAAAAATAATACATATATCAATATTTACCAAAATTCATTTTATTGTTAGAGGAATACCGAGGTGGGGGCATCAGAGGTGGGATGTATGTAGAAGCATGTGCGAGCCTAATTTCGACAAATTTGGTTGTGCCGACAAGTTGCTTTAGGGGTGACTCTGACCGATTGAATAGTCTATGTGTCTTTCTTTCAAATTATTCAGTGTTATGTTATTTATAACTTCGAATATTATATTTAGTTTTTTAAGTTAATAATTATTGCTTTTTTATTGTATTCAACTCGTCGTCTTTAAAAATAATAATTCCAGATTCTCGTGTATAAACATCATTCACCTTCTTTAAAGGCCAATTAAAAAAACGTAATCGTCTACTTATAGTTTTAATTTTTTTTCGTTTAAAATTGTTCTTTTAATTCATAGTATAAAAAAAGGAAGCAAACTCCACGTTTTACTTCATTAGTGGTGTTAAAAACTTACTTGAAAGGCACAAACTCTACAGGCATATCACCTTCTGTACCTCTGTGCGGCTGTTTCTCGAGTCCGTCTAAGTATGCCTTTTCTAGCTGAACATAATATTTTATTACGTCATCATACGACCTAAAACAAAAGATAGTGATTAAAAAAGTACATAGTAAGAGATTTCCTTGCTTAGGTGTTTAAATATTTGCCGAGATAAGTTTTTTATATGATAGAACAGGAGAGGCAGGCATGAGTCATATAAAATATGAAGTAATGCGAGTCATATAAAATATGAAATAATGCTTTGGATATTCGGGAATTCACAATCCGAAACCGAAACGCGATTTAACTTCACCGCTTTTTGATCTGTGGCCGGTGGTTCGTGACCCTTGATAATTTCATTGATTCAGATGTTCAGAGCTGTCGAACCCGCAATGGAACACACCGTTAATTTATTAGCCATACGTCCCTACCAACAGACCAATGAGCCCGTCTAAAAACGAGTTTTGTTGTCTTAGCTAAGTTTGGATTATTTTGAAGTTATATATTTAATATACAATGTTCCTCTATATTCAGACAATATGGTAGTTTCATTTCTGTATCTATATTCTTCGCTATATCTATATACCAAAAAGGGTCACTGGAGATATCTAAGACAAAAGGATTAGTTTGCTTAAGATTCAGTGCATTAGTACAAGTAAGTAGAACTTGGACTCGGTAATCGTGTTTGGAACTCGTCTTGAATTCTAAAATGATTTAGCCATAAATAATAAAAGCAGGGCTAGGCGATACTATACAATATCTATGCTATAACGGTATTATTTATGTCGCTAAACTTATTATTGCCACCACCACGACTGTGAGTCTAAATCCCTGGTATCGGGTCGGTATCGAAAATTCCTATAAATGCAATGTCTTCTTTAATATAATTTAATATAAGCTCTGGTATGACAAGAAATAATGTATATAAATAAATGACTTATGAATATCACATCACAGTCAACAGTTTCGAAAAAAATACGATTGAACATAGGATAAAATATATTACCATCCATAATTACCATCAGCTGCGATGCGATCCCAGTCCTTGGGTCTACCTCGCGTGTAGATCATATAATTGATCACTGAGGTTCCTCCTACAGCTTTACCCCGCGGCCAGTAGCATCGTTCATTCGTCATACCTAAAACATTAAATATAGATATTAATCAAAGAATCCGCACTGATTTGAGTCTTGCTGGGCAGGTGGCCCACCATTTATGTTTTGAATTTAATGTATTTTAAATCAGATTGGGAGTTTCAGACGAAGTTCTTTATTATATACTAGCTGTGCCCGCGACTTTGCCCGCCTAGAATCAAAATTATTCCTTGCCAACAACCGCTACGTCTTCGTTCCTATTAGTCGAAGTGTGATGTTATATATAGCCTTCCTCGATAAATGGTCTATCCAACACAAGAATAACATTATATTTCGAACTTGTAGTTCCTGAGATAGGCGCTTTCAAACAAATTCTACAGCTTTGTAATATTAGTATCAATGTAAGTTACCCTTGCAAACTCCCGGTTGATGTTCCATATAATAGTCCCATGAATAGTCAGTTGATTGAAAGTAGGGAGACATGGCCGGGATGTCAGTAAAGAGCATTTCCGGTTTTCCAACATCCATAAGAAGGACTGTCGTGTTCCTATTTTTCGATAATCGTTCGGCAAGAGCGCAGCCTGCAGAACCAGCACCGATTATGATGAAGTCATACTCCGAATATGGTTCAGATAACCCTGTAACAACGTGATAAGAAGACGTGAATTGAGCTGGAATTTTCCTGCTTGACAAAACGTTAAATCCGTTCAATTTAGAGACTACGAAAGTATATTAAAAATAATAAACTTATTAACGTTATTAATTTAAAAAATATATGTTTAATTGCAATAAATTCTGTACAATTAAAGTTTATTAATCTTTTTTAGTTAATGTTACAAAATAACAATAAAGACACGTGCCACGTACAAAATTATTTATCTATACATAGCTGGTTAAAAATAATAAATTGTGACATTACAGATAAAGATAACTTTAAATACCATATAGATTACTTACCTCCTGGTAATTCGTACGAGTCCCGAAGAAAATCGAATATTTTTCCTGAACCTTGCCCTCCATAAAACGTTTCGGCCACATTCATAAACATATTAATCGCTGGATGTGTGAAACCAGACCATAACAATTTTCCGTTTCTAGCATTTGAATTTTCCGTAGAAAATTCTTCGCCGATAGACTCGACCAGTGCTTCATCGTCACCGTTGGTCGTCAAAATTGTAGCAAAGATAGTGAATATAAGAAAATATAATTTAAACATTTCAGGTTGGAAATTAAATATAATGCCGATGTTTTATGCGACTTGTGGTACCTTGGTGACGATCGATCGACGTGTGAAGTGAATTGGGCGAAAAGTGTCCTGCTTCATTAATTTTAGTTCCCTCTCTGCCACAGCGCCTTAAACAGTGCTAGGCCGTTACATTCGAGAAATCATTACTTAATTAAAATATACTTTTATTAATAGGGTAATAAGGTATTTGAAATAATAATAAGTAAATATCTGTATATATAACGGCGATTTCACCGCTACAAAATTAGTTATCATTATGTTTACATTCAGAAAAGCTGTTCAGCCGGTAAACGGTGTCAATGACCGTAAAGTGCTTTAACCTTTTTGATATCTTGGATACACTACTATATTATTCCCTTAAACTAATGACTTAGTGTGCGAATGGTCAGTTCTTCTGAAGAAACTAGAAATAACTCTTTAAATTGTATTTCCCCTAGTGCTACACATCTAAATAAAGCACTTTTAACAGTTTGAAATTCGAAATATATTAGTTAACTTAATTATAACTGCGATACACCATTTCAGATGATTTATAGTAATCATGGTCACGGACGAATATAACCGTTTAAACATGTATTCTAAAATGAAAGTAATAAGTAATCATTTTGTAGCATGTAAATAAAAATGTCAATGAAACAATTTAAATTCTCTTTTTCTTATTCTATTTAAAATACTACTAGACATATAAGTAATTGCACAACAATATTTTATTTATTCAGATAAAAAAAATACATTTATGCACCGGCAGTGGCCTATTTATTTTAAAGGCAAAAAAGGGTATTAAGTGTTTAAGAGCATTAAGTATTAAGTGTATTTCATGGCTCAAGTTAAAATAATTAAAGCTGTGCGCGCGTTGAACCTTTTTTATATAACAATTCCGTTCTATATTTCACCAAGTAACGGGATAAGAAAATATAGAACACACATGTTACTCTTTTAAAGTGAAATGTACCTTAGTATAACGAAAAATTTAACTATAAAGAGGGATTTCTTTCTATATTGTATTGTATATGTCTTACTCAATTACATATCAAGAATTCCGTTCATTAAACACTGCCTGTAGTTTACGCGAGTAGTAGGTACCCATTTAAATAAAACACTTTAAGGTTTTAAAACGCGATATATATTTGTTAAACTTATTTGAAAATATTTTTAACTACGGCCCGACGTCTCGGATGCTTTGCAGCAGCCGTGGTCACGGGAAGACTGAGAGTCTACCCGTGACATTTATCGCGTTTTAAACCATTAAAGTGTTTTATTTAAATCCCGTTCATGATAATAATTATGTGCGCATTAGTAAAATCATGATCGTTTCTTTATGTAAGTCTCGAAAGGGAATAATTCTACTGTATATACTTGGTAAATTTTATAATTAATTTGTACTGCAATTTTATGGTAACAGACGTTCTTAATTCCGATGTGCAGTGTATACAGCTTGTTACTTTGCTCATACGGTCTTAACAGGCACTTACAACCTTGACATACATACATAATTTCAATTATTCTTCATGACAGATTTTTATCGAACATAAAGAGGGAATATTTTAAGTATGTTCTATGTCGGTGTTATTACATGATATTTATAAAACAAAATCATATGAAATAAATGAGTAAATATTAATTTTTATCACTAAAGAGTAAGCTATGATTTAACTGTTTTATTAATTTTAGTTGATGGTTTCTGAGTGAATTTTGCTATAATTATTTGCAGGGGTTACTAAATTGAAATAAAATAATGGTCTTGGTAAATTAACGTTTTAATGCCAGAAACTAAATTTATTAAAAAAAACAATAGTCTAAAACAGAGTATAATTGTCACAGAAACAATAGCACTAATGTACTTTTGCAGAATTAAAGATTTGCGTTTATACAGTATTTTATTCATATAAAATAAAGATAATTTTCAACGTAGCCATCTAAGCATAAAGAATACTTACAGTCTTAATAATTTTAGCAGTCTTTGTTAAATTTATTCACAAAACATATAATCTCTAAAGCATTTTAGATACAAATCTAGTCTATTCATTGTTAAATATTTTTACACAGAGTTAATAAATAACTAGTAGTAACTAAATCACAGTCGAAATACCTAAATATAATTTAGTACAAATATTGAAATTAGTTACTAGATATTTACTTAATAATTTTTTGACCCCAATCTTCCTTTATCATATCTGCTCCTTTTTCTGCGATCATGTACACGGGGGCGTTGGTATGGCTTGATACTATTTGAGGCATTATACTAGCATCTATTACTCTTAAGCTAGATATTCCATGCACTCGTAACCTGTCGTCAACTACTGCGGTGGGATCATTTTTGTTCCCCATTTTACATGTTCCACTTTGATGATAAATTGTAAAAGTAAACATCTGCGTCTGACATGCGAAATAAGCATCACTCCCAAAAGGTCCGTATTGTAAGCATTCCTCAATCGGCACGTCATACAATTTTGTATCCAATTTTTTCATTGACGGTTGCCTAGAAATTTCTATGGCAACTTTTATACCTTCCACGATTTTTTCTAAGTCTTCAGGGTACTCGAAGTAATTAGGTATAAGTATCGGTTGAACTTTTGGATTTCTGCTTTGTAACATTACCCTTCCTCTAGATTTTGGTCGCATTAACATGGGGAATACCATGAATATGTCGTTTTTGCCTAAAGCGTTGTACGTTTCTAGGTATATTTGCTCGTCGAAATTAAAATTTCTAGGTAGTAATGGGTCAGAATTCAAACCACCACCGATGAAAAGAAGCTCCATATCTGGCCAGGCCGTGGAGTTAAACTTGTCTTTTAAATTCATGAATACAAGAGCTTCGCAACCGCCCGGAACTGAAAGAGGACCTTTGTGTGTTTGCATCCATTTAAAGATCAATTCGATGTGGTTAAATATGAATTCCGTAGACAAACTTAAGTTTTGGGGTTTTACCATAAACTGTAATCCTCCTGCCGCTATATGGTCCATCAAATTGTGCCCCACGGGTAAATCTTTAACAATGGGTATATGAAGAGATTCTAAATGGTCTTTCGGTCCAATACCAGATAACATCAGAAGTTGAGGGGAATTGATAGTACCACCGGATATTATTACTTCTTTCTTAGCTAATATTTTAAATCTTTTTCCGTGTTTTTCAAATTCAATGCCTATAACTTTTGTATTTGTGGGGTCAAAGAGAAGCTTGGTCACCATACTAGCTTTAGATAAGTAAAGATTATTTCTTTTGTTGATCGGATGGAGATACGCTCTATTAGAACTGTGGCGAGTTCCGTTCTTCATAGAAAGTTGTAGGTATGAGACCGCAGCTGGAGTAGCGCCATTGTAGTCACCATACTTGAATCCTAATTCTTTGGCGCCTTTCACCCATGCTCTAGCTTTTGTAGTTCGGAATGGAGCATGTTCTACACTAAGGTAACCGTCGTGTCCGTGGTATTCTGGATTATCGAAGGCTTGAATATTAAAATTTTCAATCTTCTTAAAATACGGTAATACTTCATCCCATCCCCAGCCCGAGTTTCCCATGGATTCCCAGTTGTTGTAGTCTTGAGGCGCGCCTCTCGTGTAAATCATATAATTTAAAACGCTCGAGCCTCCGACGACTTTTCCTCGGGGCCAATTGCACTGTTGATTTTCGAATCCTGCGCAGTACTTCTCTGATGGTTCAGTTTTATATCCCCAATTGGCTGACGTAAATTGAAGGTAGTTTGACAAGAGGGGTATGTCCATTACAAAATTTTCATTGGTACCTGCTTCGAGGAGTAATACCTTCCAATCTGGGACTTCTGTTAGTCGGTTAGCGAGAACGCACCCCGCTGTTCCTGCGCCGACTATTATAAAATCGTATTCTGAGAGCATATTTACTTGGTCGGATGGCTCATGGTCCAGTTCCAATGTGCCGTCTTTTATAAATTTCATGAAAGACGCAAAAGGGTTCTCATTCTGTGCTTTTATCGGATGAAGTAAAACACATAGAATCCACAGGACTGACGCGAGCATTAGCTGCCTCATCTGAAAGGGAATAAATAGAGGGAGTCAATTCTGTTGTCTTGGAAGTTAATACGATACCTACTTATGGCTTATCGATATTCAATTCACTTATATATTTAGATTCTAGCTGTTATATACCTATCGGTTTATTATAAAAAAAATATTATTATGTCTTCGCTAATAACATACCTATTTCCTAGCTGAGTGTCGCTATTATAAGTTAAAAATAATAATTATTTGAGTATAATGTAATACCTAAAAGAATTATCAAATAATTTTATATTTAAAACATATTTATGCTTTTTATACAATTTTAAAACATTATTCGTACGTTCTTTAAAAGAAAGTAAAATAAATACTGTCTATAGTTTACGCGAGTAGTACACATTAAAATAAAACACTTTAACGGTTTAAAATGCGATATATTAGTTAAACTTAGTTGAAAATGATTTTTAACATCGGCCCGACGTTTCGGATGCTTTGTAGCAGTCGTGGTCTCCGGGTGACCATTTCCATTTGCGGTAACTACACATAAAGCGGTAATTACGCGGTAAAATGTTTTTTTAATGAATTTTCAAATAATTACCTGTACATGTATTAAACTATGCTGGCTCTACTGTAAACAATTATAATATACTCATAGATACAGGATAACGTAAGAAACACAGACCAATAATTAGAAGTCAATTATGTTGAGTCGCCTGTATTGTTTATCTTTATTTAAATATCTGATATCTAATGTCAAGCAAATATTTTTGCTTTTAACACCTTGTATTAGAAAAAAGATATCGCTAAAATCCAATACTTCGCAAATATCGAATGCATATGTCATAGTGGTATTACAGTTTTTTGTCTATGTTTATATGTTTTATTATATCTCTCTTAACACCGTATTTTTTCTTGTGAACAAATAAGTTTTGATTTCCTAAAAAATTAAGACACCTAGTGTATTACGACAAAGGTAATCTTTTGTGTATATACAGAATATTCTGTATAAAAACAAACAAAAAGGGTGTTTTTCCAGTCCTAGTAATAATAGAACTTCCGCTGTAAAGCATCTTAAACATCGGGCGTAATTAAAAATAAGTTAAATATATTTGCATTTTAAACCGTTGAAAGTGATTTATTTCAATGTTTACTTCTCACGTAAGCTACAGACAATGCTTAACAAGGTGATGCTAGTTAAATTATTTAGCCTAATTCTTAAGTTAAATTATGTCATTTAGTTATTTTTTTCATTTTATTTTCGATTTTTAAACTATATAGTGCCATCATGCGCATGTCAATAGTATTTAAGTGTTTAAACGTTAAATTATGTAATTATGTGTAATTAATGACATCTTAAAATGTTAAATACTTAGAAGCAGTTTTTTTTTTCAGTTGTAAAATTTATCTAAGCTACCGCTTATATTTCGGATAGAAGTATATTCTAGGCATGTCTGCACCACCTGTATAGTTGGTATAGTTCCAATAATAATTATAGAAGGGCATTTATCTTTAATACTATGATTAAAAACAAAGATGAAACAATAGACGACTAAGTGCTCGAAATATTTTTGTCAACTCTTTACCTCATACTCATTTTGATCTACTTGGAATTCAAAAAGCGAACTCACTGCTCAAGTACATTCAATTCTTATTAGGTAGCTCATTGCTTCCACCTGACAGGGATTTTTCCTCTATAACTCAAGCTCACGATTGTGGTAGATTGAATTAATAAGCCATGTAGATAATATTTATTGTCCATCTTTGAATATGTTTTTCCAATCTGTTTGCGGTTTACTATTAATGGTGTAATAATATTACAATATCACAGAATTCATTATACGTTACATCAGTAAGAATATCTATCTATACTAATATATAAAGCTGAAAAGTTTGTTTGTATGTTTGAACGCGCTTATGGGTTTCCGAGGAGTACGCTGCAAAAACGGTTCAAGATACCCAAAAATATGTGTTAAAGAGTTATTCCTCTTTAAATGATCTGAAAAAAGTGTGCGATACATGTCAATCTTTTAAGATTAACTTGTAAGAACGACGGGAAGGGACGCGACCGACCTCTCGGGTAACAGCTTAAGTTTATGAAGATGAAGGGGTTTGCAAAAACGAATTTCGATACTCAACATAACGATTCTCGCGGAGGCGTTCGCTGACACAGCTAGTTATCTTATATTAAGCGTTTGATAATAATAATAAATTATATAAAGATCAAAATATTTTACATAATAATAGTAAATCGCTATGTAACAAAGGAATGTAAAAATAGAATACGAATACCTAATTATTAAATAAATCTGAAATATTATATTATACGTATGCATTAAAAAGAGCGCTAGCAATTAGTATTTTTAAATTTTCTAGACTACTGCATTTGACTAAAGTTTAATGTGAATAAATCGTGAAGTATCTAACAATAGAATCTATTTCTAAGCGTGTAATTGTGTTGCAGTGGAAAGTCCGTCAAGGGAAGTCTCTATTGGAATGTCATTTATAGCTGGTAATAAGTTAATAACCTAGTACTACTAACTAGTAATCTTTAAAGGAGAATTTCCTATACAATTTCTTGGATCTGTATAGGAAACAATACAAATAGACACGATTTAATACGCAATTTACTTCTAACGATAAGAGGTTTGAATGACCCGATTCCGCTTTTCAGCAATGGTCTTGGATCTAAAAAGATGGACATTTTCCTATCAGAGACGATCAAGGAAGTACTATTAATGTAATTTAACTTACGTGATACGATGGACAACAACATGTCTTGCTAATGAAGGTCGCTTATTATATCTTCTCTGATTGCATTTTTATTTCTATATAATGATAGCATATGTTATCTGTATATGTGCAATATTGTGTAACAGATTAGATTTACCATGTAGCTCTTGGTTGCATAATGTAAATAAGTTTTCAGTTTATTTAATTTGTTAATAACAAGTGACGCTCTTGCAGTTGAACTTGTAACTCCTAATTATGTATTGTATCATGAAACCTGTGCTGCAAATACTTAACCCAACAGAGTATTATGCAATAAAAATGAATGAAAAGGCATTACTCTATCTCCTGCCACAAGAGTAACGTCATATTTCAAATAACTGATTTAATATTTGTGGCGATAGGACAAAAAAATCGCTTAGGTAGATAACAATTTATTCTTCCGTGGTATAATGGTGGAATTCCATTAAGACTGGCTTGGTTGTAAAAACACTAAGCAGTTTTGATCACACATAGCACAGAAGCTTGATTTAACTGCAAACACAATCGCTTAGGGACAAAATCCGCACACTTAAGAAATGGCATTTAAACAATCAAATATATCCGGAAGAAAAATATATATTAAGAGTACATAATAAGCTTTGTCTTTAAATAATACGTTTATTATAGTAGTATGTGTTGGCGTTGCTATTTCTTTTTTAAGATAGACAAATAAGAAAACCAAATTCTGAGACTTTGGCGCTTTGCATTATTCTTCGACCTTCTATAACGCGCATTACGAGAAACATAAGTAAACACATCCGGTGTTTTACGGGATTATTTAAAAATAATATTAGTTATTTGCTTACGTTTCAAATGGACTTAAGTAGAAATGATTTTTCACCTTGAGTCAGTAATTTAGTGTACTATCGTCATTATATTATCTATAGGTGAGTCGTTTTTTGTGCGAAGTGGTAAAGTCCTCAGATTTATTATTACGTACTAGTTTTCGCCCGCGATGGCTCTTGCGCGAAAGAGAGATCTTCTATGGCGAAACATTATATTTAATGTAATATGTGTTTGTTTGTACCCCAAAGATATACATCAGTTTCCTTTAACTTTTTAAATTAACAAATTTCTGATTTTATTTTTGTTGTAAACCGCGACGATTAAAACAAATTTCAAATGGCTGTAAACATGTTTCATTGCTACTTTAATGAAAATCAATTTGCCTATATTGCACCCAGATCTGGTTCAGAGCCTAATCTATTTCTTAAATTGCGAAAAGACCTGCCAAGTATTATTAGACTTTAGTATATGGGTAGGTATATACAGACACGATTTAGGTAATATTATTCAATATATGGACAAACTATATATATTGACTTATTATCATATTATAGGTCACAATTATTATTTAAGCATAGCTATTTGCTCTAGAACAATTTTATATTAAAATCAAATTTAAAATGATTGCAATCAATTACTACTTCTCTATTTTAATTCCTATGTAAATCGTGACAATAAGTAATTTGTAAATCGAATTTCATCTATTAATTTAATTACAAATTTAATAAACATATGTGTATTTTTTTCTGTTTGCTATAGGTATAATTTGTTTCACGAAAAACTCAAAATATTGTGTTGCTATCTGACAAATTAAAGAACTTAAATAGGTTTTCTAGTGCTTCAGCTGAACCTAGATTTATTATACAACGAGGGAAATACTTAAGTAATTAAACGTTACGATTCACTCACTTGATACAAAAATCCCAAAATTTTCGACTCGGCCGGCGTTATTCTCACATACCTAACTAAAATAGGTATGCAATCGCGACATGGCCCGCAGAGGAATGAAGACCGAATTTATTTAAGAAAAAATTATTATTCACCATTTAGTAATGAGAAAGATTCAAATAAGTTAACGTCCTTAACCTCATCGTTGCATAGAAGTTTTTCCAATTGTTAATAATATGACCGGTGGGGTACTCGTGACGGACGCACATTCTACCAAGGCTGTTCGAATTGCTAGTTAGCTCGATGTATATTGTCAAACCTATAATTTGAAATTTACGTGACTGTTACGTTGAATACGCCTCACATTATTGCTAATTAAGTTTTTGTTTATAACAACTAATCGATGAAATAAGATAGATCTTTAATTTTCTATTTGTATATTCTCAGATATATAATATTTTAATTAAACTATAAAAAAATTACAACTTTTTTACATGAACAAGGAAAATAAAATTATGGGATATGCTATACAAAATAGATTTGCTTATCGTACTATCTTTATAAATAATTAGATTATTTTGGCCCCGTAC